CTTCTCAAATCCGTCCAAAACGGTTGCATTCTCTCTAAAACCGTCCAGAACGGTTGCATTCCATCTCAAATCCGTCCAGAACGGTTGCATTCTCTCTAAAACCGTCCAGAACGGTTGCATTCCATCCCTCGAAGTCCAGAGAGGCGGTCGTATGTAGATATTGAAGTGTAAATGGCAAATTTTCTAATATTTATATTCAAATATATTTTTATATTTATAGTTTTTTCATAAAATTATCGATTCATAGATGAAATATGTGCAACGTAAATGACGATATGAGATACATTGAGAAAAGTAAACCGAATAAAGATCAACGAGAAAAACAATATTGACAATATTAAGGATGGAGAACAACAATAACAAAACCGGCAAATTGTTCGAACGGCTCCGTAAACTTTGAAGACTAAGCATTGATGGATATCGAGGAGGATCTATTTGGATATGAGAGGGTACATACACGAGAAGCTTAATCCTTACTACTTCACACTTTTTAGATATACAAGGAAGAAAGATTTGGGATTAAGAAAGAAATCTTTCAAAGACATGTCAAGTATCAAATGAGAATATTTTAGAAGTTCAGCTTTCGAATACTTCTTCAAGTACTTCTGCATGAATCACATGAGGTAACAGCTGAAGGCTGGTGCACTGACGGATGATGTTGGTTTACAGCTGGGGGTGGTGTTGAAGCCCCCGAAGAGCACAACGAAATCGACGAAGATGGAGGTGGTGGGGAAGGGGAAGCTGACGACAACACAACATCATCCAAAGAGATGCTAGGATGTCTCCTGTTATGCGGTTCAGATCGACTCGAAGATGTTGAAGGGGACAGTAGTGGCATTACGGGCTTTTCTAACAAACTCGCAATAGAAGAGTGCCGTTCACGGAATGACTTCTTTGCTTCAGCATCAACAAGTTCTCCTCCAGAGCTAACAGTATTCCTAGTGTTTCCTCTATTGTTGTACAGATTTGTAACTGCGGTTATGGGACACACACTTGGCTTTATATCATCAGTGAGCAAAAGCGATGTTTGCAACTGCACATTTACCGCGTCAGATGACGGTAAATTGTGAATGAGGAAATGATTTTGTTGTCCATTAAGAGGAAGATGGTGAGTTAAGATATGATTGGAAGCTGGATTGCCGACAGGGGCTGTGGATCCTGTGGGAGTTGGTGGGGAGGGTAATGAGAGAGGTGTTAACGGGGCTGCGGGTGGAGCAGGTCTTAGATACTCATTATGCCATCCTCTGAGAGTTCGAGCATCAGCTAACAAACTTGGAGCCATCGTTAATGTCAAAGGGCCGATAATGCGGGCCAGTAGTAACCAAACTCTCTCAGAAAGAAGATTGATTAACGGTGACGATGAATTCACTACAGCATTTGTTCCATTCGAATTCGTGTGATATAATTGATCCAAACTTTGATTGTTTGGTTGGGCAACGAAAATGGCAGCTAGAAGAGCCAAAGCACTTGGTGGAAAGCCGCGCAATCGTTGACTGAATGCTGATATTGATTGTACAAGAAAAGGGCTGTGAGAAAGAAAAGCTGGAAGACAGTCTGCTCGATGTGCATATGCCACCAGTAGTACATCAAAAACACAGCTCTGAAATACGAATGTCAATACAACCTGTACTAAATGAGAACAAACCTTTAAGATTTGTATTCTTTCCGTTTGAGATAAGCATAAGAAACCGGGAATCGCATTACCAAAATCCACGACTAGCTGCAATTATGATCGAATTAGGAAGGAAGAAGAAGGATGGTTCACCTTGATGGCAACGAGGTATGACGAAAACTGAAGAGGGCATTTACCTGGCAATCCAACAGCAATCACATCGAGCTATAAAACAGATTTAATAATTTTTTTCATAGGAAGGCATACCTGCTGGACCAAGTGTTGGAATGCTGCTTGAATTCGATCAATAGCTTCGTTCTCGTTCTCAAACTGAACAGCCATTGCATCTAACTGAGACTGAGCAGAGGTCCGTTGCATTTCTTCTACCATTTTTGCTTTTTCCCGTTTAGGAACTCGACCAAATCGGACAGCTAAAATACATTTATTCATTAATTGAAACAGAAAAATCGACAAGAAGAAAGAGAGAAAACGTTTCAGGAAGAGCTGTCAAACGTCGAAAGGTGGGGAACCTTCAACAAAATCATTTTAACAAGTTTTTCTTCCAAACAAAACTGCCACCGGACTGTTGTCATCATTCATTCTATTCCATTTTCCTTTGATTTTTAACCTTCCCAACATCCCTATCCCAAATTATCAGAAACAGGCTTACTATTTCCATAAATGGCTTTGTGGGAATGGAAACGATCAAATAATCAGTGGACCTAATGCTAGCCTGACAGTTCGTTCGACAACCATAAAATTATCTTTGCCTTCTTTCTCTCACCATTTCCCAATAAGAAAGCAGAATCGAAATCTCCCTTTTTACCTTTCTATTCTGTTTTTTCTTCTCCACAAAAGCTCTACTGATGAAATCTTGATGAAGACTTCGAGGTCACCAGGACGTATGGCATAGTTGCCGCCTTCAAACCCCTCTTGTCATCGGACAAAACTGCTTTCGATTGATGAAAGAAAGAGAAACAAGTTGAAACTTAAACTCTAACGGTCAGATAATTAGGGTTTTGCAGAAATAGAGAATCTCCGGCATTCCCATAACGTTTTTCCCCCACTTTAATAATTTCCAGAGGAGTTCACATATTGTTTCGTTTCTCTTTCTTCCGAACAATTAACGTTCTTTTCTTTTTTCCTCCTCCTTCTTCCTGTGAGAGTCACGATTACCGCGTGAACCTTCATGGTCTTTCCTTCTCAGAAAAAGGATAGAAACATTCAAAAAAAGATTTTGCTCTAAACACTTCGACTCAAAAGTTCAATTCCAAGCCATTTCAGTTGCAGATGACACTGCTATAGTGCATTGCAGTGAATAATCTGGAAATCTGGGGACAATAGAATGAAAAGAAATCACAAGAAAAAAATCTGGGTCCATGGGAATGTGAAGGACATGCTAACGTCATCAGAGAGCTGTTCTCCTCCAGAAGACCATATCCTATTCCGCTCATTAAGAATAACAACATATAACAGGAGTCAGAGAAAAGATATAAATTTCGCGCACACTGACAGGCTTCTCATTTCTCTTCGCGCCATTGAAATTCAGAGGATAGGAGTTCATTTTTCTTTTGTCTTCATATCCAAAGGGCAAAAACAGTCTGTTGCGAAGATTTACAATCTTCATCCTTTACATAGAACAGACAACAGTATGAAAACAAAGCCTTTCTCTTTCTTTTTCTTGTCACTCAGTTTTGACGGTCGTTCAGTGTTGAAACTCATCCCTCACATTGCTTTTTCCTCTGTAGCCGAGACGCATGGAAATTATGGCAACAGATGGTCGTACTTTCTTTCTAACCGATCCATCTGATTGCCAGCTGCGGTCCACGTGATTCACGTGAGCTACGTGGAAATGATGCGTTAACTCTCATTTCATTTTGAAATGACGTGAGAAGCGGTTGATCATGACTTACTTAACTTCTATTATTCGTCCAGCCCATGAACTCTTTTTACAAATCCAATAACGAATCTCTGCATATTTTTTATTCAACCCATCCCCCTAGTACTTTCTCCTCTCAGGGACGAATGACGTGATGTGCCAGACGAGATAAAAGGAAATGAAGACACGACATCCATACAGTCATCGAGTTTTCGAAAAGCAACTTTAGTTGACTCGCTTCGTCTATCGTTCTCTCTTCATCTCTCTGAGCTTTCTACTGTAGGCAGAAAGAGAAAGAAGGAGAGAGAGAGAGAAAAGTTTCATCCGCCACATGACATAACACGTGACTCACAAGACAGTCTTAACCTTCTTCTCTCACGTCCAAACAATCCCTCAGTGCCGTGTGATTGAAAAATTCTGAATTCTACTTCAGTAAATGAGGTCAACTAGTTATTTTACGAATTAAACAAAGAAAACTTTCAACAACAACATTTTTTTCTTGGCCCATGATCAAACAAGAAAAAAAAAGAATCGAGAAGGACAATCTGCCGAACATGTTGGTCAACAATCTAATGTAAGACCGAAAACCTCCACGTTCCAAAAAAAAGTCTACAGACATTGGGAGTTCTTCTTCCGAAATAATAGCGCTGGCAGTAGTCTACGAAACATGCGCCCTTTCTCTCCTTAACCTTCTAGACCTCAATAGAAAATCCCAAAAAAACTGTTTTTTAGTCAGATAAAAAGCACCCCTGTATATAGCCAATTACTATAATTATGCCCCTCGCATCGAAGACGCGTAATATTTGGATGGAAAACGAACATACCGTCTCGACTCATTCCAACGGAAATACATTTTTTCAGACGACAATATTGACAGCGATTGCGATTGTTTCGGACGATCAGGCATTCCTGGGCACGTGTACATGGCCGATATTGAATCTTCTGCTGAATACTTCGTCGGAAAAAACCCTGAAATAAACGAAAATTAGAGATCAAACATCTTCCTTTTCCACATTCCATCCTTGGGCCTTCTTTTTCTACTAACGAAACCCAGTGGCACAGTAAATGTGCCTACAATTTTGGAGGAGAAATGTCGTCATATCTCATCGGCTGAGAAATCGTTTCTTTATTGTCTTGCAAATTCTTTTATCGAACAAAGGCTTTAAGTGCAGATGAAACATCATTTGCAGAAGAAAAAATGAAAGAGGTGAGACATGAGCGGATGAAGACAATCCAATGATTTACGCTTTTTGTCTATCGTTTAGACAACTCGATGAAAACCCTAAGTGTGGGTGGTCGCGCGATCACTTCCCCCTTCTCAAAAATAACTTTCGGATATCTATTACTTTCTTTCTCTCTCTCTCTCTCCTTTCTTCTTTATAATAACATCCTCATTGGCACACATCGAAACAAGGATAAGGTTTGGAGAATCAATTCGTAAACAATCTGCCCGAAACCGGTCAGAAGCTTTCGGTGACTTGGTGGGTAAGAAGAACGGCGAAAACATCCATCTGAGGCCTTTCTCATGTTGCTTCATGATCAAATGAACTACAAAAGTCTTTTCACATATATCTTCTTCTAATTTTCAAAAAAAAAGATAAGAAAAAATAAAAGTAAACACAAAACCTGAATGGAAGCGATGGATGATCTGCCTAAGAATATTTCAAGCTAAAGGCTTCCCTTTCGTCACCAACCCGCTAACCCAACATTCTTAACAACCAGCTTTTTTTTAAAAGCATTAATGTGTCCCCCTTTCAAGTCACTAACACACCCGAATCAAATTAAAAGCAAAAAGATACTAACCTTACAGCCTTCGCAGGCAAAAACACCATAATGAAATCCACTGGCACGATCTGAGCATACTTGACACATCAAGGCGGTTCCCGTGTTCGAGCCATCTTCTGTACTGCCACCTTTAAAAGCCATTAATTATTGAAACATATTCAAAGTTTATCAATAATATATATTATTCGAAATTGGATCATTTTTCGCGCGAACTACGTGCGGTACGTGATATGTTGCGTTACAATTGCCTGTTGCGTATAACGCTGTCTGGAGGCAGCTTCACTCATTTTCGGCGTGTGTCGCGTATCAAGCGGTTGTTCAAATCTTTCAAAATTCTATTCTCGCGCAGTAATTCAGAATTATTGTTCCTAGCCTTCAAGAATTTCTTGTTTTGACGTCATTTACGGTTAAGAGAAGCAATTCTTCATCCAAAAAAGCCAATGGAAAGCAATTGAACGAAGAATGGTAAAGAGAGAACTGCAGTTCATTATGAACGATCATAAACTGCACGACATCTGACGAATAGAATGGAAAAAAACAATGCTTGTGCCCTTCATAGGTAAATTCATACTGAAATGAACTATGATATCACTTACAAAGAGACTAATTTGTAAAACCGCTAAACAAACGGCTGAACATGAATGAGCTCAGTGGATGGATGAGAGGACAGATCGTTTCAATGTTTATTATGTTTGCCAATCAGTGTGAAATGATTTCGATGAAAGAAAAATCTTTTGGTACTACCAAACTGATCGTAAAAGCCGTTGTGAAGGAAGTTTTCTATATTTAAAAGTATCGAATTAACCTTCTTGTTCAGAAAAGCCTGTGTGTGTGTTTTCGATAAAGATCTGAAAGTTTTGTGCGTTGATCATGTTGTTGCTTTAACAGTCCTGGTCACAGTTTCATGCATCGTTATGATCATTCGCATTGCTCTATTCATAGTTTTTACTCCTTCAAACCCAGCTATCATCGTTAACCTTGTCTTGGCCGCCGATGTCATGGCTGACAGAAGAAGGTTTCTGGGGGAGTGGGTGGACAACGTGCAGGTGAAAAACGAATCGCACAATCTTCACCATTACCACATTTTCGTTGATTCAGAAGCGAGAGGCGCGAGGATAGAAGAAAATACGTTGAACTACGATATGAAAGATGACGTAAAGAATCAGAATTTGTGTGATGGACAATGAACAACAGTGACCTTGGTTGTACAGACCCCCTTCTCTTCTTCATTTCTTTTCCCCCACTCGAATTTTTTTCTTGTTGAAAAAGAAATTGAGAGTAATAGAAAAATCTTGAGGAGTAACAACATGGAGGAAGAAAACGAGCTTCGACACTGAAGTTTTGAGTGATCAGATAAGAGAACGAGGGAAGAACTGTATGACAGCTTGGAATTACTCCAAGTTCATCAAGTCTTTTGCAAACGAACAGAACGGTTGTTAGTAATCAATTATGAAACTTTCATTTTTAGTTTTCAGTAAAAAAATAAAAATAAAAGTTGCGTAATCGATTACAATGATTGCTCGCCCCGAGAGTTTCCTTCGGATTTCAGAGTGATCCATGAGCGGGAGAAAGTTAGTGCTGTTTACCGCTCTAGTTATGCCCTCACCGTAGCTCATAAATGTTATTGCTACAGTAAAATCCCAAAAAAGGAGATACAAACAAATGAAAATGGAATCATTTTTTACAGTCCCCCCCCCACCCCACCACAGACGACAGAGAGTGCAAACAGCTACTGCAGAAACTAGCAAGTGCAAGTTTGTAAAGGCTGTGTGCAGTTTGATTTGAATAGGTCGTGATATAAAGATCTCTTCCCTACTTCGTAATGAGGAGCCAGTAACCACATGTAGAGAGATGGAAAAAATGAACTACTGAATGATGGAGAGCATAATTGCAGAAAGAAAGGGCAACCCCAGCCATTTATTTGAGACGAGGAAGCCTATGCGCCTCCGGAAATTTCCAGTTTCCAACAACTTTCACATTGTCCTTTGGATGACCGTAAACTACAAATTGTACTGTCACACAAAGAGGAAGAAAGGATAGGTTGGTCAGTTAATGATGCCAAAAGTAATGTGAGAAAAGCCGTTTTACCACAACCTTGATGTTTGTTTAGATGTTCTGGTTGTTGTTACCCTCCAACATAACCCAAAAGAGAGGAGAAATCTGAGAGATTTTTTGTGACGATGCCAAACTTTCTCTCATGTGCTTCTCTATAGATTCAGACGATACAAAAACGAAGAGACTGAGACATCTCGTCCCAGTTCACCCTGACATTGACATTGAAAACGACCATGGAAGAAAATGAGGAGAAGAAAAAACTAAATGGAGAAGAGAGAGAGAGAGAGGGGCAGAAGATGAAAGAAAGGTATGAATTGAAAGGTAGCCATTCGGTTAACCGGTCTTAGACCCATATATTCCATTTCTATCGGCAGCTCTCACCATCTGCTTTCTCTCTACGAACTTCCTTTCTATCTTTCTGTCATTAGCTAGCCTATAATGTGCCGGAGGCACAGTTTGCTACTGAAGACAATCCAAACGAAGGAGAATGACAAAAAAACATAAAGGTGAAGAAGAAAGAAGGGGAAACGAATCACCTTGAGAGCTTATGGCTTTTTCAGCTCAGTTCCAGATCAATCGTTTTCCAGAATAATAAAACGTTCCTCCTTCTCTACTCCCTTTGCCAGACAGAAAAAGTAAAAGGAAATGACATATTGATCAGATATTAAGAGGATTTCGCTACAGCACGCACTTTCAAACTCCTGTAAGCCTTTGTGATCTTTCATTTCTTGTTGAGGACTAGGAAGTGGAAAGCTAACGACGAAGAAGTGACAGAAAGGCGGGCCATCTAGAGGAACTTCAGACGAAAACGTAAATGATGTGAGACATTAGCTATGCCTCGACCTAGTGTCTTCCTAATTTGCTGATAATAATACTACAAACGAGAACCAATAACTTAGGAAGAGAGTATGAAGAGAGAAAACGAAGAAAAAGTGAGAAATGCAAAGAAGGTTAAAAGAAAAAAAGGAAAGGATGGAAATACAGACGATATGAGCAGAGGGACGAGAACGATGACGAACGAAATCACGCGCCGACAACGTCGAGGCCGGTTGGAAAAGTCGGTCAAGTTCAACTTCTACTTATTTGTGATTGGCCTAAACGAAACGAAAAGACATTGAAAAAGCTTGAGAAGAGTTGCCATTTTGGTTGTTTTGTGTCAAAAAAAGATAGAAAGGGGGGGAAATGACATCAAATGAATAATGGCTGATGATGTAAGAAAGTGCGATATAGGAGATTTCCTATGTAATCAGTCAATGATTAAGAGTGTGGTGATGATGGTGATGGCGAATTACACAAAAGTGATTTGGACGACGTTGAGCAATTCAAAAGTTCACAATGAGGTAAAAGCTTCAGACAGATGATTATGAATGGAAAAAAGGAGAAGAAATTTAGAAGAGAAAAACAAAGGATGAAACATCTGCTGCCATTGAAGAACATGTGATCTTCTGACCGGGTTCACCGACCTTTCATGAATATAAATTGAAAGAAACACAAAAAAATAGATAAAAATGACGAAAAGTTGAAAGAATATCCCAAATTAGAGTTAAACACGTTGACAATTAGCAAAGACGATGATTCATGGAAATGACGTTGGAGAAAACTGTTTTCGAGTTGTAAACAGCAGAGAACAACACAACTTTCATATTTGGCACAAAGAACTTAAGATAAACTTACATTTGTCAGATAATTGTCCGCCTGATTCAGATGAAGAATCTTCGTTTGGCGAATTGAGGACGAATGAATGAATGGCTGACAGAAAAAAGCTGTCTGATGATGGCACAATCGGACGGAAAGCTGATTGATAATGAGTTGTTGCTGATATGGAGGAAGAGGGTTGATTAGAGGATGCCATTGAAGATGCACATGATAGTTGAGGCTTCTGCATTAGAAGCAAATCATTATTTTGGGTGACTGGTGCGTGAGTTGATCCAGGCAATGTTTGATGATGAACAAATGCTGATTGATGCTGCGTTGATGAGTTGTGATAGGCAGCAGCAGCAGCCGCAGCGGCTGCAGCGGCGGCAGCTACGGCGGATCCGGAAGTTGCCTGTTGGCATCCGAAATTTGAAGAGCTTGGTGAGAAGGCTGATGATAAGCTGTTACTGTTCGATGGAGGTGAACTGAATAAGCTTCCATTTAAGCCATTGTGAAGTGCATGTTGGTTCGCCGGATTGAGAATTGCTACCATACGTAACATGGGGCTCAACGGTGAACCAGAAGCTGCAGCAGCGGCTGCGGCGGCCGCAACTGACTGTTGGGCGAACAGAGCTGCTGCAGCAGCAGAAGCTGCATTGGAATACACTTCTGCGTTGGAAGATCCAGAAGCTGATGAGGTAGAAGCGGCAGCGGCAGCAGCTGCAGCAGCTGCTGATAAAGCTGATACCAGCGAGGATGTGGAGGATGAAGCTTCAGCATGTTGTAAAAGCTGAGCATTGGATGATGAAGCCAAATCCGAGCTAGGCATCAAGCTAGTTCTGGAGGTTGATGGAATAGAACTGACGACTGTCGCCGGAGCAATAGGCACGGGCCGAGAGACCATCATTATTGACGGAACTCTTAGTGTACAGGCACGAATACAGTAGACAGAATTATGAAGAGAGTATGCACACCGGTAAGAACAAAGAATAGAACCGTAAAAGTAGAACGGAAAAAATTGAACCGGTAGTGACTAGCTCTCTATTGAAGCTTACAGTATAAGCTAGCAGAGATGAGAATAGACACGGGATAGTCTGTTTCTCGAAGAAATTGTGAATAAAATTTTGGAACACGTAATTTAAGCCAGTATGACGTAATTTTTGCTCACTTATTACTTATATCCTAATATGGACTAAATTAAAAGAGAGCTGAACACGAAGCGTATAGGTAAAGAGAAGCTGGCTGGCGCGAATGCCAGTCGTCAACGACCGTCACTCGGCCCGCGCTCGCACAAGGTCGTCGGTCCGAAGCTCCGCCCCAATCCGACCATCATGTTAACCAACACCCCCCTCCCTTTCTATTCTAACCCCCTCCATCCAGCCCATCACCAATACAGGCCCTCGTTTTCTACACTTGTCTATGGCAATCCACGTTCCTCACTTTTATATATATTATTTATATATATGGTAGTAGGTGATGATGACAGTAGTGGTATTAATGCTAGTTGTGGTTTTCAGCAAAAAAGAGAAAAACGAGCGAAAATGAGAGAATGACTGAACACAGAACCACATGAAGAACAGGCATCACAAAGCAAGTTCAATAACATCGAACTCTTGGACTTGAAAGATTAGAGAAATAACACCAGAAAGAGTATTGGAAAGAAGGAAATATGTGAATAAAAATGGAAAAGAGACAGTTAGTAAGCAAGGTATAGAGAGAGAGAGAAAGACAAGAAAGAGCTTTCCATATTACCCCAAATGCACAAGCACCGCCCACATCTAAGCATAACTCTAATTTTGGGAACAGCAGCAGCATACACGCAACTAGGGTGAACTTTAAAATTGGGGGCAAAAGATTGAAAAGCAATCGGATGTGTTGCCAAATGGGGGTGAAAAACTCTTATGTAATAATAAGTTAACAGAGTTCTGCATTGAAAGTTCATTCGAACAATAGATAAATCGAGACAAAAACTCATTTTCTCACTTATACAACAGTTATTATATCAATATATTTATGAGAATTTATTTTAATTAATACAATATTATTGAGGAGAGATGGAAGTTTACACGACGACGATGATTCAATATGTTTGAAGGAGGATATGATGGAAAATGGAAGAAGAAGAAGAAGAAGAGCTGTGTGTGTGTCCATCTCAGATGAATCGAAAAAAAAAGACCACGATGAGAGGGAGATGAGGTTGAAAAGCTCAAAAAGCTATCACAGATAATCAAAGATTGGCCCCTTAAAAGGAGGAACATACACGAGAGACTAGACTACGGTTAGACCGGAAATATATTATACAAATACTTCAAACTCTCTACCACATAATCTATGCTAAAACTATCAATTAATCATCTCTCTATTAATCTATTTACATGGGAAGAAATGAAAATAGTAAAAGGAGAATGGTTAGCTAACCCGCTAGGTAGAGAGTACTAAGCTTTTCACTCAGCTGAAATAATCAAAAGTATAATGTCTTTGCTTCTGCAAAACATATACACATTTGACAATTCGAATCAGCGGTTCAGCAGTGTGAACCCGTTGTTGGTTATAAAAATAAATAGAAACCATTTACGGAAAATGAGAGGAAGTGAAAACTTCCAAATGCTTCGATGAGATCAACAGCTGATCGACAACATGCTAATCTATGACTCATCATCATCATCCACATCCTCCAGCAAAGATTCAGCTTCCTCATCTTGTCTTCCACGTCGACGTATTATGAGAGCTGAGTTCTTGCCTATTATGCTACCGGCACTTGATCCACCCGCCAAATTAGAAATGCCGCCAGCGGCTGAAGCTCCATTACCGGATGTAGGCCTTCTGGCTGTCTCTGTTAAAGCTGCTCCGATGAACGATAAGCCGATGGGTATGGCAGCAATAAGCTGAACAGCATTTGGTGGCCGTTGTCGGAAAACTGTATCAGCTAAGAAGCTCAAAGGAATCGACAACGTCACAGAAATAGAAGCAAGCAATGGATCTGTCAAGCCGGCAGCCAACAGCCATAGATAATCAGCGATGAGTGTACCTAAGTGAAAAAGAATAATCTAATAGCGGATTAGTGATGAAGATACCTATGATAGCCGACAGTATAATTGATCCAAACTGCTCCTGTGTAGGTAAAGGATATAACGATTCCCATCCAACTGAATCAAGTATATAGATTATTGGAGATCCAATAAAGACACACAAAATTCCAATTGTACCTGAAAGCAGCAGTTAATGAATCAATTATGTTCAAACATTCCTCATATATACCAACAAGTTTATGGAAACACAACATTCAACCTCTACAATTTACTAATTGATTTCGCTAAACATAGAAAATCGTATCAAGCGTATGAAAAAGCGGGCTAATCTGTTGCGCTGCTGCATGCCTTTCAATCATTGACCTAACCAAACATTTCTTTTCTCTTTTAACTGTCTCTCAGTTTCATTTTTTTTGGTGGTCGTGTTTATGATTGTCGCTTATTCAGAGTTAATCATAACCATTTTTAAAAAGGGCCAACATAGAATGCAACCGTTCTGTTCGTTTGTTTGTGTAATTTAATTTATAAAAAAGAAGGCAATAAGAATTCATCATGAGAGAAGGAGAAAGAAAGGACAATCTTTTGCAAAAATCAGACAAATTACCTCTCGTTTATACTTCATTATTGTGTTATATTATCATATTAACGCGTATGAGAGCTTGTCTGTTTCTCATGTTCATTCATCGTGACGTTGCCAATGTAGTCTATCAACAGACATGAAACAATCAGACGAACTGATGAGAATGATCAAAAAACTTCCAGAATTTGCAGTACTTTCTTTCATCATTCAAGTCAACCCGAAACAAACCCAACATTCAGCCAAACCAGAGTCGTTTACGAAACAATCACATGGAAATGAATGAAATGGAAAGTCCATGTGATGATACAAGAAATCTTTGTAGGGATAAGAAGATACTGTTTTCAGGAAGTGTTGATGGAAAAGGTGAGGATGAGTCTATTGTCACAACATGCCGCTCATGTGTGATGCCCAATTGAACATCAATTAGCATTTCTAAGCAACCTTCAACTGTTTCAACAGTTCCATCCTTCAATGGCCATTATGAGCAACGACTTTCTAAACTTTTGAAACTGAAACCATCAAAAGGGAAAGTTTGTCAAGGAAATAGAAACAAAAATTAACAAGAAGTTAAACGATAAAATTTCAAAAGAAAAATGGACATTTTGATTTTACAATCTGCAAAAGCTATTGACAAGCCATACAATAGAACAGCGGACTCATTCGAACGTCACATCCTTCTCTAGATTCAAAACGATAGGTCCAATCAATTAACAGAAAGACTTGAAGAAAAGAACGAATACCCTTCTTTGTTCAAAAACTACTGGAAGCCTTCTGAAGTCTACTGACAGCATTAAAAACGAAACTATGAAAGAACTTAGTCGCTTGTGTTCTCAAGCTTCTTGCAGTCCGCGACAAGTAGCAAATCAACCTTCCAACAGTTACACGTGAATGATAATAGGGAATATGAGTAAATGAATACTTGTAATTAAGATTGTTTCGAAATCTAGGACCAGCTAGACAGATGTAGAGGTTTGCATTACAGGTCATGACCTCTTGTTCCTTTTTTGTAAACTCTATTGAGACTACCTGATGCCAGCGATGAAACTCTCACTTATAAACCCATTTCATTCATGTCGTATTGTCTTTTTTAGTTTCTATTCATCTATCTGCCACTTTTTGAAGACAAAAAAGTAAAACAGACTCTGAGACTCAAGAGAGAGAGAGAGAGAGAGAATACTGAAAGAGAAAAGGAAAGAGAGAGTGTCTCACAGTTTGTGTCTGAACCCCTAGACCCTGGCCTAATTAGCATAGATTACTACCCACTAATGCACATACAGTTATACAACAGAAAAAACACACAAAAGACTCGTAGGAATCCGACCGAATCTGCCGTCCGACACAATATTTCATTTTCTCTTCCTCTTATCTCTTTCTATTTCTATTTCTATTTCTCTCTCTCACTCTTCCTCTCTCTCTTTGCACAAAACTGTGAAAGAAGAATATCTGAGGATCGAAAGCGAGGTCGGGCAAGGAGCTCCTGAAGGAAATCGAAGAACAAAAAAGTGCAATTCAGGGACATTTTCAATTATAGGAAGGTTCCATTCCCAGCATTGAAATGTTCTTTAATTTTCTTTTAAGTTCAAAAGGAGAAAAAAAAGAACTGAAAAAGTCAATTTCCTTCCAACACAGCCATGATTCTGCTTGGAATTAACCAAATCTCTGCAAATCTTCTCAAATGCAAACAGAGTTTGCCAATTCATCGTTTCCAGTCAATTCACAACTGAAGGTTTCAAAATCAAATTCCTTTTTTGTTGATGTTTTAACTGCATCCGCTCACTAGAGATATCCTTTGACAACAAAAAAAACGATTTAACACGAATTATACGTAATAATCTCTTTTTCTTTTCTCTCTCTCTCTCTCTTTCTCTCTCTCTCAACATACCAGTTTAACTTTCTATCTTCCTCTTATAGTTAAAGCGAAACTTTTCTGGAAAATTCAGCATCTCACTTTGCTATTCTCACTCTCGATCATTCAATTATAAAACTGAGAGCATGCCAACGATAAACTACAACGAGGTCAATGCTAAACTGACCGAAACAAGACTTGTTTCTCATCCATTTTAGTCCTCTTTTCTCTTTTCTCTCAAATATTCTTTTTTCTATATGTTGTCTATTACAATTTCGCGCAAAGAATTAGGCCAGAAATCGAGTGAATGGCAACTCATGGCCTCATAAAGTGGCAGAAAGAGAATGAAATGTACAAAAAACAAATAAAAACATTTGCAAAACATCTCTCCCAAGACTGAATTTAAAGATTGTCCAATTAGTTATTGCCGGCTATTTGTGGTATGCTCTAGATCTACACACTGATAGTATCAACTCACCACTCCCCATTCCCCCACCTCGTTACCAACCTAACCCCCTACAAAGGAATCGAATGGACTCCGAAAGCTAAGAAGTTTTTTTGTTTAATGCTATCTTTTTAAATAGCAAGTAATTATATTACCATCTTATATTACAACTCAGATACGAGAATGGCAACATTTGGTTGACGAGGTCATCGTTGTGAATTCGCCTTCTTATTTCATTTTTTCGTCTGCCGTTATGAAACAAAAAAACAGAAAGTAAACAACAAACGTTGAAATCAAGTCAATCTTCACTTATTGGTTGTAAAAAAAAATAATCGAGCACTAATCGAATTCCACCGATATAGCAAGCTGATGTTAAACTTCTGTTCAAAGATCGTATTAGTACATTGCAATAGTCATTCATGGGCATAAAACCAGCTGATTCATTCTATGATTTCCGACGAAAAAATCTATTTTTTCTACATTTTCATATCAGTTCCCTAGTCTGATGGTTGGCTTACATCGAAAGTTTCAACGCGCTCCCAAAAAGGGTAACGATGTTTGATTTCTAACCTATCCGGAATTCTCATAACCTTACTTCCATCACGGCAGGAATTGAATAACTTCCTTACTTCCTCAAAATCTATACAAGTAACTTTTCAACATACAAAAAATAATTTTGCAGTGAAACACGTGCGTCCCGAATAAAATAACGAACTAACATTATGAAGGTCAGCAGAACACACTGAGAGTGGCAGCACGATCGAAAAACCGGACTGATTTCACCTTACCCTCTCCCCTTTAGTCCTCCCTCTTCACATTCACCTTCTAGCGACCTCTGTTCATAGAAAGAAACATGCAAGGGACCACCCTGATAGGAACATATCCTATGATTCGCAGAAGTTTAAAAGTTTCCCGTAACCCGTGTTGAAGGATAAACAAGAAAGAAGCAATGAAAGTAAGAACATACCCATCATCAAGTTCATGTCCAGCACTCCATGGTTGTCTTGGTATCGCGAGTAGAGCGTTAAATAAAGGGCATAAGCCACAGCAGAGATCTGAAATTTCAGTATGAAACACAAACTCCGGAAAGTTCATATCTTGCAACGAAGTCATAAATAAATATATTTCTCACCTGGGCAAACATCACACCAGTAAGATTAGCTGATAACTTGGAAACAGCGACGACTCCTCCAATGTTGAGGACTACAAGAAATCCCTAAGATGTAGAAACACTCAATAACCGAAAATACTACTAGCAAAACCTTATAGAGGGTAAACGATGATCCCGAAGAAGGAATGCAAGCATTTAAGACGAGCACAAAAAGCGAGGACGACGAAGACACTAAGTTTAAAGACGAGACTGAAGTGAAAAGTAGACCAGCTTGATATGTAAAAGAAGATACAAGCCACTGAAAAAATGAGATACAGCAGAAGTAGAAAAGGGAAAAATCTTTGCAGAAGACACTGAGAACGTTAAAACGTTATTGAAACAACTTACAATGGGTCCAAAGACGAAAAGTATATTCTTCATTTGAGTTGATAAAACACAAAAATCTTCGAATTCACAGATAGAGCGTGCATAAGGCAAACGAGCTTTACGTGCTTCATCCGCTTCATGAGATGGCAATCGTCGGACCTATAAGCTCTCGTTTTAAGTTAATTCATGTGAGTTCTATGAACCTCTTTTTTAGAAGCGAACCGAATCTTCTTTTCTTTTTTGATCAGATCTTCATCTAATTCAGAATCTGATCCGGAAACTGTTTCAAAGCCTTCCAATGCCTAAAATACATCAAAGGATGAATATGATCTTTGAAATCGATAAAATCAAAAGCCAAGCAACAAAAACTGACCAGTGTATGTTGGCCCATGTCGAACGATTCTTCGGAGAGATTATTTTCAAGCACTTGGTAAGTCTAAAAAGAAGCATTAAGCGAATAGGATGATGCTATGCACGATTACCTCTGGTGGCTTTGAACAACAAAAGTATTTTAATAAATAAATAGAAAGTAAGCATGTTTTAACATAAACTGTGAAGAAAGGACGCTTGAAGTCCTCATCAACAAAAATGAACTGCAATATCAATGATTAGGCTTTTAAAAAGAAATTATAATTAAACATACCCTAGTAATTTCAGCTGATAAAACCCATAATATATTTACAATCACTAGTAATATGACGCCTATGAATCTTCCATCAAATAAGGCTCCATCCCGCGAGCCATTAGGCATTACAATCTGAAAAATGAGCAAAAATCAGTTACAGCTGTTAAATGATATATATCAGAAGGATTTTAAAAGTTAAAATCTTGAGAGCAACAGCCGTTCGAAAAACGGACTCCGGAAACAAAGGTCAGATACAAACAAAAGAGTAACAAAAAGACATCATAACCAGTGACGAACAGCGTTATATCATGTTATACCTCGCATGAACTTAGTGAAATCTCATCCTACGCTGCTAGAAGTTCAAATTGAAATTGTTAAATCACAGTCATGAGAGATTGGAAATCAATATATAAATTGGAAGCAAGAAACATACTAATTAGGAAAGAATAAGTAATAACTAAGTTAACTGGGTAATTGTGTGCAATTAGCCGTCGATACGCAACTCCACGTAAACACGTTCCCCATTCTAGTTGACAAGCCTTGAAAGCGGGAAGAACAGATTTTCAAGCTTCCACTGCTGGTTATGGGAAAAAATGCTGACCAGCGCCAGGACAACAAAAAAGAAGATGAAAAGAAAACGAAAAGCTATGGAAACGATAGAAATACGACTGCATGACGTTGCATTTGCCAGTAAAATGAGTGTTTGTGTGTGACGTAGCTAACATAGAGAGAGATACAGAAAGAAAGAGAGAAAGAGAGAGAGTGATAGAGAGAGAGAATAGACTGATGGCTAAGAAATGTATGAAAGTTCTCCCCCATTTATGGACTAACAGACGCAAAAGTCATAATAGATAAACTATTCAGCTGTCAATATAATATAAATTAATATAATTTTAAAAAGGAAGCAACGAATTCACTTACATGGACATGTATTGATTAACGAAGTTGTGGAAGAAGGTTCGTTAAATAAACGAAAAAACCGAAAATAAAACCTTTTTTATCGACCGACCACTCCGAGCACTTTCAAATTTAAAAATGACGCCGTTTTGCTCTCATTCACGGCTTCTCACTTCATTTGCATAATCGCGCGTCATACGTGGAATTGTTGCCGCCGCACCTCCTCATTTTTTTAAATTCGAAATCGAAACGAATTTCAAACTGAAATTTTCTGAAAAATGGAAAGTATCCACACACACACACACACACAGACAGAGACAGAGACAGACAAAGGAATTTCGCCTCTCAGCTATATATTAATTGAAAAACTTACATTAAATCCGCCAAATCTGCGATTGAAATGAGCGAATTTGAGAATTGAAACGAGAAATTTAAATAAGATTTATTAGAAGAGAAGAGTACATTGTAAGCCCGTAGAACATTTAAATTTACAAAATAACATTTGTATTCATACTGAAACATACTCGTAGTGCCAATCATAATTACGGGTATTCGAAAGTTAGAGGGAAATGAGGGAAATATGAGAGACAGAGAGAGAGAGAGAGAGAGTGCTGCTGCTAAGAGAATGCTCAAATATGGAACTGCTTTCGATTACTTCAATAACTCACCCTCGTTCTATAATTAAAAAAAAGTTTTTTCTCGCATTCTTTCTCAGCTGGAGGCTTATTACAAATAAGAAAGTATAAGAGGACAGAGAGAGAGAGAGAGAGAGAGAGAGATAGGAGAGAGGGTATTAGCATGAGGGCAAGAGAGAAGGATTGAGGAATGGAGAGGTGCTGGAAGCCCACAAGAGATGTTTGAAAAGAAAACTCATAACGAATCAGAAAAGATTTGTCGGCTTGATAACCAAATTGATTCGATCAAACAGCTCTTCCTTCCAAACAAGGCAATTCCTCCAAAAAAAAGGAAGTGAAAAGAAGACTTTGCTTCCACGAGAGCCGTCAAGTGGATGTTGGCTGAAGCATAAAATATTTTTTGGAGAGAAAAAGTATTGCAAATCGGACCAGCTGTGGGTTTTTCCCAACTTCCGACATGAATTTTCCGTCCAAAAGCGATTTGTAATTAAACTTCTCGAGTGAGTAAGCTTTTATCCATGGCTAATCGAAAAGGCGACCTTCGATCTGATAGACTTCGATGTCTGCGAGTCGAGGAAAGACCAGCAGCAGCAGTCGATGCTTCGGTATGAAATTCATCAGGAGATGTGGACGATGTACGTGATAAGAAACATTTTCCTTTACGACAGAACATAACTTGAGCAAATGACGATCGGAAACTCTCTAGAAAGCAGCAGAATCAGATGAACAACACTTTACGGCTGCCCATATTTGGCAAGTGAAACTGACCACACATGAAATTATACAAAACAGGATTTAGGCAGCTCGAAGAATAGCTGAATACTCGTGGAATGAGCTTCCGGAAAGCGATCCATTCTTCACTGGCCTCCGTCGTCAGCAGTTCGAAAGCTCTGCAATTGGCACAAATATGGAAAATAGAATGTGTGAATGTGATTACAGCGAAATGTTATATAGATGTACAGGTAGATATGATATGGCAAATAGACAAACAACCGCTATTAGCATACGAACAGCTTTTCGTCGATACATAACTTGTCGTCGGCCCATTCTATTTCAAATTCAAAAGCTTGCTTCTTGCTTATCAGGGACTTACGATAACTGACAATAGTTTAACGTCTTTGTCATCTTGAAGCACAGGCAGATGATAAACATGAGTGGAAAGAAGTATGACAGAAGTGCCTATAACAAGAGAGAACATGTCTTCCTCGATCGTATATTCAGTAACCTGAACTATCTGGTAGTTTCGTTGGAATGACGCTGACCACGTTTCTCGACATTGAGTACCCCACTGCAACAACATGCTAATATGGAAAACATAGTATTTGACGAACCGTCGTTCGGAAACTCTGACGATCAAATTCGGCGTATTGCAACTGGACAGTCACAGGTTCGGGTAGAGATAACAGTAATGATATGATCCATGTTCCTTAAAGTATGTTGATTGAATTAGATGTTGATGATGAAACAACTGACCAGCAATCACGTATCGAGTTGATTTGACCGGACGTTTCAGAGGACACGTAATAGCTCGCCATCGTTCAAAAGTTATAAAAACTAATGAGATAATGGAAACATAGACGGAGGTGTTCTGCAATAGTCGAAAGAAGTAGATCCGAAGGTTAAAGATAGAAAAACCTGTATGAAGATCATAGATTTACAAAAAAACGTCGAAAGCCAGAATGTTTTTGTGACATCATTAAGAACTGTCGGTGGAAGGCAGAAAAGTAAAATCAGCAGATCAGCACATGCAAGATTTGTAAGAAAGATGTTCATTGTTGACCACTGAAAATGAAGCTCATTAGATATCTATATGATATAGTTAGGAAATAATATAAATATATATAAATATAAATATATATATATATATATATATTCTGTCCATCACACCAACAACGGATAAACTTTTTCTTTGAGTTTCACCCCCGAACCTCTTTGAACAATAAGCTTCATTAAATACTCGCAGCAGCAGTAGCAGAAGTGGCAGTTATAGAATCAAAGAGAATCACGTGTACATGTGTGTGTGTGTGCATGTGTATGTGTGTGTGTGTGTGTATGCTTGAATGAACAACCATTTCAACTTCCAAATATATCCAATTAACTTCTTCTTCATACAATCTTCTATTATTGTCCAAAAAAAGATTCTTTTTATCATTTCATGACAACCTTTTTTGTTTTTCATTATCACAAACGTCATTCGTTCGTGGGCGACTGACCATTCGGATGTTTTTCTTATAATTTTTCAACAAATATCTTTCAATAATTCTGTACTATTGTCCCATTCACAAATACTTATCAATCATTGCTTCACTCTCTAATGGGCTAACACACATACACACACTATCACATAGAACAACTTATTTCCCTTCATATAAATCATTTTGCTGTCCATCATTGCAATCATCACCTTTCTCAGTTCATATGGAACAATCTTCCATATGAACAACGCACTAAGAGGTCGATAGTTCAAATGTCTTTTCAATTCTCAAGGCGCACACACATACATATGAACGAACACTCGTGCTCATATACCTACACGCATGTCTTTTATGCGGAAATCATTTTTCCTGTTGCCGGCTATGTGAGCGCTCACATCCGATTTCATTCTTCATGCGCATTCAACAGTTAGCGGTCGAGAATCGTTTCACGTTTTACGTGAGATGCAATAACACCTAACATCCGTTCATTTTCCACGTGTTAGACGTCGAGAACGGTTGAAATCACGAGCGAGTTCATTAGACAAGGGGGGGGGAGACCTTGCCCGTCGTTTCAGCATCAAGGAGTATTTTAAAGAGAAAATTGACTAGTTTTAAATCAGAAGACGTCCCCTCACAAATTAATTTCATGATCTTTGATGATCACAAGTTGCTCAGCCGTTTTTAAGCTGGAAACACGTGCTGAAATGGGTGAGAATTCTCATAGAATAGACAAATGACCAAAATCCTTCTAACTTCTATTGAAAACACGAAATTTCTTTAAATGAAAGTCTTCAATCTTAACTTGAAAGAGTTGATTTGAAAGTACAGATCAAGGAGAAGGTTCTGTCGTTCAGACGAGAAATGGATTCAAATGTTTTTTAATGAACGAAATTGAAGATGACTAAAGTTCAAAACTGAAATGAGTCTGAGCAACTGCATTCTGGCTTCTCAGAAAAGTTACGCTCGACGTTTGCAGACACTTTTCTCAAAATTGGAAAATCTTTTCAAAGATGAGTCTCAATCCCGCCAAGGCGTAAACTCAATGAGCATATATCATTACTTAGCGCATATTACCAAAAGGAGGGGGGGGGGAGAGAGAGAGTATTGAACAGTAAACAGCATTCTCGAAACCAACTATCTATATAGCATAGACTTCTAACTGCTTTACCTATTCTTCATCATTGGAGAAGCTAAGCGAAAGTTGCAGCTGGGCTTTGCCACAATCCCCGGAAATTAATTTTGCTCAATGCCGCTTTTCTTCGTTTAGGTCATGTTTGTCACGAATGAAGATGTAAATGCAGATAAATGGCTTGTGTTTGTTGCCCCAGAGACCCCAGGCGTCATTGCTATTCATCGGTTAGGAAGCGATGATATTGAACGCCTCTCCTGTATTATCGGAAATACAGAACTCTATTCATCCTTAAGTTGAACGAAAACATTCGAGTATAAAAAAATTATTTTACAAATCTGACAAGAAGAGTTTAAAGTAAAAGTCAAAAGCATTGCCTAGGGCAGTTTCAACATGTCCCAATAACATAAGGATAATTCCCGTGCAAATCGTCTCAGAAAAGATAATTGGAAGCAACTTCTCTCAAGCTCTTCCTCTCCTGACGCTTGCGCTTCCTTTAAAACATACTAATCCCTTGATTAAGCTATAAGGAGGGAGAGAGAAAGCACAATAGAGAGGTGAAGCTTCTTTCAAGCAAAACAATCAAATTTGTTTTCTTTAACACATAAAACAAATAAAAATAGCCAACATTTGAATTTCATTCGAACCATCTTTCCCCCAAGCCGAACGCTTCTTCACGCGAATGCTCAAAACATTTCGTGGCGGAGAGATGAATCCCCATCCACATCAATTGTTTCCTACATACCAATTCTCACCCATGCTACCCATGGCCCATACTGTATACCGAAGATAGAAAGTACTCACCATAGATTTCTTGAAAACGACGACTAGTACGACCAACATATTCCCGACAACTCCAATTACAAGCATAACACTAAGAAAGCATACAAACATTAGCTCGACCCATCCTGGCTTCAGATATTCTGCTATTTCAGCCTGAAATCAACTTTCTTCAGAAACAGCCTTCATATATTGGAAATATGCTAATCATCAATTGATCCATGTTCTATGAGCATATAATGCTCTATAAGGAGTGGGGTGTCTCAATATCTTAAGGTCAAATATTGAAAAAAAGGGTTCTTTCGCCCACTACCACACAGGAGGTGAAGGGAGGAAAAGTGGAAGAGAGAGTGTTGAGAGGAAAGAAATCAAAGAACTAGAAGGAATACATGTGCAGTTCACTCATTGCTAAAAGGTTAGTCTCCTTCATCTCTTTCCTCCCCCGTCTCAATTTATTTTTGGAAAAAAGAAAACAAACTTAAAAGTAAACTGACCTCATAATCCTCATCACTCAACATGTTTGTAACTGAAATACTTTCTGTTGGTTCCATGATTGACAAGAGAGTGATGAACGTTCAGATGAACTTCGATCACTATATTCTCCAGTCCAAGTGTATGTTGATGATAAGTTGAGATGGACGGTAATATGTGAGCCAAGCTTCAATGGGTCAGCTTCATTTGCTGACCACAGCTTGATTAAGCTTCCAACTATTGAAATGACTGAAAGCAAATTAAATGAAAGCCGTCAAAAAAAAAACTTTGCGAAAAACATAACGATGAAGGAGACGAAAAAATTGAAAGCAAAGATTCATCAACATTCACAAACCGAGATTGATTTGGAATGCATGAGTTACAATGGGTAAAAGCTCGAATAAAAGCAAATAATTTTGAGAACAGATAGTAAATTGGCTTAATATGTCCAATGAAAAATAGCCTACTAGTCTCTGTATGAAATGGAAATAGATGGAGGAAAGATGAGAGAAGCAAAGAGAATAGCAAGGGTGTGTTGAAAGAGGAAATGAATTCAGAAGAGGATACAACCGGCTCATGCGTAATCTGAGATCAAAATAGAATTTCAAGCGCGCGTGGTACTTACGTGAGTTTTCACGTAAACTGAAAATTTTTGAATATATCAGTAAACATCAATGCAAGTATATGGAAAGGATAAAATATTAAGATTAAGAGAGAGAATGATAGAGAGAGTGAGGGAGGAAGCTATACGTCCAAGCAATCATATGACCCCCCGTTCATCTAGTCTGCCCATCTCCTCTCCTACACATATATATATATTATATATTATATATATCATGTATGAAAGCGAAATAGAATAAAGAGGAGGAACAGTTACAGAGATTGATTGGCCAATTTACATCAGCAACGTTTTGATGACAAAAAATTTCATTTTTTTTTCACGAGAGAATAACAGACAAAAACCTTCGAAAGGGCAAGAGAGAAAGGAGTAGGAGGAGATAGAGAAGAAGAAGAAGACGAAGAAGAAGAACAACGAGACGAGAAAGCAAGATGGATGATGGAACCATGTTGAGCATGAGAAGAAGAGAACGAAACGAACATCAGGTGAAAGCCAATTATTCAAATCACAACTAAATGAAAAATAAATACGAGATTTCGATGCAGAAAATAATAATTTTTGTTCTTCAGGAAAACATGTACAACACTCACATACAGATGTCATTCACATTTTCCTTTTTTTCCGAATTAAAGAACATCTAAATTGGAAATTAAAAAAAGGTGCAGAAGGGGAGATAACGAGGTAGAGAGAGGGAGAGAGAGAGAGGGAGAGGGAGAGAGAGAGAAGAGGTAAGGATGGAGGGAAATGCCAGAGGTTACAAGAGAGAGAGAATGAGAAAGGAAGGAAAGGATATGCTGAACAACGGTGGAAACATCTGTATTGGGAAACTTGCACTCTAACAGTTGAATACAAACGAATCAGTCAAGAGAGAGAGAGGGAGAGAGAGAGAGAAAACCATTGACAGAAAAAAAAGCTTGAATGATCAAAAAGCTTTTGGTGGTTTCTTTCCAATGAGGTATATTCTTACCAAATGAATGGGAAAAGCCATATGTCTTTCAAGTTGAAAAGCTGAAGAAGGCTCGTGAAGGGGGAGGGCGAATTTGCTCAAGGGGGGCTTGGTTATCGGAAGCTCAACTGGCTCGATCAGACCACGAAGAGGGCGGGAATGTAAAAGTCAATGTTGTCGAAACTCTGGAAGGCAATGCTGATCAAGAGCTCATTCGGCTTACACCCGGATGTGCTGTGAAATTCGTGAAGGTCAATAAAAGAGGTGAAATGAGTTTTGAGAGCTAAGTAACCATTAAAAAAGGTTGAAAATATAAATTCTGTCAAATGTGTGTAGAAAGACGACAGGAAGAACAGAAACTAAAAACATCCATCTATTTAGGGAGGATAAGGGGCAACAGGCTATCGTTTCAACGTTCAAAGGTATTATCTATACATTGACTACTTTAGAGAAATTAAGAATGAACAAAAAAAAATTGAAAAAGATAACGAACAACCGGGTCGTGCGCTCCAAGAATTGTAAATGATGCACGTGAACGAATTCCACGCAACTTCCACGCCGAATCATCTGATCCGAATATGCTAATTAGATGCAAGATTTGCAAAATAGTCGTTAATATCACGGAATGATCATTAGAAAATGATTTTTGAAGAATGTCAAAGAACTGTAGTCTCGGGACCAATTATGAGATCAAGGGGCTAACATCCAACTTTTGTTTTTCTTCAACACAAAAAGAAATACTAATTTAATAATTAATTACAGATTCTCCTCTTGTTTTCATTGGAATTTTTATAAAAAAAAAAAGAAAAATGAATATCTAGTTGAGAATACAAGTTTCTTCGTGATGAAAACTTAAGGAAACTCTCTTACTTTTACTTCTTTCCCTTCAGCAGATGAGAGTGTGTCAGAAGATGAGTAGGCGAGCAAAACATATTGAAACTTGCTTGGACAACCTGAAAATATTGAAATTAGACTTCAAGAGCTGAAACAGAGTTTACAAGAACTAAATGGTTGTGAGAAAGAGAGATAGAGAGGTGTAAACGAAGAAGATCAATTCATAACAATGACGAAAAAGGAAAGATTCATTTGATGAATGGGAAGACCAAGGCAGCTTACGTGATCTACGACAAAAATGAAAATTCACTTGCTTTCTTGGTTAGAATATGAAAATACGAGAAAGAGAAAGAGAGAGAGAGAGATGATTGGGTACATTTCAAGGAGAGTAGAGATTTCTGAGAATTCAGATGGTTACATTACCATAAAAGGGTTGTTTTAGAGCAGCATGATGGCCAGTTGATACTCAAAACAACAATCTTCACTTGGTATCGGAAGAGATGTCTAGTTAATAAGAGAGGAAGAGAAACGGATGTTGAGAGTGAAGGAGAGAAAGAGTAAAAAATGAAAGTGAGAACGTTCGGAAGTGAAAGGTTGGTAAAGAGATTGGAAAGAGAGAGGACAGCATTCAAACGGAACGAGCTTGAAGAAAACTTTAAAAGTTCCTTGAAAGCCTTTCAAATGGATGAAAACCCAGGTAAATTCGTAATGAAAGCTTGCAACTGATGTAAGAATTGAGGAAAACTCAAAGATAATCAAAGGATTTTCAGATGTTCACATCAAACAAATTGGGAACAAAAAATTTGTGAGAGCTTAGCTTAAGAGAAAAGGAAAAAAGAAAAAGCTTATAAATACACGAAGTTTCCCATCTGTCAGATGACGACGAACTAATAAACCTTCTGAGCTTAGAACTCAAAGGCAAAAACACAAGTTATTACCGTTTTGGTTTACACCCTCTCACTCTCTCTCTCTCTCTCTCTTTCTTTCTCTCTCTTACACATACCGGAACTAACGGTGAAAGAGAGAAAGGAAGCTAAAAAGAGTTAGCTACAAGGGAGATCTATAATTTGATCAGTTGGAAGAGAAGATAATTAAGAGAAAACTTAAGCCTCTTACTAAAGTTAGTTTACACTGACATTGACATGATGCAGTATTAGGAAAGAAGAAACGAAGAAAGTTTCCATCTGATTTTCGAAAACTCTTAAAACTAATGAGAGAGAATGAGAATAAACTGAGAGGAAACAATGCTTTGACTGGAAAATTACAAAGGATGGGATGAGTCAGTTGCATTGTAAGTAGAAAGAGAGAGAGATGAGCGACAACCTATGTAGGGTCATCTTGGCCAGGATATGGGAGAATAGATCATTCCCTCTAACGGAGCTTCATAAGAATCTCTTAGAATCCTAATTAATACGATTTTCGAGTGAACAAAGACTTCCGTCTGCCAAAGCTACACAACGATCAAAGTCCCAAAAACTATCTGTAAAAACAGATAAAACCCAATAGTTGAATAGAAAGCAGATAGACGGAGGGAGAGAAGACAGCTACCGAGACGGGCGCTCTGTTGATTTCAAACATCTCATAATTTTCGAACCATTGTTGAAATGCTATGAAATGTGAAAAGAAAACTTGTTAAAAAAATCTTTCTATTTTTTGATGGCTTATCAAGTAATGAAAATACTTAGAGAATCAGCTGATTAGTTGGAAAGTCATTGAGCTGGTAATTTGAACGAGATGCATCTGCAATCCTTTAATAAACAATCGTTGATTTCTGAACTAATTCAGAACTAGAAAAGGGAAACTATCCTATTTCATACAAACAATACGAGAAACGAAGCTTGAAAAGGGGAAATGATAACAGAAGATTAGACAACAACTGAAACAACCTTAACGAACCATCATTGCCATGCATACACACACACACATTTGAGAAAAAGGAAAAACGATTATAACAAAGGATCTACCCCTACCAAATGGTTCCGTCATAACAAAAATTGGAAAGGACATGCAGGAAATGGTCTGAGAAAGACGTTTCGAGACTATTTGGATCCTTTCCAAGAGTTTACGTTGCCGTTTCTAAACTCCAAATGTTGTTGTTGATTTACTTCCGCAAAACGTTGACGTTCCAAAATGTTTTTTTTCTGGGAAAATTAAAAAAATAATCAAAAAAATAAATAAATAGATGAGCAGCAGCAGCGCACTGCAGCACACAACCGTTCACCGTAGTCCACTTTTGAAAAATGACAGAGCACGTACGTGACCCACTCACGGAACTTCTCAAATGTTCGCGCCCAAAATAGATTTGAATATTGAGTGACGGAAGGAATTGTTTAACAGAAGAGTTATATATACTTTATTTCCATGTTTTTTTCGCAATGCAAAAGTATATTTCACAGAAAAATATGAGAAGCTGAGATGCGGTAGTTAAGAAGATGTAGAAGAGGTTGGGTGTCGCAGAGACGAAGAAAGCTGATGCTGCCAAGCACATGAAGAGCAGGAAAGGACTGGAGAGAATTTGTTGCTTAACTAACCTGACACTTCGTTAGATTCTTCCAGCTTTCACTCATTCTAGTCACTGCCTATTAGATATTTGAATTTACCGAATCATTTGAATAAATTTAATGATTTTCGTAAAAATTGACAGCCAGCTTAGACAAAGTTTGACGTAAAATGTGTTAAAATAGGATAAAGAGGAATGAGGAAGACATAGAGAGAGATCAAGGAAGGGAAAGGGGCTGGAATAGAAAAAATCTAGAAGCTTAGAGAGTAAGCCTCAGCCACTTTTTCTTGCCTCTCTCTCTCTCAACCTCACAACCTTCACTCTTTTAAAGCTCCTCCTTCTTCTCTTTTTTTCCCAAAAATGGAAATGTGGTTAATGTAGCAGATAAAGGCAATGATAAATTCAAACAATTGTCATTGAAATCGCAATTCATCTATCTGATGTAGCAAAGAGAGCCCAATGAGCTTCAACTCAGTTCATGAGAATCAAAATTTGGCCAATTACGAACGATCTGCTCTTTAGTGTGTTCTAAATTAAGGTTTTATTTATCCAATCATAACATTCAGCAATCACCCAGCATCTTCATAATATCCAAAGTGATGACAGCCCTCCTCTTCGAGTGTAAACAGAAAGAAACTTAATGTTTTTCCTGAACATTCGATCATTCAGATGATAGCGGACATCGAAAGTATAAAAAACTTACAATTCTCAAATGAAATCTCAATGATCCATCCATCCTACAGCTTCAAATCATCGTCTGGATAACCTGAAATCCACTGATAACCTCTGCACTCCGCCACCACCATTAGTTCATTATTGGGTTACGGTAGCTCTCGCATACGCAATACACTAGATTCCGTTGATCTTACGTCTTATTTGCATTTTAGCTTAAACTTCAGCCCATTTTTCCTTAAATATTTTGTGATTTATCTACTCTTTCAGCTAGGCATGACATCCATAGAAGGAATTTCATTAGACGCTTTAAAAGAATCAGGGAACTTAGCTGTTCTAGAAGAAACTAATCAGATATTAGAACTTCAAACTATTTTGAAAGATAGGTAAGATGGCCTAACTGTGCTCCTTTCCTCATTCCTTTTCTTGCAGATCCACAGAACATTCCGATTTCGTCTTTTATGCTGATCGATTGATGCGATTAGTGATCGAGGAAGGCTTAAATCGTTTGCCGTTCACCGAAATTTCCATTACAACTCCTACTCATTGCACTTACAAAGGTTGTCCAAGCCATATGCTAATTTTTGTTTGACACTTCATGTCTTTTAAGGAATTAAATTTGCCCGTGGAAACTGTGGATTATCCTTGTGTAGGAGTGGAGAAGCTATGGAAATCGCTTTGAGGCAATGTTGCAGATCAATCCGAATCTGCAAAATGCTCATAGGTGGTGAGTGACTCTGAAGTTGGCCAAACTCTGGTTTTTACTTTGCAGGAGATGAACAAAAAGTTCTTTACGCTCGTATGACTCCGGATATTGCAAATCGTCGAGTGCTCCTTTTATATCCAATTATCAGGCTAGTTTAACAGGATTATACCTATTCAACTCAGTTCGTACTTTGTAACTATCAAACCGCTTTACAGCACAGGAAATACATCTTCGAAAGCAGTCATGGCATTGAAAGAAGCTGGAGTACAAGAGCACAATATATATGTCATTACCTTATTTATAACTCCAGCAGGTTTATTATTCTATACATTCTTCTTTACCCTTGTTACCCATTACAGGTCTCAAACGTATAGTTAGTGCTTATCCCAAAGTTACCATGATCACCAGTGAGGTCTCTCAAGCTATTCCTCACAATTTTGCTATGAAATACTTCGGCACCGATTAATTTACCCTTTGTGGGTTTTTTTCTTTCCTTTTTTGGGACGTTTCAAAGCTCGTATCATCCGTTGTTATGATGTTGATTTCTTGTTGATCCAACCTTTGGACTTCATCAAATGATTTTGATCAGAAGTTCTCAGAGTATTGATGCATATTTGGCTTCAGATCTGAATTCTAATTTTAGATAATAATGTTACAAATGAATGTATGAAAATAGAAAATGAATTTGTTTTTATTATCACTTGTAAAGCTTTATTTAGATAAGAGAGTGAGCTAAAAGAAAAGCATAACATGACAAACCCAACACTGAAGACAACTTTTCTTCTTCGAAGTAAAAAACACATCTTAAGGGAACGTTCAGATGACGACGAGTTGAGCAGAAAGATAAGAAAAACACATTTCAATTCAAAAGGACCCGAATTACAATGGAGATGAGCAGTTTAGGAGAAGACGAACTGTTTTTCCAATAATTAATTCCTAAATGACAAAATAGATGGAGAGGGAAAAGTGAGAGCGCATCGCGACACGCTAGAGATCTATTCTTCAGCTTCTTCTTCCTCTTCCCATTCTTCATCTTCACCTAAATGTTTCAAAACTACATGATGGAACAATCATCGATCTCATGATATCGTCCACGATTATCAAGAACCATCTTCCATACCTTCTGCTTCGGCTTCGTCTTCCTCCTCATATTCTTCTTCTTCTTCTTCTTCTTCCTCATCTTCTTCCTCTTCTTCTTTCGCTGCCGTTACAGCCTTCTTGGGATCTTCAACTGGCTTTTTCGCATCTTCTATAGTTTTCTTCGGTTCTTCCTTTTTCTGTAATATGTTAGAATCATATAACGTCTAAACGATAAGTATCCACCTCGGATGTTTTCGTATCTTCTTTAGGAGGTGGAAGCTTTAGAACGGCATCTGCTTTAGGCTCTTCCTCATCTTCTCCTTCCTCTTCTTCTTCCCACTCTTCGTCCTCTCCTTCACCTTCACCTTCCTCTTCATCTTCTTCCTCCTCGCCTTCGCCTTCGCCTTCATCTTCTTCCTCTTCTTCGTCTTCACCTTCACCCGTATTGGCTTCTACTTCTTTCGGATCTGTTTTCTTCTTGTCATCATTTGCCTGAAAATAATATTTTAACTCAAAATAATTCAAGCTGAAACCATTTGATGACTTCATTAATCTTTTCACATCAATAAATATATGGAGGTGGATATTTAAAATTTTCACGTCATTCACGTGAAATCGCGCAAGCGTGAAAACCATTTGCAAATTGTATGCGCATAGAGCGGTTGCATCATTAGTCTCACTATCATTTTTAGATGTAGTGTTGGATTATTCAAATGATTTAAGCGTACTCTATGTGTAAATGTGTTGTAACGAGAGAGTAGCAGAAAGCGAGTATAGTCAATTGCGAAAGAGAGAGGGCGCCACCCACGATTACAACGCTTTCTTCCAAATTCATAAAACATCTTACTAACCTTGCCATCTTTAGATTTGCTCTTCTCTTCTTCCTTCTCCTCCTCAACTGGAGGCGGCTGTAAAAGCAAAAACATATTAAAAGCGATAAGGAAGAGAAAAAATATGAAACTACATGCTAGTTCATATAGACACACACACAAAGACACATTGGACAACAACACTCAACTTACTTATTGGAATATCAGCATTCTCCTGTTAAAATGAAATGTTAGTGAGGTATTAGAGTAGGTTCTTTTCTTTCATTCTATCGTTAAAATCAAATGAAGATGGTGCAAGAGAGCTCCAAAAATCTTGTCGGAATGTAAATAGTTTGTGGACAAATATCTTTCGTTCAAGATGTTCTCACTCAAGAAACCATCCAGAATAAACTTCTAAATAATCAAAAAACTCCATTATCATAGTCGATAGACACACATTGAGATTAGCTTGAGTGAAAAATGACGAGTTATTTCAGAAAAACAACGAAAGGGCAATAATGGCTTGAGTGTTTGAAAATTGGACTCACTTTGCTGTTTGGAACTAATCTCAGAAACTCCGTGTAACGCTCATTCTCAACAGCTTCTTCAAAATCACTGTAATTCTACAAGAAAGAGACAATATGAAACAGTTTGTTGCATTGAGGAACAAACCCCTAGATATTCATCGTTGTGGAAAAATTGAGGAGGCATGGGAGCGCCACGATCTCCCTCTTTCATCTGAGCATTCTCCCGCATGAAAACACGATGCTCTATGTTTCCTAAATAAGGCTTTGCTTAAACTGTCACTATAGAAGTTACGTTACCAGGTTTTGCAATATCAATGGAATCAAAAGGTATGCCTAAGCCATCTAATAACATTAAAGTTCTCTGAACTCGTTTCCTGATCTGAAATATATGATTAATACAAACATTGTCCGCAATCGCATATCATCTTCACACCCCACAATGCTAGTTAATAGACTGAAATATCAAGGGCTTGGGGATGAGAAGAAAATCTGGCAGCAAATTAGGATTCTTCTTCATTCACATTCCCTCCCATCGTTTTCAAATAGTACACTCATGGCTTGATTGGATCTTCTTTTCGGTTCTGCCGATGGTTTTAGGCTTTTGAGGCAAAAGAGAAACACGACTCTATTTTTGCTCAAAAGCCAAGCATTTCTTAGACACACAAACAGACGTTCTATCATCATCACGAACGACACCCACAACACTGTCGGTGTGGAATTTGAAGAGTTTCCAAAAAAAGAAAATGAAAAGAAAATAAGATAAAGATAAAGTAACTTTCTTCATCACAAAAAAGGAATTTTTGAAAAAAAAAAACGAAAAGGGGTCTTACTCTCAAGCTGATATAGGTAGCTCTCACACATCCTCTCACATAAACAACCGGTCGCGTCAAACAAAAGTTAAAAAATGAACTTTGCGAACAACGCGCACGTGGAATATGCTAATTTGTGAGTGAAACACAAACAATAAGGAAAGCTAACATTCCTTCGCAATTTGTAAAAAACATCGAAATTCTATATTAGGACATTGGATATAGTATTTACTGGGCAAACAAGGAGAAGTCAAGTAAATGAAAGAGAATAATCAACTTTGCCAATGAAATAACAATGTTTCTCTACACCACTTCTCTTTTATAAACCATTTTAGTTTCATTTCTCATCAGTGGGTCTTTGGAAATACAGAAATGGCGAAATAAAACATGCAAACGCACACATGAAATGCCTTTAATGGACCCCTTCTAACTTGCAAACGCAACCAAATGAAGTTAAAGCTGGATAGAAAACGCTTACCTCTGGATTAGCTGTGATACTAGCGACATAAACTTTCAAAGGAGCCATATTATACCAGATTGAGACGCTGAACCCGGAAAGTTCGCGGCAGAAGTATCAGACTGGAACTGGCAGATAGAGAGATCAGCGAAGAATAAAATGAGAAACAGAAAGAGAACGATGGAGCATTTTAATGAAAGATTGTAAGAAACTATGAGAGAAAGAAGAGGGGAGAGAGGGGGAGGGAGAGTAAAAAGTAAAGGAAAAGCTTACACACACACACACACAGACAACTGAGATCAATGTGAGATGGTGTCCCAAGTGGGCGGAGTTTCTTCTCTCGTCGTTCACCCCAGAGAGAAGAAAGGAAAGCGAGCAGTCGTGCTGTTTCTGAGCAAAGAGGACAAGAGAAACCGAAACTGCAGAATAGTGCCGAGAGAAAGAAAAGGAAAAAGAAAGAGGACGGCATAGGAAATAAAAGAGATCCCCACTGAACAGACTCTTATCCAATAAAAATGACAAAAAATGAAGTACATACAAGGATTTCGTGCTTAAAGCCAATGCGTAGTTCAAAATTTGACTTACTGAGTGCTTCCTGTCATTCAAGGCCGGATAGTCTTGCCTTCCCATTGTTTTGCTTATAGTTTGGGGGCGCAGATGGCCATGTCGAGACGTCTGTTACATGTGCGGAGAAGCTTTTCCCATCTAGATTGCCTAAGATTTTATAAGTCTTAATAGCCTTGAAGGACACATTTGGACAAAACTATAAGAGAAAAATACAAATCAGTCTGAGCGAACCCTTTTCGAGAAATTTGAGAGAGCAAGAGAATAATAGATTTCAAATAATTTTATACATTAATAACAAGGACTAAACTATAAAACGTATGCTCTAGAATAACAACGAAACAAATCCTAGAAGAGGAAGACAACACCCTTCCGATCCTTCAGAAGGGAATAGCTATCTTCAAAACAATGGAGAAGAGATCAATCTCGAACAGTGTTCGTATGAATCGTTTTATACTTTCCTTCTCTCTGCAACATTCTTCGATGTAACCATGAAGGTAGATTCCGCTTATTCTCGTTATAATTAACATCCAGCCATTTCGGTGCCTGAGAACTACTATGTAGAGCGGATATCCCAGGTAAAACTACCTGATGATCATCCAACTGAGCTCGTTTAAGTCTTTCTTCCAGCATTTCCGCTTCAACATCCTTTGGATCGCGATACATATCCATATACCTTAAATAGACTTTGTTTTTTCTCGAAAAATCTTTTTTCTCACAAGTCGAAGGGCTCAGATTTTTCTGGGAATTCCTTCTGTTTTGGCTTCAAAGCTTCGTTATATTGATAAGAGTAGATGGGAGACTTCAGTCCTGAAATAATTCCACAAACCATATAAAGATTACAAGCTCTATGACGAACCCATTGAGTGAAGTTGTGTTATGACGGATTTATCATAGGTAGTTTGGAAGAAAGATATAGCTGATGGAGTGATTTTCGTCTCATTTGCTTTGTAGAATTCAGAGAGCTTTAAAGCTCTAGACTCGAGGTCACTGGAACATAGAAAGGTTCTACATCCGGTCAGAAACGGAAACTACCTTCCGAATACTAAAGATTCTATGGGTTGACTATGACGGAACAATACGAAGACAACTCTATGATATCCTGTCCCGTTGAACGGTAATGGTTGTAAGTACGAAGCGAGCTTGAAACAAAAAACAAGTTTAACATCCAGAACAACGATTTACCTCAGTTCCTTTGGAGATATCTTCTCCGTCAGGAATATTGGACACCATCCAATGCACTAACTCTCCCTCTTTCTCGAAAGGGTTCCCGTCAAGATTGACCATTAATAATGTATTGAAACCTCCAGATTTGACAGATCCTATACTGACCTGAACTTAAACTTTAGAAACTGAGGAGAAGAGAACAGTACTTGAGGAGTTCTCTGTGTAGATTCAGCAGAAATGAAGTTTCCGTGATAAACTTGGAAATCCTCAAAAGATACTTCGAAATCTTGTACGTTCTCGAAGAAAGTGCCTAAGTAAGCGGAATAGAACTTGATCATGAAGCATGCAGTTACCTTTGCCGAAAGCATCAGAGAAAATTCCAAAATGCTCGTACAATGCCAAGGAGGCTTCGCATGAAGGAGTTTCAATCAGTACTAGAAAATGAGAGAGTAAAAATGACTATCAGGTGGCCTCACATTCCATGTTCCTGGACTTTCTTTCGAGAATGGAAGTCTCCTCAGATGTTTTTGGAACATTTACTTCTTTCTTATTAGATTTGAATCCGATATTGATTGGTGTGGCTTTTTCTGTGAGGAAAACAGTCAAACCAATACAAATTAGATGCTCACCTTCAGATATGACTTCGACTAACGAGCGTGTATGGTTAGCAGGGTCAATCAAATGAAGTTCAGGAAATCGTTCTGGCTTATCAATTCTTGCTTTGTACCATTTATCTTGCTCATAAAATCTTAAGAAACTTCTATGAAGTGCACAATTATTACAATATACCTGTTCGGGTAAAAAGCGGAAGGACCAGCCCAAGCTATTACTCTAGGTCTCCAAGGTCTATCGATTTTCGGTAGATGCTTCCGCCGGTACATTTTCGGTACGAGACGGGCATAAGCTCTTCCCGTCATCTTCTAGAAAGACTCACACGTTATTATATTAATGAGATATATGATAAAAGGGAAGCCTCAAGCTTCACTGCTGCAATGACACTGAATATGCGCCAACACTCAAGGCGTCTATCTCGTGTGGCGGATCTTCACAGGGGTGCCACTGTAACCCTTTTACGGACTCCAGAAGCTTCTTGACGGATAAACAACAACAAAAATTTTGATTTTTCAATGACCGAGATGTGATTGTCAATTGTAAAACGTTCCACGTGCCTTCCATTAAGCATACTTATCGTTCCACAGTTGATTGTAAGCTCGAGGTAGTTGGGAATGTGTGTACCCACTCCAGATGAGTCTTTGACTCAAGAATAGGAGTCGCCGACTAATCACTATACCACCCTGAATTTTATCATGAAATGGTCCCTATTGGAAAATACCGTCATGAATACTTAAAGCATATAGCCTAAACTCGTGTTCTCTTCTGATCGTTGTTTGAATACTGTAAACCCATGGTTCATTTCCCCCACTAATCATTCACTAATTCTTCCTTTTCCTTATCATACTTTCCAGTCAATAAACATGTCTTGCAGTTTCAACTTTATTGAGATCATTTCAGTTCAAGCAGAGAGCTCTAGTTCAATCAATTCAAAAAAGCCATCGTCCTTACTTGTTTGAAGAACCGTAATATTCTTTGACTCATAATCGAACTCCATATGACTCTGGCCCATGAGTCGTGAAACTAACTTTTTTAGTCAAGATGTTCTTGAAGACGACGATGATTTCGATGACGAGATTCCGGTGAGCAAGGAAGATGTATTCATGGGCCCTTGGTCGAGAGAATTTGTTTGTCGCGATTGTAAGCATGAATGAGTTTTCTACATAATAAATAACTTCTACAGATTCGGCATTTGAAAAGCATTGGAGTTCAAATTCTGATTACCATCATCCAGGCTTGGAAAATATTTCCGAGTTGTTAGTCATAGATGATATCTCTTTTCCTCTCTCCGAAGTGAGTACAGCCATGTCTGATATATGTAAGATTTTCGTTTAGATCTTAACATGTGATGGAGTCAATATGATCTCACAGAAACTTTCAAAAAAAGTGAATGAGCTCACACATTATCCAGGCCATCTTTCCGACTGCGTGAAGAGTACATGAAAAGTTTGAACATAGCTCACCATACACATTTCCAGTATTTCACCTCTTGGAATTTGTTGTTAGCGTTCCCAACGTGTCCATAGATCTCAATAAAGAAGTGATAGCAAGACTCGAACGTATCGTAAAAAAAGTTCAAATTGTTCCAATTAGTGTAGGTTCTTTGCAGAAGGTAGTGAGAGTTGTAATGAAATAATGAACTTATCGTTTTCAGAATACGAATTTTCATGCTTTCATATTCTCTATTAAAGCACTCCTGATAGCTTACGCGAAATGTAGCTTCTTCTATTGTATCTGAAATAAGCGAATTAATTTCAGTTTTACAATTGAATACAATCTCGCAAGATGATGTGGAGACGAAACGTGATAACCTGATGAATATAACTTGTGAATGCTTAGTTCGGTTGCATGCCAAATGTGTGAGTTTAGTTTGAACTGAAAATACAATTTTTCAACAAGAATATAATTAATATTGAGGAGAACAACCAGTTGAGAACGCGTGAGCTTTCGAAATGATATTTGAATGTTCACGTGGACTTGACGTGACGTGAATTTAACGTGACGTCGGAATTTATGCTAATGTTTGCAGGAAACTGTGCTGTCTTGTGAATGCGTTAAAGATCTACTTACTCAGTTGTTTCATGAACAGGCTCAGCCTTTCTTTAAAGCCTATTTGACTCTCTTCGATGAAACATTCCATGGGAAAAACAGACTAGCCAGAGGTAGAGAACAGCACAAACCTGTAATAGAAGGAATTTAAGTTCGGTTCTGCGTTGATTACAAGGCAAAAGTCATAGATTACTTCAAATTTTATAGCGATTGCTATGACTTCCTCTTGTCAGTTAAAGCTTTCGGTATGAAACCTCTTCTCTACCTTTATAACAGTGAACTTCAGGTGTCGATAGTGATATTTCGTACGACTTCGTTACGAAAATTTTTTTTTTGGCTGAGAAAATCTCGGAACCGAATCTCATTGTAGTCTGTAGAATACTGGTTGAGATTCTGGTACGTTACCGGCCTAACTGTTTGGATAAACAAAAGTGAGAACGGATCAGTTGATATTGGTACACCCTATGTTCAGGAAGTCATCTAAACAGTTTTGGCTACAAATCGCGCAGTATTTCGAAAGGAATAATATCGCTGACTTGGTAAAGTTTCGGAAAGCACTATAGAAATAAGGGTTGTGCATATAGGAACATCTATCGAAGAATAATGCGAGTTCCTGGTCTCATGAAATCCTTTACCCGGAATGTGTTCTCTTACGATTCGTTGCTCTTCTGTTCGCTGGTAATGTTCATACGGTTGAGAGAATACCCGAATGATTTTGCTTACAGAAAGAGCTATTTGGGATATAAGCCGTAATATTGTATATAACAGTCTGAACCGCATGAAACAATCTCTTTCTGCGAAGTCGTTTGGCACTCGCATTACTCTCTTCTTCATTGTTCTGAACAGTTGTGCAGGTAAGTAAGAACTCACCCATGCTTCAATCATTTAGAAACTTCTAGATCCAACAGAGTTTGGCAATCGTCTTTGCGACTGGTTGTCCGAAACATTTAATGGGAAGGATATGTCATTGTACGAAGTATATTTCAATTCCATCAATGTATTGTCAGACATAGCAGAACGAAGGCAACTGTCGATCAATTCCAAAATGATTCTACAAAAACGTTTGTTATCAATTCGGGATCAACTAATTGTTTATGATTTTCAGTTTTCGATAGCGTTCCCTTACCTTTGCACGGTTCAATGTTTGTAGATAGACTCGCTACCTATTCTGATCATCAAATCCTATCATTGATCGATTTTTCTCGAGCAGGTAGATCGTCAGGCGTATTCCGGGAAGAACCTCTTTTTTCAGGCAAACTTTTAGAGGATCAACATTTCGTCAAACTGGTCAGTTTGCTGTACCAAACAAGACTTCCTATTAGTGAAGCACAAGTAACGAGATGTTTCGACTTCATGGCAGCCAAGAGAAACTCAACTTCTGTAACAGAGATGACGAATTTCTTTGTTTTATGGGTAAGTTACTGTTACCCCTATTACTGTTGCTTACGCATAGGTGTTTTACAGTTGCGTGAAGGATTAGAAAACAATAAATCCATGTCTAAATTACATTTGACAAAATTGGTCAAAATGGCTTTGTTACCTGAGTGAGTTGAAACTCTTCCTTCTTCGATAAAGTTCTTCTCATTCAGCGCACTTCCTCAATTTGTTTTTGCCATCACAAACACACTGTTAGCTCCTCCTCTAGTTGTGATGAATATGGATCCTTTCGTACCTTGTTGGCTTATAGCTTCTTGCAAATTTCAAGATAGTCATGGTTTGTAAAATCTCTCAACTTACGATAATTCTGTATTGTAGCGGTGGACTTGTATAAATTGCACGGGTATATTTGGCCACATATAGAGAAGTCCCTGGCTATTGAAGGAGCTAGGATCGACCCGAACAGATCATTTGAGTCCATTTTATTGATGTTCCAGGTCAGTCATATATAATTGGATCTCTATTAAAGGTATTGTTGTAGGCTTTAGAAAAAATGAATGTTAACCAAGCGATGAAGAAGATTGCACTATGGTTCCCTTTGGAGGTAGCTCAACAACTGGTATCATTCCTATCTTTAAGCAAGAATGACTTGAAGGTAATTTCTCTCCTGTTGTAAAAATACCATCAGAGTTGTTCTTTAGTTCCAGAGCTCCGTAGAGCTCATCCTACTGTTGCTGTCGCATGTGACTGTAGCTCTAATAAACTTGGCACAAGCTACAGGAGAAAGTTTCAGAAAATCGGTCCTTGTAGCACTTCTAGGTACCTTATTGAACACCAAGGTATGTCATTTTTCATCTCGCTGCGGAAGTTCAAGTCCCTTCGTTCAGAGTTTATTTGAACCACCTATACCTATCCCGGTGTCTGAACATTTTATGAAGATGATGACGAACATCATCCGAGCACCACATACAACGTACCTGCTAGCTAGACTCCGACAGGTTATACTAGGTTGCGAACAAAGTGGTTTCACTGAGAAAGTAGTCTTAGCTCTTCGGAATAATGAAAATGTGAGTTCTCCAGAAGTTATAAAGCTTACATGCTGTTTCCTTTCCAGGACTACTATAAGAAGTTGTGTGAAGAATGTGTACGCAACCCAGCTTTGAAAGCGATATTCACGAAATACTAATCATATTCGAATCTCATTTTTTACTATAAAAAGTTGTTTTACTGTCGTCATTTCGATTACATCATGTCAATCTTCTTGAATTATTTTGAGTTTTTCCTTCGACTCTTCCATCATTCGTCTATTTCCAGAAAATGAGCGTGAAAAGCTTCGTCGATGGTCTGATCAGCGCCAAGAAAGTTGTCGTCTTCAGCAAGTCATACTGCCCATATTGCCATAAGGTGAATTCTACTTACATAAACCTTTTTAGCGAAAAACAAGTCTAAGCTCACATAATGCGAAATTCACATTTTTCAAATCTCGATACAGAAGCATATCGAACAAGAATATTACCGACAGACAGCTAATGATTTTTCAATCGAATCTCAAGCCTAGCTGGACCCATTCAAGTATCACCTTTCAGGTCAGAGATATTCTTAATGACCAAAAATTAGTTAATGGTGCTCTTGAATGGGTGGAGCTGGACAGTCGTCCAGACTGCAATGAAATTCAAGACTATCTTGGAGTGAGTGCATATCCAGTTTTACACACATTAATCTTTTATCAACCTAGGAGCTCACTGGAGCACGCTCAGTACCAAGAGTTTTCGTCAATGGCATAAGTCTTGGTGGATGTGACGATACTGCTAGTTACGCTAAGAGCGGAAGACTCCATTCACTTCTGTTGGAATGCCAAGGAACCTACATGTAGACGCTGAAGTATCTTATGAGCGGATTGTTGCGAGATAAACTTTTTATCTGATATTAATAATGAGATCAAGAGAAAAAATCGCCTTAGAATCATATAAGGGGGAATATCTGAGTAAATAGGATATGACTAGTTATTGGAGAAATAGAAATCTGGCGCATTATGACATCCAACAGTCGGGTACCCATTGCGTATCATACCTAAGACAATCCAGCGCGTCAGTCAATCTACAAAAAAAAACATCAGACTGCCTCCCTCTGTCTACCAAAACGACGAGACCCTCTCATACACATCACACGTCATTCTTTACTGAACCCATATATAGACCAGATCCAAAATGGATGACTGGATACATATGCCTAATTAAAGATAGAACACTGACTGACTGGGACAGCTGTTACTCAGCTCTTTCCCTCATTCTCATTCAATTTCACAGACGAAAAAAGAGAAACGGACCTCTTGAAAGTAACGTCCATATTTCGATTTGTGAGTGTCAGATGAATTTGACTAGTATGAACCCCGTTGTTGATTTCGTCACTCTTGGCACAAACCTGTAACAGAGAAATTACTTATATGATAGAAGACAAGAGAACTACTTGACTCAGCGCATCGACGGGTCGTCGAATATGTCGAAGTTGTTCCAGCTGGATGAATTCTTCCAGAGGAGGTGGAACGATATGTACCACAAAAGGCATGAATTCACTGTTATATAGATATGCTAAAGCCTGAGGAGCACAATCTACTACACACATTCGACCTCCTCGAACGATAGATCGAATGGAGTCAGTTGATGTCCCTATAATGATGCTGGTTTACATATGAAAAATATAGTGCCCTACCGTAAATTTGATTGTCTAACTCGCCCCATTCAATCATCTGGCCATCTCTTATTTTCTGTAGAATATCCTCTTTGCGATGAAAATTGTACTCACGACCTTCCTGCTCACCTACTCTGGGCGCTCGAGAGGTCACTGCAAAAATTGAATGGTCATTATTGCAAGCCCATATTTAGCTATTCATTCAAATTTAGCAATGCAACTAACACGGAACAACAGTCGCAAAGAGATCCGGAGCAAATCGTAATAGCATAGACTTGAGGGTTCTTCTGCCGACACCTACAGCACCAAGCAAAACTAGGACTCTGCGGCCAAACGGACATAGCATGGACACCGAAAACAGAATGAAAATCCAGCATTACATTAATTATTTATTTTACCTTTTCTCTAGCCAAGCTACTAGGAATATATCCAACTTTTGACAAATCATTGATCTTGCGGCCCTGCAAAGAGCATCATCAGTATCTTAAGATCTGGCAATTGAATTTCTAGTCAGATGTATAATGACACTATGCATGAACGACCATATGTTTGTTCGATCATTTTTCAGATAAGAGAAGACATAACATAATGAAACCGACTGCTTATGAATTGATACGAATGAGACGAAAAAGGAACCTGGGTGAACTTCCCATCCTCACTCATGACTTGGATAACATCCCCACGCTTTAACTCGATTGGCAACCATTTGCAACCATTCTCATCCGTTGAAGAGGAATAATCACATAAGACTCGATAGAAAAGCTGCAAAGACAAACTCGTTTATGCAAATCTCTACAAACAAACCGGCGGAGCATTGTGTATCGGAGCTGGAACCAATGTCAACACCAATTTACCTACCAAGCCTTTGATTTGACTCTGAAGGTTATCATGTTAATACGGAATGGTACCCACAAATACCGATTTTGTTACAGTTTCGCCATTGACTTCCGTGATAGTATCACCAGGGTGTATATCTGGTCTTGCAGCGGAGTTAACATTGGTCACAACAAGCTGTCCGGAAATCAACTCAGTTTCAATCTGAAAAAATAGATATATTCTAACACGAGTGCCTGAGCTACTTAAGGAAAAAACGGAAACACTGAATTGTACTATTCAAGTTGCCTATCCGCTTATTCATACAACCATCCCCACACAATAGAGGGCTAATTAGAAATTTCGAATTGGTAACAATGAAGAAGATGAAAATGATCAAGAATTGTACCACTGAAGAACAATAGCAAAATTATAACTCTTCCTCAAACAAATTCACAAACGATTGCTTATTTACATAACTGATGCGTTCACGTGAAAATGACGTAAGAATCATTTAACGTGACGTGGACGCACAAAGCGGTTGAACACATTTCTCTCCTTCCGCTCTAATCTCATTTTTTCATAACTGGCATGCAAGGCTCACGAAAATAGGAGAATTATAAACAAATTTCTTACTTGATTCAGCTGTCTAGCATCAACCTTCACTGCGCGGGATTGGTATGCAGAACAAAGAACTTTTCCGATTGTTAGTGGTCTCTGCTATGAAAAACAATGAATAACACCGAAGAGAAGGCATGTAAGCTTACAGTTTTTGCTATTTCACCGTCACCTAATGATAAACTGTGGAAAGTTTTCGTTGTGAGCACTCTTTCTGTGACGATCGTTCGTTTTTTGAGACCAGTGACAGGGTCTGTGGTGATATTATCCTCAATTGATACCTGAAAATCATTCAACTACAATCATTTCAAAAGCAATGCAAATACTATTTTCTCGTTTTCGTCTTCGTCACCTCGAACTTTCAATTCGCAGCCGTTTTTGCCATTTGAGTCGCCTAAATATTTTTAGTTAAAAGCTTTGAAATCAATAAATTCAGCAAATACATACTGAAAGCATGATATTTGGTTTTTGAGAAAGGAAGACAAAAGGAAAATTCTGAGAAACTAACCACGTTTTCTCTCCAACTCTTCAATCTTTTCCAGTAAAGCATGGAGACATTTGGCAAGATTTTCAGCATTTCCTCTCAGTTGCTCAATCTCTGATTGCGTTTCCATTGCTCAAAGGATAGTGTTGCCAATGAAGGACTTCAACATAAAGGTTGACACATCCAGTGATTGATGACTTTAATACATTATATTTATGAAAGATTGAAAAGCGCTTCATAACAATGCTGACAAATCAACGTCAGACCTAACGATATAACAAATAGAGTTCAGAAATCTGAGAACAACAAAAACAGTAACAATGGTATGCTCAAGAATGGGTTTTCACTGCCAACATGATGGGAACTCTGGGACAACCATCCTATTCTGGACATCAACAATCAACGAAATTGTCAACAGAATGAGAAGATGTGCGCAAAGCCGCGGAAGTCTTCATATAAGAATGGAGGACATCCAAAAGAGACATTGGAGACATGAAAGACAAGTGAAAACGGAAGACTAGTCATTCGGACAGCAGCTACCCTGCCGCCAAGCCAGCCAGTCATTCAGGCCGTTGGTCGGCCGGCCAACCAACAAGCCTACATGTCCCCGCCCCCCTTAGGAATTGCCCTGCTCCAACCAGGCACTATGGCACGGAATCGATCGGAGGAAGTGGAAGACGAAAGCTTTTCATCTTCAGAAGCATTCGTACGACATATATAAACGAAATAATGAAACGAATCGCCGAACTCCGCTACTTGCACATGCCATATGTTGTCCCTAAGTAGAGCAGGTACTCGGAAATGTGGTTGCGTGAAGGAAATGGAGATGAACACACCTGTAATTACGTTCATAATCAGGTGGCTTCTACTAATCTCTCAGTAATCAAGGGTTATTTAATATTTCTAATTACTGACCTCTTGGTGCTAACACCCGTCGTATAGATTTGAGAACATTGTCAACTGTCACCAGAGCTTCGTCAGATGGATTCCAAGCACTCTGAAACACCATACCGTATTGAAAAAAAATTGGACGGTCTGAATCACCTTTTCTCCGACTAACAAGGCTTCGATTGTAGCCTTCTCCAACACGACATCGAAGGATTCATTTTGTAAAGATTCTAAAGACCTGATGTCGTCACAAACCCAGTCCATTTCTGGATATTTTTCACGGCCTTTCTGTACAACTACCCATAAGAACAAATGGTTACGAGGCGATTGCATATCAACTTTCAAACTTCGGAATAATCCAAATTTGTAATATTCTTGAATCCCATCTCCAATAATCTCATAGACATTTGACTGTTCCCACAACCGATATGCAAAATCCTGTAAAGAGGAAGACGGTCGTTGTAAATGGCAGTGTGAAGAGAGACAACGGGATAGACACACTCTTCTCCAGTTTTTAGCGGATTATGAACGGTAAACACAGTCTTTTCTTCGTTGCTCATGTATGTTGAGCAGAAATTACAAACAGAAGACGCAGACGAACTGATGACGAACTACGTCTGCGCTTCGAAAAACACAGGATCATCCTTCTCATCCGGCTTTTTCAATGTTTAGAGCGCAAAAAGATGAACCTGGAGTCAGACTTGAGTTCTGGAAGTACAAGATGCTGGAAGGCAGAGAAGTCTTTGAGCCATTCAAAAGATTCTTCGGTAGAGAACCGTTCATTCCAGTACTCCTTGACAGCATACTGAAGGTTTGACTCCATGACCAGCTTGAACCGACAAGATTTGTTGACTAGTGATGTTGATGAAGACTAGCTAAGATACTAATTGGCTATCCAGGAAATAAGAAGACAGATTTTGAAAATCGAAATGGGTACTCTGTACACCGTTTATCCAGATGAACAACAGACAACAATTTTTTGAGATAATAGTAAGGAATAATGGTACCAAACAGAATATAATAAAAAAGGAATGAGAAGTACCTATGGTAATAAGTAAGTTTCTCAATCCTCTCCATAAAAACAATCCTATGATTGCATGAAGATGAGAAGTTGAAGAGGAGTAACAGATATAGTTGGAACTCTTTTTGCTTAGCAAGAGAGCACCCACATAATACATAATGTAAAAATCAAAAAGGACACAAGATCTACATGAAAGGTGGGAATCCTGGACGACGTCTACAAACAAACGTATTAACTATCACAATGATACAACAAGCTCGTTACCTTCCTCTGCCTCTAGGGCGGAAGCCAGGGTAGACATAACGTACAACAACTCCTCTTCCACGAATTCCTCGGCGAGGTGGACGATTGGTAGTAGAAATTCCAGGTTTGTTTGTGCGCTTCAGATTAACCTGCAAAAAGTATAACAGTGTGATAAGAAACTCATGAAATATTACTTTGATTTGTCTTCCTTTTAATAAACTGTCGCTCATGGTTAAAGCGTGTTGAGCACCTTCTCTATCAGCGAACTCAATATAAGCAAATCTATAAAACGATAAAGTATGAGACGAACATGAGATACTATATTCTTACCCTTTGGGGTGACCAGTGAACTTGTCGCATAAAATGGTAACTCGATTTACAGATCCGCAGCCATGGAAATGACCTTCTAATTCTTCAGCTGTGACTCCATACTCAACCTTAAGAGAAAGAGTTATGAGTTTCAAGATAGTGCTTCAACTTACGTTTCCTACGTAAACTGATCTAGCATCAGCTTCAGCTTTCTCCTCTGGGGACATGACATTAACATGACTATTACTAATCTGGGCAGATCCTGATCGACTCATTTGACCCTGAATCTAGTATGATAACTAAGGACAGGAAATATCTTCTACCTCGATATCACTCTGGATTTGCTTCAGTTTCTTCTGCTCTTCCTCGATTTCTGCGAGTTGAGCTTCTAAACCCGAAATATCCTAAATACACTACATTAGAAACGAAGCAGATAGAGGTACATACGTGGTCTTCCTCAGTCATCTCAGTTTCTGGGCCACTGTTTAAGAGATCATCCTCGTCTAGTTTAATACCATCGTCTAGGTCCCCCATTATCTGTGATATTCTGAAAATGTAAGTGTTAGAGAGAAGCATGCATGCGACAAAGACACAAGATAAAGGTAAGAAACGAACGACGATAGGAGATTTTCGAAAAATTATGTAGCACATGCATTATTACATTTGATCAATATATTGATGTGAGTATGACTAAGTAATTTGAGTTGTTAAGGCGACCCAACACACAATTATATATGTATCGAGATAGATAATATGAAGCGAAGTGAGAAAACGAGATGGTTCCGGTTCGAAAATAAACTTTCGGGAGTTTAAAAACCTTTTCTTCGTTTTGACTTTGGAGCATGGAATCATAGTTCGTACCCTGGGTCCTTCCATTCAAGCAGTATAGCAAATACATAACAGAATTTAGTTAAAACAATAAACAATAAATAAAATATATGGAAAATAGAAAATAAAATTTGAATATTGGCTTTAGTGGGAAGTGGATAACAGGGCCCATTGTCCATTTAGGAAACCGCGTTAGGCCAGTAGCAGAAGAGCGTCGCGTGCGTCAATGCTAAATAAAGCTGGTTTGAATGTAGCTCCAATGCTAATTTGACATTGGAATTACTGGCTTGATATGGTTAGCAGGCGAACTTAGCTTAGCTTCGAACTCAATATTGGAAACTTGACTAAAGCAGCGTAAATGGAAAGTCAATGGCTTTTCATGTCTTTTTCTGGCTTTATACCCCCTTCTTCTTTGTGTTCGATGTGTAATCGCAGCAAACTAAGAAACTATTACTTTTTGAAGAACGATGAGCTCGATGGAAGTGGATGTGAATGAAAAGAATGGTGTAGGAGAAGCTGATGCCAATATGGAGGATTCTGCAAGTGAATCAGGTGACAGTGATTCTTCTGAAGAGCCAGAGGTTTGTTCCTTCAATTATGACTGACCAGAACTACTCTTTCTACAGGTAGTGCTCATGGTGAATCAGCGAGCTAAACGAGCCAATGCTGGAAACAAAATGTCAAAACTGATTGAATCATCACATCAAGAGGATGATTTCTATAAAAGTGCTTATGGAGGGTTCAATGAGGTTGTCAACTGCGTAGACTTCAAATAATGTTTGATGATTTGAAGGAAGACAATGACGCTCCGTTCCATTCACCAGCCCATTCGGACGGAGATGAAGTTGATTCGGATTTTGACAAGCCAGAAGTAGAAGATGAACCTATAAGTGATCAAGAAACTGATGATAAACGCCCTAAAAGGAAATCAGCTTTCAAGGTAAAGAACAAACTTCTATCTTTTCATATACTTTTATGTGAAGGAACCTAAAAGAATTGATAACGAATTGTTGGAAAAAAATAAGAAATGGGTCATCGCCAGAATGGGAGGACCTACCGTTCCCGCGAATACAGTTGATCCGAAAACACAACAGGAACGCTTGAAAGAAGCCCAAGAAACAGAAAAAGCTAATGTAGAATCACTTAAAAAGTATGTGGAACATCCAGACTCTTATGGATTAAGTACTTATCTCCAGATACGAACAATTCGAGTTGGAGAGGAAGAAGAAACGGGAGAAAACACAATCCATGCGTTCTGTTCCTCATCCTTGTATCTCATATAAAAGCAGTGCAGAAAGCACTACGATGACTGTCCCCGATCTCAAAGTGAGTTCTTCATATTGTTTTTCTATGCAAAGCATTTCACTACCAGGTTTTCAAACGTGAACAACCCAAAGTTCAACATATTTGTGCTGTGACGGGTCGTCCGGCGAAATACCTGGATCCCATCACTGGCATGCCTTACTCATCCAGCTATGCTTTCAAAGTGATCAGAGATAAATACACTAGACATTTACAAACTTTAAAAAATAATCCTGAAGCCAAAGAGTACTTGGCGCAATTTGAAAGCTGAAATAACATATCAACCGGTTAAATATATCCAAAAGAGTTCTTATCTTTGTTCAGTTCAAAGGTTCCAAACCTTTCAATACCTCTTTCTATTTGTACATTCGAATGTTTATTGTTATTTATTCAAACAGATATGTGAATAGAACAAGCTTGTAATGATAGGATATGTTACCAGGTAATTCTTCCACGTTTCTATGTTCCAACTTTCTCTTTTTCAGTACAAGTAGTGAATAGGGCTTTGTCTTCGAGACAAATACAAGGGTTCGTTAGCGGTTTTAACGAGATAGATCAGAATGATCGTACTTCCGCTGCCGCTGTTAATCCCAAGTTTCATGTGATTGGTTTTTGTGCGTCGAAACGGGGTTCGGTATGATATCAAATCTCAGAAGCTTATGTTGTTCTTGTTTCAAATTGTAGATATGTGTAACGGCTCTTTCTAGTATCTTAAAAACAAAGGTCACTGATAAACTTGTTCAAAAAGTTCACGACGTATGTTTCTCACTTCGAATTTTATGCAAAAATATACTCCAACACTCCAACCGAACCGTATGCGAATTTCCACGTTTGCTCACGTGAACGTATAGAACGCGCTTTCAAATTCAAATCTCATTTCTGGAATTGCGCGTCGTTCACTCGGTTGTGCACCACACCATTTCTTTATATTTCTATGAAACTATATTATTTCTTTAAAGGATGTTGTTACTGATCTCCAATGGAATCATTTCAACGATAATGTTCTCGCATCCGCCTCTGCTGATTCTACTGTTAAGATTTGGCATGTCACAGATGAGCTGAAGGTAATATAATGTGATGGCAACATTACGCTAATGATATGATAGATATCTTGTGTTCGAACATTGACCCAACATTCCGGTGCAGTGCGTATACTACGATGGCATAGTACTGTTGATAATATGCTCCTGAGTTATGGCGACGATGGAAAGTTAATTTTATGGAATCTTATACGAGATCAAATTGTGATAGAGGTCTGACTGGAGTGCTTTCAATCTTCATCTGAATCTTTCTCCAGGTTTATGAGAGTAATTTGTTTGATATCAGTTTTTCCCTCAATTCTTCATATATAGCCTGTACTTCTTCGGACCCCAAGTAGTTTTAAAATTGTTTTCTCTTCTCAGTTCCCTCTTCCAGATTAAAAATCTACAAATCACGAACAGGTGTTATGACACATAGCATCTCATTGCCATTGTTACATGAGTCACCCATAAAGGTAGTGAATCAAGAAGTTTACGAGATCAGATCAATCCCAATTTTGAAGGTACAATTTCTAACCAACGAACAGGTGCTTGTACTAGGATGTTCGAAAACGAAACGAAGACAACTCATTGCCTACAGCGTTTTCTTTTTGTCGTCCCCTCTCTATGTTCTGGATATCGATGCATATGTTGGTGAATTCCAACATATTTACGATTATGATCTTAGGTTGCTGTACTTATCTGGAAAAGTGAGTTTATGAGATATGAATCCTCATTATATATCCATTAATTTGAGGCTTATTCAACAATAAAAGTTTATGAGTTGAATGACAAATATCCTTGGCATAAAATCGTACTAGATTATGAAGTCAAAGCCGAATGCACAAAGTTGACTAAAATGCCAAAACGAGGATTGATGCTTAATGAACTGGAAATAATGCGTTTCTATAGGTGTGTCATATCTATATGATTCAAGAATAAGTTTATTAACTTTCAGTCATTGCGACAAATCCTCTAAATTCCAAGAAATATCTTTCCGAATACTCAAAGATGACAGTGATAGCGGTAAATCTGATGTGTACCCTTCTACTATCGGACCAACACCTGCAGCTACATGTGCTGAATGGCTAGCTGGTTTAGATGCGAATCCTGTTTTACTTGAGTTGAAGCCTGGTAAGTGCTGCTCCGTAACAGCATCATGTTTAGAACAAATTTTAGGTTTTCCTGTCGTTACATCGAAGCCTGTTGAATTGGCGGCTGTTCAGAATGGCAGAGAAATAATGACATCGCACCATAACAATGATAAAAAATTTCGATTTTTGTCCCAGGTATTGCTAATTACGCTCATCTTTACGAACAAAATTGTGTTAATCAGGTTACCAAGCCCGATTATCGTATAATTGATGAACGGGAAGACTGTGAACAAATTCGACTTATCGAACAAGTGAAGCTGAAGCTTCAGTCATCAACGGAAAGGTAGGCTAATTCTAACTTTCTAACATTCATTTTAAACCATTTTTCGGAACTAACGATTAAAATCCTATTTATAAAAGTGATATTATCCGCTTTTTTTTTCGTTTACTTATTTTCTGATGTTTGAGATGTTAATATTTATATTTCAGCTTCGATACCAACGACAACGAAATAGCCAAAGATGCAGTTAGCGATTCTTCTGTGGCGTCTGATCGAGCAGATTCGTCTTATAACAAAAACGGTTCATCAGGTGTTTATGAGGAGAACTTGGGAAAAAGCTGCACTCTGGAAATAGAAGACCAAATCACTCAGAACACCGATTTGTGTCCAGATGCGTTTAACCTCGATGAAATCGATGAAGCTCTGGATTTGGAGAGCTTAGGATCTAACGATGAAAATCATGAAGAATTTTCTGGAGAAAATAAGATTGCCCCTATAGGAACGCCAGAAGATCTAGATCCCGAACCTCTATACAATGGTCAAGAGAACGAAAGCAGTTCAATGCCAAAAGTCATAGATTCTATTATAACAACTGATTCCCATGAGATTCCATCCAACATGCGAACAGCCGAGAATCCTCTTTCTCAAACAATCGTTAGAAGCCGTTTGGAGCAACGCACTATGAGCATTCCTATTCCTACTTCGAACACTTTGAATAATATTATCACTCCGCCACTACAGTTTGTTGAAAGACTTCATATATCATCATCTCCGAAGTCAGCTGAAGAGATAAACAGCTCGTTCGGTAGCTCTGTCACGTCTGATTGTAGGATAGAACCAATGAGGTATTGAACATTGAACTATGCCACCAATAAACACATAAATAATTGCAGCTCTCCCGTTTCCACACCACGGAGACGTCCTGTAGATGAACCCTTAGATGTCGAAACGAATCCATTCAAAGGATGTTTTGACGATCCTGAACCAATTGTCTTGTAAGTTTTAGCGGGATTACATATACTATTGTTAATCACCGTAGAACCAGCCGAATTAACACTACAGTAGAAACAGCTCGATCCGAATTCAAAACAATTAGGAGTTCATCGTCTGAAGAAGAAAATGGAAATGATAGAAAATCTTCTTTAACGTATGTTTTCTTCGAAGCCTATATCCGATATAAACAAGCTTCAGAAGCGAAACATCCACCTCCTATTCAACTGATGGACACAAACTGCTTGAAAATACAGTATATATGCTTGAAGCTCATTTGACTCGATCTGATAACAAAGTGAGGCAGCTGGAACGAATTTGTGAGCTACAACAGGTATACAAAAATTCTTTTTTCAACCCATCATCCCCTGACCATACGTTCTCGTTCGTACAGTCGACAAGAAAGTTAGCGAGCCAACAAGTAGTTTGAGACATATTGGTGTACCGAAACTCTTTATCATCCGGAGTATTTGCCTTCTATGCGCTTAATATTCATGCAAGGCTAAAGTTTTCTGAATGTTTAAAGAATAACATGTCCCTTTGTACTCCCTAAAGAATTGAATCGTAGTCATTCAAGTTGAGAAGTGCTCATCGAGTTCTCTCTCTTTCTTGTTCTCTTTCTCTCTATGTATGCGCATGCGTGTTGTTACTTTTCCATACGACTGTATAGGCGACATGGTCGACATCGTTGACACTATGGAGAGTCAGCATCTTAAGAGAGAAGATATGAAATTGTTATAAAGAGATAGTGAGAGTTGCCCGTTGAACATGTTCGCATTTATGTTCTCAAATATTTGTTCTTGGACTGAAAAGTAAGTTGTCAATGATATTGGCGATAAATACGAGAAATCAAAGACATGAACTCTGTAGTTTCATTTCTTCATATACTCATTTATCAAACAGACCAAAAAAGTCTTAACTCGAGTACCTATTTATTGATATAGTCATGGATAGGGCTTGATGACATCCTGCTATGGAAGAATAGTTTCAAAAGGTTAGAAGGATAAGCTGGTTCTATCAATGTACCCAATTCATCTTCTCATCATCCCTAATTGAGACTTCCTTTGTAAAAAATGTATTCCCTCTTTAATATGTTTTGACAGTTATGTTCAAAAATTCTGTCTGCCTACTCAACAACTGGGCTAAGGAGGAAATAATAGAAGAGAGAAGCAAAGTGGCGATAGGGAACTGTACGAATGAAGAGAATCATCGGCGCTTGACGAATTCTTGAGTCTCGCTTTGTGTGAAGAATCGCCGCATGTAAGCAAGATCGAGAAGCCTTGTTATAACATCTGGACGGATGAGTGTGTTACATCAGATTCAACACCTCGTTTTTGCTGTTCAGAATAAGAGCCACAAGAAATGTATGGATGAAACGCTAAGCATGAAGTGAACAAAAAAAGAGAAGGATAATAGTGCGATAGTCCCGAGAATGTGTCATACATTCAGTCTTTTACTATTTTTCTCAAAACTTTCTCATTATTTGCTTTCTTGTTGAGCAGATTGCAGTTTACCTAAACAGCATGGCAAATAAAACGTGTAAAGGTGCGCGCTTGAAGAGCCAGGTAGAGAAGAGGCTCTGCCAAATAGCTCGTGCATTTATGCGTAAAGTATCAACTGAAGATATATATTTATCCATCTTTATACGATATTGTTGTATAGTAAAGTTGATACGTAGATCTACGAGAGGTATTTATATTTTTATAATCTCTTGATATTTCTCAGAAAACAAAATGTTGATGAAAATAAGAGAACCTTCAGCAAATGGTATACGTAACGGGAAGTTACCAGGTTTACTGGGCTTCCTTTTAAAGTTTGCTGTTTCTTTCGAGCTTAAAATAGCTATTACATCACATATTCTACTTCATGGCTTCCTCTCTCAATCATCGAAAGAGGATTTTATGAGGATGTATCTGATGACATGAGTTTTTGCATATCTCCACGTATTGTGTTCAATCCCAGAAAACTTTTGATCTCCCTAAACCTTGAAATCCGGGAATCCCTTGCTTTGTCTAAAGATAGCCAGAGACCTCTTTTCATTCGCTTAAGCAGTTTCATATAATGATATGATAGAAAAAGCAGTTAGCCTGATCTTATAGAGCGTAAGCGACTGACTGCGGCGAAAGTAACAAAGGTCTCCCCCGTACAGAAAATGAGAATGCATATCATCATCGAGAACACATCGTGATTTGAACCAGCTGTCGCTAAGAACTGAGAACAAACTGAAAAGGTCATCATGTTCTGTACTCACTTTGAAAGAAATGCTTCCTGTGATGTTTTTTTTGACTTGATGAAATTCTCTTCAAGGTCAAAAATACAAGTAAATGCGAATATGCAGTCATGTGTTGTCATCCTCTATTATTCGGTCTTGAAGCATTCATTTGCTACTACCAGGGCGATAATTGGAGAAAATCATATAGGAAACAAGGTAGCACATCCAATTAGTTTTTCATTTCAAGATTTATCACGAAAATTGAAAAAAAGAATCGTTCAAATCACGCAATTATGAAGCACTAGAGATGAAGAGACATGTAGAACATCTATCGTTTTTTCCCGTCGTCATTCACGTTTTTTTGCATCTTCGTGGCCGTATAGATGTATTTGGCGCTGGCCACTCATGAATGTACTTTTGATCATTCTTTGGATAAGAACATTTGTGAATATTTGACATCTTGCAAGCAGGAGAAAAATTTTTGAGCTATTATTCCGGCTGATTGCATTTTCATTTAGTATACTGCATACCATTGCAAGTTTTGGAACTCATCCATTAGAACAGGACAGGTTTAGTATCAACTTCGAACCTGGAAGAGCTCCCCCATTTATGATAGATGGATGTCTGCGAATACCTTTTTTTGTTTGTAAAAAAATGGCTATATTTATTACGATCCCCGCGAACAGATTTGTGGGCATCATCTTAGTGAACATGAAAAACTTCTGACAGTCTTGACTGATGAATGATATTGCTAGATCCAATGAATGTTATCGTAACTTTCACAGTTTTGTAAATGCTACGGAACTACCGCTGTGTCATGTACAATTGTGAATTGTTGAAGGTCTCATGCACGTAGTTGATCTAAACGTCTACGCACAAGTCGCTTTCCTCAAAGCCTCGTCCTTCAGAAGGCCAATTACAACGATCTCGGTTGAACTGTCAAAAAAATGGCTATCGGTTTCGTTTGCGCTTGTCCATTTCTCGTTTTTCGTTTTGTTCAATTGAAAAAGTATTATTTGTCCGCCTACTGTTCTCTAGACATCGACATGTCTCACTCCCGACGATTGAAAAGAAAAAACTCTGTAGTTGAGATTAACCTTTCTTTGAAAAAATGAAAGCAAACCAAACAGCTCGTAATAGATAAGTCTCGAGAATAAGCAAAACCATACTAACATAATGGAAAGTGATATTTTCAAATAAATATACACATCTGAGGCTGATTGAAGCAACGATATGAAGCAAGTATTGAATTACTTATAAGTCAAAACCAAATGTTTGATTTCGCAAAAGGACACACTGCTCCATTTACTTTAAACCCATCTTTGTTCAACAAGTCTAGTTAATTGTTCGTGAACGGGTAATCCATGTATGACTTAATCAACGTCCAGCTTGCTGTTTATATTACATAACATAACTTGTGCTTAATATCTCGTTTTACAGAAAGATATTGATAGTTTACGATACGAGATCGAATGGAAAGACAAACGAATCGAGTTCCTGCAAAAAGCTCTAGGAGAATTAGAATCGCAAACGTCTAGCTCACATTCTGCTGCCACCACAGTTGACGGAAATATTGAATGAGTTTCCAAGTTTTCAGTTACGAATTCAGTTGTTTTTAGAAAAAAACTGAAAAGTTGTTTCTTTTTGTTTTTGCTGTACCAAGTTGTGGACGCACAAAACGGTTGTTATGTCATTTTTCATTTATCCCTTTCGCCTGTAATCCCTTATCTCAATCAAAGTTTTACTTCGAATTTCTAGTCAATGTAGCAGTGTATCCAATCAATTACTATCTGTACTCTGACTGTATATACTATTTCCCAAACATTCTCCGTTATGCTCTTCTCAACTTTCGCTTATCGCCAATTATATAATCTGATTATATTTCGCTTGCCCGGATTTCTGCCAATCTACGGTTTTCAACTATGTGTGCCAATTTCCTACTACCTTATTCAGAGTTCCCTGCCACATTTAAATAAATAGTCTTCGATTTGCTTCACGTGCAAAATCATGAGTCAGTCAAGGTCTTTTGGTAAACGCCCTTTGCTACAAAGTCTCTTTTTAAATTTCAAAGATTGTATTAGTTTTCGAGTGCATTTCATCTCTTAAACTGAGAATACCGGAAAAAATCTATAATATGTTGAGATTGCGAGAAAAAAGCACTCTTCTCGAAGGAAGTGACATTCTACACCGACCTTCGAGCATTATTTCTTGGCAAGGCGGCCTCACAGCCCTAGCCTTTTAATACTCTTGGTTTTACGTAAACTAAGTTGAGGTCGGTGTGCCCTCATGCGCATTATTCTTTTAATAGCGGTCGGGGTCACATTGATTGCAAATCTCACGAATAGCCTTGGAATACTAAAACGTATGATCCACGTGCACAAAGAGTACGAAAGAAATTCTCATAATAAAAGAATAAACATGATCCTCCAAGGCAATACATATGATCTGACCCTTGTAAAGGAATGATCCTCGGCCCGATACTTTAGTATCGATAAAAACTTTCAGCTTAGAAATAAGCAAGTGGACTGTTAATACATGACTAATCTCCGGTTTAGTGATTATTGCCATTAGATTAAAAACTAATAAACCGTTCGATATTCTATCGCGTCTACACTTAGTGGGCAACCGTTCTGTGCGTAAGCACTTCGGAAATAGAACTCCATGTCAAGTTGGAAGTGGTACAGGTCTGTGTTCTGAATCTGGAATCTCCAACTAGCATTACGAATAGTGGTGTTGCGTGCAATAACACGTGACAGAAGACACAGGGAAGACAGAAAAGAAAGCATATAAAATATATTTTGAATAAAACAAAAAAATTATCCGAATCTATAACAACTGTACAGCTAAGAATCACTGATCAATTATGAGGACAAGCTAGCATAACGAGCAATTCTTCGAAGTAAAAATTACAAAGCTCGATACACACCCTTATGAAACGGATATATGAAGAGATAAAAATGCCCGTAATGGAGAATAGGGAATGCTTAATAATGCAACAAGTGAGTAATAGAAATTATGCAGTTAAATCAAACAAATTGATGAAATGTACAATCGTGAAAAGACTGATTGTGGTGGGTTGGTCACTGAGGCTAGCAATAGAATCACAAAACTAATTTAACAAAAAAATTCACAACATATTAAATCAGTGCCAGATCACAGATAGGGTATTCCACGAACCGCGTTTTCAAGACAAGTATGAATATAGAAAAAACAAAACGCAGTTGACAAAGAAAAATGCAGTCTATGAGTTATTTGAAATATAAATAAGAATTATGCAGTCTTTCGGGCAAAAGCAAAAGAATCATAGTTGAGATCGTGAAGTTCTCAAGTTATAAAGCTCAATCAGACGCATACACGACATTTCGAGGTAATTCAGGTAAGATGGTCACTAATTAGCTTGGTTAAATTAGCGTGAAAGAGCAACTATATCTAGGCGATGGAGAAGACAAAAAATAAAGTTTTAAGATTAAGGTGGTAATAAACTAGAAACGAGGAAAGAAACGGCTAATTGGGACGATAGCAAAGGATTATAGAAAACGGGATTTTCTACTCAGAAAGAAAACTAATGGTAACAAACCCTCTCCAGAAGGTTAGCTTTTCAGCGAGAAATGGTAATGAAGAAAGAGGAAACGTGCTGTTGCTGGTGAAGAGCCCCGGGAGTGCGTTCACAATCTACATTTCGCCGCGGGCAGGTGCTGTTGTTGGGACAGAATTGGTGTGTAGACTGGGAGAACTGTGGTGATCTGCAATCGTCAACATTCAGTCAGAAAATGCATAGGTTAAAAAGAACATATTCTCAGATAAACAGAATGCAAGCAAACAAGCAGAGCTATTAGTAAAAAGTTTTTGTCATTTTGCTAGCCAGAGCACCGACAACAGCCAAGCGCTCACCTGACTACTTGATGAAAAAAGGAAATAAGGCAAGAGTATGCGCCTAAACTCCGCTTCCGAAGGCGAACCTAACAACATAACGTCAAATGGTCAGTGAGCCGGCAAAACAAGCAAAACTAAATGAGCGGCAGTAGAAAAAGAAACTAAATACAGCAGGTGAATGCAATTTTGGAAGAATTCCCAATTATTGTCATGCGAAGGCCAAGCAGTACAGCTACGACCTATTGAAGGGCTAACAAAGGTCTAAGAATGCCCTTTAATTGAAGACAGCCTAACCTATTAGAAGATAATCGAAACGCGGAGCTGGTCAAACTATTGTGCATGCAAATAGCATATAGAAACATTATGCAGCAAAAAATATTCCAAACATAAAAGTGCAACCTAATAGAAGCCAAAAATCAAAAGCGTAGTAGCTCACCTTGAACATTAAATGTAGAAGTCCGATTATACAGTTTTTTGCTCAATTTATCCATTGACGTCAGCCATTTTATTGCGAGCATATTCGATACGTAAGCCTCCTCGGTCTGCAGAAGAAACTTGGAATCCTTGTAGGCTAAGCATGGCGTGGGAGGCATGTCGTAAGTCAGAGTATTCAACAAACGCAACGCTTGATCCGTTTTTTGAATGCATTCGTAACCTAGTGAATCCGGGGAAAGCTTTGAATACAGTTCGCAACTCATCCTCGGAAACAGTAGATGCCAAATTTGCTACAAATAATGTGGAACAAGCTGGTGTGTTGTTAGTCTGAGCAGCAGCGACAGCAGCATAAATATTAGATTGTGAGGCAGCAGCTAACTGCACTGTAGATGGAAGATATGCTTGGAGCGCTTGTACAGCTTGTGCTTGGCTCGCGAACTGAGATAAAGCGAGAAGTTGTTGTTGATCCAATAACAGTTGATGATTTGGATCAAGCACTAATTCCGCTGGTTGCAACGGTGCCAAAAATTGTGGAATGGACTGTAATGGCGCTGCAGCTGCAGGAGCAAGTGGCGGAGGTGACTGTTTAGGTCGTGATACTTTTGTGTTCGATTTTGCCAGCTCTAATCTTAGTTGCTGGGCACAATCTGGGTCGAAACGAACTCCTTGTAAATGTTTTCTGGCTTCATCGGCGTCTTGACGTGTCGTGAAAGTGACAAAACCAACGGGACTCGTTGGCTTGCCACCTTTCGCTGTCATCTTAAGCAAAGAAGATTCATAGCCTCTATATGCCCGAAAAAGAAGATATAGTTCACGAGGCTTAGCATCCATAGGCAGTCCAGACACAAAGAGTGTGCGAACATTATTACTGTGAGTTGATTCAGTGCTCACACTGTTAATAGATTCCATAGAAATGGCATTTACGAGTTTGCCAGAATCCATGACGGTTAGAAAACTGATAGTATATCACAGTAATACAGTATATCACAGTATAAAAGATGAGACGATGTTTAAATGAAAATCCGAACGAATGTCAAATATGGGATATATTTTCGACAAAATAATGAACTAGTCGACAGTATTAGAGAAAGGACGCGAAATATTAATCAAAAATGAGTAATATGCACTGAGTCGTTGTCGCAGGTGGATACGGAATAAGAGCGTCGTTGTCGAGGGATGATGTTACTCGTGGTGCTAGTAACGATGACGAAGGTAGTCGTCGTCAGGTCCGCGCGTAAATCTGTCGTCCTCGTCGTCGTTCGTCTACTCTATGGCTGTAAGGATAGACAAGAGGACGTACGCGACGCGGAATCGACGCGTCGCGTGAGGGTCCCGCCCCCTGACGACAGAGCGCGTTACCGCGGTAACAAAACCTCGCCCCTCCTCCTGGACTATGCTGTCTCACGAGCTGTTCCTTCCTACCTCTTCAATCACCAGCATCACGACCAGCACACCTTCACACATGCGGCTATTGCTGCTGGTGGCCATATATGGTCTTTTCTCTTTTTCTCTCTTCTTTGGGTAAGAGCGAATATGTGTACGACAGGTCTTTCTGAAAATATAATCGGCACCTCCGGATAGTTGACCCAGTATGGAAAACATCAAACGTCTGACCATGATCATCACTAGAGAAGCTAGCAGTGATGTCTGAGTTCTTCCGAACTGGCCCCCTATGAAGTATCCTTAAAAAATCTTTCTCGGCACTTTCCTAAGAATGATGATGATGATACTTTCAGAAGGGCAACCTGACGCTAATCACACATGGGTGGGACACCTATTTTTGAGTCGGGAAAACCTGTTGATGCTTGTCTGCAACATGATGTTCACCATTTCTTCAGACTTCATGAACCTAAGAAGTCACTTTTCCCCGGACATGCAGTCTCTATTTAAGTTTTTTCTGTCGCAAAAGAGAGAAGCAGTTGCATAATCGTTTCAATGGAGGATCACATGTGAGAGAGATAAGCTTCGAAAAGCTTTCTTCCATCTTTTTTCGGAAAACATTCGTATAAACTTGAAAAAAACCGCGGGCTGGTTGAATTATAAGTCAATCGAAAGAGACAATTGTTGAAAGGGCAAGGTAGTGCCAAAGTACCAGCAACTTCTCAGTGGGTTCAAATTGGTAACCAAAACGCTTTCTGCTGTTGCCTCTTGTCTTCGGAAACTAAGGTTTCACAAATTCAATGGCCCGTTTAAGTACAGGAAAGCCATAAAAGGGATTTATTTGCATTTTTATAGAAGCCTATGGCATACCTCAAGAATTCCTACAAAGTTCTCTTAATGCAAGTGCAAGTCTCCTTTCAAACTACTATCATTTCATTTTCAAAGATGATCATTACGATTGACGATTTTACGATTCCTGTCTTATTCTCCAAAATGGGCATTTCCTAATGATAGATATTCCAGCAAAGGTACAGATATCCGTCATTAGGTCTTATCAGATGGCCCCACATTAAGTCCTTGACCGGCAGGACTTTTATGCAAATGCCTTCATCGTCTTAAATATCTCCCCTATCCATTGCTATCAGCCATGCATACTCGTCAAAAAATTTATAGGCGAAAGATGGCATATAGATGGGACTTCGAAAAATTCAATTATTTGATAATTACGACGAAGGTTCGTGTATGCCACGCCATCGCTATTTTTGAACGAACGTCGGAAGTATTCGCTAATTATCAGGATAGTGCCGGAGAGTAGCTTATGAAGAACAGTCTCCATTTCGAAAATGCATGATAGGTCGGCACCTAAGCTTCAAAACGAGAAGTCAAGGCAATGACTACGGCTTTATGAGCCATAATACGGAGGAATAGTTGTCGTCTGTCCTCGCAGATTAATTTCTGTTTTCTGGGCGCCCAACAAAGAATACTATAGACCAATTTGGCATTCATCATTTTTCTCTCGGCATTCCCTATCCGGTTCGTTTCAATCCATATGTTTACTGTTAAATTACCTCATATAATATATATCTATATATATATATAATCTATCAGGCAAGGAATAAACTCTCGTCGGCAGATTAAAACCGATAAACCAGTAAAGGTTATTTCCTTGGTGGTGGACCAACAACTAAAACTCTTGAGCCATCAACTTGGCCATGCCGCTCATAACATAATTTTACTCCTAAAGCTGAAAAAAAGTTCCAATCGTCCTTTCTATATAAACACATGCCGCATATCTCTAAACTCAACATTTTTTCTCTTCAAGTGCTCAGCTATAACTGGCTGCATGACTACACGAGTGTGGCGACAAATAGTGTCTTTGTCGGACAAGCCAATTTTTTTCTCCATTATTCTGCCACGAGTTCTCTAACTTTTACCTTTTCATTCGAAAGGGAGTTTCGAAAAAAAGCAAAAGTTGACATGTGTTTAACTCCATTTAAGGAAAAAAACTGGTGTACCTAGCATTCTGTTTGGATTACAACAATCCATTTGTGAAACCATGAGCCTGTCATTCAACAATCAGATCTCATGCAACACAGCGCTCTGTCAGATGTACAACTATGGGCAGTTTAAGCCAACAGATGTCTGTCGAAAGTTTTCGGAATAGAACATCTTTTGCATTAAGAGAGAAGTAAAGGAACTGACGATATGAAAGAGATACGAGGAGAAAAGGGAACGAACAAGAGAGAGAGAGGAAAACACCAGAACATGAACAGGCGGAATGAACAGGAGCAAATACATATCTATAACTAGAGGGAAACCCAGAGAGAAGGAAGATGTCCAAATATGATGAAAAATGGATGAGGTGTCGGCACGCAATAAATACATGCATAAAGTACGAAGCGTCATTCATACCAGACATAGGCAGACGTTGCTCTTCAGATGTTAACAAGAAATGTTGGCCAAATGAAAAATCGAAAGTATAACCCCGGGGTCATAGCAAAAACCACTAGTCATAAGGGAGTCAACATATTATTCCATTCCAACATAATTATCTTGTCAAGCTTTCATATCCGTTAGTCTACTTTTGACTATACCAATTTTGTCAATCTTAGCCAGTCTCAAAACCCACAAAAAACACCTATTAGGGATCGTAGGAATGCTATGTCCAGAGGTCACGAGACCTCCCGAGGTTTGCTGCTAGATCTAATGGAGGTCAATCCATAGTTAGGCCGGCAGACAGCGTATTTGAGACAATGTTAATGAAAAAAGGAACGTACTTCGAATCCTGTTCTCATAAATGATGAAACTGATGTTTGTGAAGACTGTATTGTGGGAAAACAGCAGCTTGTGGAAAATAGTTTGAAATCTGAAAGAAGATATTCTAAATGCATGAAGTATCAAGTCAAACATACCAGTTCGAAAACAAATTCCTCTGCATGACTCCTGACAGGCAAGTTTGAGGGACACTGAAAAAGGGAAAAGTAATGAAAATTTATACAAAAACAGATATGGATGTTTCTAAACGATGAACGAGACCAAAATATTAAATTAATTCCTGGTCACATAATGGAGGAAAACAACTCGCTCTCTCGGTGCTGTTTTTAAAAGAAAAAATAATGCAGAGCTTATTAGAAATTACTTCTGAAAATTCGCTTTGTTCCCAAAAGCCATTATTCACTCTCACACAGCCCAAAAAAAACTATGAAAGCTGAAGTTACACGTTCCGACACAGAAAAAATCAGAAAAATTAAAAAGTGAAGGGACGTATGGAGACGTGACGTAGAGACGTCATTTTCACTTCGCATTCCAATGATAACAGGTGTGGCTGGTTATTAATAAGAAAACTTGAAGATATGATAAGTTCTTTTCAGTTTCGAGAGTTTTTGCCGTCATTTTCTCATCGGCATGCTTGGTAATCTGTCAGAAAGTGAAAAATTGCTCTTTATACACTTTTTCAAGAACCCCATATGCGCGTTTCAAGACTACTATGTTGATGACCAAACCGACAAAAAAAAGGTAAATAAAAGACCAATAAACATCTTATGACGTCTGCACGAAATGAAAATGACGATCATCAAGTTTCCTGACGGTAGATTAGGCGGATCGAAATTCCAAAATCGGTAAAAAAAACCAAGGATCTACGACGCGCTTTGCTTACTGCAGAGGGGAACTTCGAGAAATCATAAACGCGCGTTCGTGAAATGGGTCTGTCGGATATGCTAATTCACGCGTGGCTACAAACAAACACGCGCGTGGCTACATGTTTTCAATTAATTTCTGGCGTGAAGAGCGTCTGTAGTGGTTGAATGGATCGCGTTCCGGCAGCGGTTAATGTTCATGTAGATTTTGAGAGAATAACCACAACAGCTCAGACTATTGTTAAAGAGACAGTTACTAAGCTGAAGAAACCGGTGAGCCTAGGATGCATCCCCCGCAACTGATTATACGGATTATTAACAATAAAGCTGATTTGCTTTCAGAACAAACAATTCTTCCTGATTGAGTATTGGAATCATTTTGTAGCTCATCTCCCACCTCTACCAGCCTGGACCAAAATCTCACCGTAAGCTTGAAAGTTATTTTGAAAAAAAAAATTCGCTAAATCCAGAGAGAGCAAAGGCTTAGCATATGCTATCGTCACAATCGTGCCGATTATTCTTGTCATTCTTTGTATTATTATTCAAAGCTGTTCCGGAAGCTCTGCTCCCCGAACATCCCGCAGGAGAAAATCCCGTCACCGAAGTAGAAGTTCAACTACAAGAGGAAAAACGTACGCATAATGCCGTTATCCTCCCTTTCATTTCATGATAGATGGCAGATGATTGTTGAAAACATGAACCTTTCTTGTACCTAGAAGTAATATTAATAAATATTTTCGACAAATTACTAATATCAACCTCCACATTGCAAAAATTGAAGATATAGCATTTTGGGACGCAGACACAACCAATTACCACAAAAAAATTTCCGTAAATAATAATACATTAACGAGACCATATCGTGACTCCGCCCTTTATTTCATTTTGACGCCGAAATCTCAACAGATCGGTTGGAATGTTTCAAGATGGAAAATAGACGTATGAATAATGGATGGTTTTTCGAGGTGCATATTTAATTTAATTTTAAACAATTTTCAATTCCACACACACAACTTCATCCCAATGATTTGCATTTCTTTTTTAATTTCTCTAAGCGACAGCACGGCGTGTATGCGTTTGATGGCAAAGTTCGTTGTTTCAAACAGAGAATCATCCCTTTCATAAGCTTGTTTCCTATTGACTAGATGATGCTTTGAAAACTCGTTCAAATCCCCGTGAAAAGAAATTATGGACGGCAATGGCGGTATGGGTGCGATGACTAACGTTTCCTATCGCACCTTGCGTGCCTTTCATGCCTATTGCTAGTGTTGCTGCAACAGCAACTTTGCCCGTAACTCTCAAATTAGAAAAAGCTGATTGACGTGAAAGTCTGAAAGTTTTTTTTTGTTTTTTGTCTATGCTCTGCACTCTTTCTCAGTTCTCTTCTACCCCTTGGCTTTCAGCAGTTTCGCTGTCTCTGCCTTCCTATCGTTCTTTCCTCACTCCAATTCTCACATTGGGATAGCGATAGGTTTAACTGCAAATCAGAATACTTTCTGTTGTAGACGGCAACTATCACACACGTCCCGGCAGAATGTGGCCATGTATAGCCGTTTTCATATTATTTTTGCTGCCTTTTTTTTGTTAGACAAAATGCCTCATATGAAGCAACTCCAACTAGCATGGGTGTATATTTATGTTTCTGCAGTCCCCCCAAACACACTTGTTTTGGTGTTGCCGTCTTTATGGATAAATATATTTCTCTTTTTTCGCTTCTTCCTTCTCTTATTAAAGCTTAGTTCCCTACTAAATTAATCGTCTATACCTTTTATTTCCATAACTTTATTATATCAATCTTGGTTCAGAACTGGTTCTTCTTTCCTTTGATCGATAATTGGACGACTGGAGCTCATCTTCATTCGTCGTTCCAACGTGATTGTTTGCCTCCACCACTTTCTATCATCGGCGCTTTTAGGTTGTCAGCTGTCTTTTCTCTCATTTCGATAAATCAGCTGAGCTGTGATTGCGCTGGAATATCAAAAGACCTTTTTTGCATATTTTCGAGCTTATTTTCAGCCACTTCAGCATTTTTTTTCATTTGTCTTCTCAACAGCAACAACGGCAGCAGCAGCAGCACATGGCACTATGCGTGTATATGTGTGTGTCTGTGTGGTGTGTATGTTTCTGCCTAGTTTCCCCGCTCTTTCTCTTCCTCTCTTTCTCTCTTTTTTTCGAATGCTGTTGCGCTGTGTGTTTCTGATCTCTCTCTGTTTTCATGTTATTTTGCCAACTGTTAGCTGTCTTCAGCCTCTCATTTGTGCCCCCCGAGTGCTTCCTCACGTCGCCTGCTCACGTTATCTTATGTCTCCACTTCCACGGCATCTGCTATTGCTGCTGTTGCTGCAGAATTCGCTTTCAATTCAATAAGTAATTATTGGAAAACTTTAATTTAATTCAATTCAACTATTAGTTTCTCTCTTATAAGCCGGGGCAAATCGATGTGTTGCACGTTATCTCGTTCCTTGTGATAAGAGAATGCTATTGCCCACTCTAAACAATTCCTTTCATTTCTCATCCCTCTCCTGAATGTACCTATTATTTCGGGAAGAGTTTACCATATTTTCCATTTATCATCGTCTCTTGCCTTTATTTCTTCCTTAGTTCTTGTCCCGTTTCGTTCGAGTTCATTTACGACATCGAATTCCTTTTTTGGCAATTAAGTATAGAGAGCAGCGACTTTGCTTTTACTTTCCGCCATCATAATATGGCTTGGTAAGCTTGAATTCGAAACAGTTTTGCTTTATCTGCACGCACACGTTTCTCTGTTCGTCTCCATTTCCAACAGTAGCACTCTCTTCATTTTTTTCTTCGATTTACTTCGTTTTTTGTTTGTTTACGCCTTCTTGGCGGAAACAGCATTTCCTATTATTGTTATTTTGCTGAAGTAGAGAGTAGGCAGAGTATGAGAATAAGAGAAATGCAAAATCTGAATGAAATTTCTCTGTGGCTGTGTCATCCCTTGGCTCAACCAAAAAGCTGAAACGATAGATGAGCTTGTCCGTCTGCTTTAAATTCTGATCATATTTTAATTTCCAAGCTCCACATTTATTCATTTTGGCTTCAATTCATCGTCTTCATTTCAACAAATCAATAAGTGGCTTCTTCTTCTTTTTTTTCCGTCATGAGATGTTCATCTTCTTATATTTGCCTCATTTCAGCAAAGGCCGTGTCGATTCCCTTTTTAGGGGACTCACCCGCAGTTCAACATGAATTTGCCTAATGCGGATAAAATAACTATGGAGAACTTTGCCCTCTTAAGGGTATTAGGTAAAGGAGGTGAGTATCTATCCAACTGGCCAGCAACGTGTCTGGTTTTACTCTGTTTCCTCCAATATCAAACCCAACATGCATGTTTTTTGAGTCAACTTGCTTGAAAACTCTTCGATTACTCATAAACATGTCATTTGTTCGGCTTGTCATGTGCTTTTCTCCCCCTCTTTCTGCTTTTTTGGATTAAAGATGATAAATGCTAAATCTGGAAGAGATAAAAGCAGTTGTAAAGCCCAGAATAAACTTATGTTTTTGCAGCCTATGGCAAAGTCTATTTGGTTCGAAAAGTTGGAGGCAAAGACCATGGATCCATGTATGCTATGAAAGTGATTCGTAAAAATAGGGTAATAGCTCACCTTTCCTTCCTTTTCTATTTCCTTTTCTAGGTAATCTCTAAAGCTAAAACGTTAGAACATACACAAGCTGAAAGAAAAGTACTTGAGAAAGTGAAAGGTGTGCCTTTCCTTGTCAACTTGCACTACGCTTTTCAGAGCGATACAAAGTTACATATTGTAATGGGTAAGAATTCTATTATATACCTTAAAAGACATTTGTTTGTCTTTTCCAGAATACGTTAGAGGCGGTGAGCTATTCACCCATCTTTGTAATCGGGGGTCCTTTGATATTAAAACAGCCAAATTCTTTATTGCCGAACTCATTGTTGCCATTGATAGTTTACATCAGGTAATACTATTCTTCGTCGTCTTCTCTCCATCTTCTTGCTTTCCAGAGAAAAGTTATTTATCGTGATTTAAAATTAGAAAATATTCTGTTGGATGAAGAAGGTCACATCAAGTTGACCGATTTTGGGCTTAGCAAGCTTCTTGATCCTGATGAGCTGGACAGAGCTAACTCCTACTGTGGAACAGTGGAATATATGTTTGTGCCCTTTGGAAAACTCGCTTGAAAGCTGCTCTTTGTTCAGGTCTCCGGAAGTTGTAGATAGACCGCTAGATGGCTACACTGACATAGTTGATTGGTGGTCAATGGGAGTGATAGCTTTTGAACTCATTACGGGTTGTAGTCCTTTCACAGTTGATGGGGGCAACAACTCCAGCAAAGACATTGCAAGGTCCGCTCTTTCTCCCTTCCCATACTGTTTGACCTTTGACTTTCTGCATTTATAGGAGAATTCTAACAAAGAAAGTACCCTTCCCTCGTGATATTAATCCTGATGCCAAAGATTTCATTAGCAAATTGTTAGACAAACGTCTACAAACCCGTCTAGGCTATAATGGCGTGCACGAAATCATGAAGTATGAGAAGCGTTCTCATCAAATTTCAAACCATTTACATTTCAGCCATCCATTTTTGGCCGACATTGACTGGGAGAAGGCTGGCCATCGTGAATTGAAGCCAGAAATAGTTCCACTGGTTACTGATTCGGTAATTAGGCAGAAGCTTTTGACACTCCAAATAACTTTCGTCTTATGCAGATGGACGTTCAAAACTTCGCACAAGAGTTCACTAACCAAGCCCCTGTATACTCACCAGCAGAGTCTCCATTGAGTGGGAATGGATTATTCCGAGTAACCACTATTTCAAAGAGCCAGAATATTTTATGACTTTTATAGGGTTATTCCTATGTAACTCCATCGGTCTATTTTGACAACAATAACATCATTGGCGAAGAATTGCTCTCTGAAAACATCCAAGGTTTTCTCAAAGATTCCTCTTTTTTCCAAAAGTATCGATTGGATCCTTCCGAGAAGGGCATGCTCGGCAAAGGATCTTTCTCAGTCTGCAGGTTTTTAAATAACCAAAACAAGTAACTTATCTGGTCCTTAGACGGTGTGAACGTAAAGAAGATGGTGCACCCTTTGCGGTGAAAATAGTGTCCACTAGATTCGGATTCCAAGCCCAACGTGAATCTAGCATCCTAGAATTAGTTAAAGGTTCCAAGCCACTTTAAAAACCTAGCTCAAACATCACATCTTGCAGGACACCCAAATATAGTTCGCTTGATAGAAGTACACTCTGATCAACACCATTACTATATTGTATTGGAGCTGCTGGAAGGTCAAGAGCTTCTTGCTCGGCTACGCCGAATGGCCAAGTTCACTGAAGTAGGCATTTTCAGAGTTTTTATAAGCCTTGAGATAATATATGCTAAAATGATTTATCTAGCAGTTCAACAGCTTACGTTTGTTCTATCTGTTTGCTTCATCTTCGTTTTTTATAGGCTGAGGCTGCTCAGATCATGAAACAGCTGGTGTCGGCTGTTAGTTATTTGCACGAGAAACGCATTGTTCATCGAGATTTGAAGCCTGAAGTGAGATACAGTTTGAAATGTGATTTTTGATACTTACATGAAATCTTCAGAATATTCTGTTCGAATCAGATGCAGTAGATGCCCGTTTACGTCTTGTTGATTTCGGGTTTGCCCGTCAACTCCCGAACGCGATAGACCAGCAGCTGAAGTCAGTATATCGGAAAATGTACGGCTAAGAACCCATCGACTATGGTTTTATATGGATTTGCTATAGTTAACATAGATCCTTAAATGCAAGCACTATTGTCTAGCTAGTCCTTTCGGCACTTAACAAATTCTGGACGATTGAAACCTCAGTTTGTGTTTTTAGAAACTGTAATTTGCAGAGTGCACAAGATTTCTCCAGCCTAGGTTTTGCTATAGAAATTCGATAATTAGCTAGAAGATGTGCCTTTCTGGTATAGTCGATGGGATTAGAATGCCCATTTAGTTATCTGAAGGCATTCTAGTCTTGGTTGTAGATTTTCCTTCATTCTGCCTGCTTCTGTTCACTATTTTGTTCATTTGTTTACAGGACTCCATGCTTCACTCTTCAATATGCAGCACCTGAAGTACTTGATGTTGGTGATACTTTACCTGAGTATAATGAGCAATGTGATCTTTGGTCTTTGGGTGTCATCTTGGTTGTTGAAACTTATTTTTCTCATAACTTAATTGTTTTTTCAGTTCACAATGCTTTCGGGGCAAGTACCTTTCCGAGCACGATCCCGTACTGAATCTGCAACAGATATTATTCAACGAATCAGACAAGCCGAATTTTCCTTCGATAATGATGCATGGTCCACTGTGAGCTCTGACGCTAAAGAACTCATCATTGGTCAGTAAAGATCGTTATCTCTGAGTTTCATGCAAGTTGTTCAGGACTACTGACAGTCGACCCCAACAAACGGTTATCCATGAGTCAACTGAAGAAGCATTCTTGGCTACATTCAAACTATACCATGCAGCTTGGAACTCCTCTCATGACACCGAACCGCCTTCCAGAATCTGCTGGTAATCTAAATTTTAAATTTCGCAACCTCAGTTTCATCCATCTTCAGGTGAAGCGTTCAATGAAACATTACAAGCTTTCCTCAATGCTAACCGTGAAGGATTCCATTTACTTGACGTAGAAGCTGCGCCTCTTCTCCAGAAACGTCGTGGACTGAAAAGACAAGGTGGTGAGAAAGATACAGCGCATAATAACAAAAGGTAAGTAAATTTACCTTACTAGTCGTTGTGATGTACGTGCATTGTAGAACACCAGCATTGGGTCCTGTTCCAGAAGAGACCCAGAGGCCTACCGTCTTAGGCATGTCTTCGCCTGATGCAATGATGAACTATCGCTGTCCACAGCCTGGTACTATCCGTGAAACTCGTGGATCTGATTCTTCATGAGAAAAATTTACCTAGTGTAGCATATTTGTGTATTTGGCTATCGATATGGTATTCCCATGACATTGATCGTTTCGAGATACCGGAAAGATTTAGTAACTGACGTAGACTTCATATTTAATAAGTGAAAAGCCATGTCAACAATCTCTTAATGTGACCCAGTAGTATTCTCCACTTCCTGTGATCAAAACTTCGAGCATTTCCACTAATCTATATCTAGTCTGAACCATTATGTATATAAGAGTGTTGATGATAGATAATAGGGTTCTGCATATCTATTCATTTTAAAGATCTTTGAGTAGAGTTCTTTTCAATCTCCTTAATAAATCTAAAAGAACAAAGTATTCCTTATTTATCCTCTCGGCGGAATTCCGTGGGAAAATGCATTTTCGTAAATTTTATTCTTCAATGAGATAACTAAATTGATGAGAACATTCGATTTAATACTTAAGTACACCTTTAAGTATTAAACGTCTGTGAACCTCATGTATAGGTAATCCAACGATATTTGAGTAACAACCATGAACGCTTTTTACAAAAACTGAAGCGAATCCTTGAATTCCATACGATCCAGCTTTCGACCTAATTTAATTGATAATCTTAATTATTGGATAAATGTATTAGGCTCACAAGGGTTCTCCAGTAGCTACATAAGCTTCAATCAGACTATCAGGAAAATCTCCAAATGCGATGGTAGTCTCAACGTTGAAGACATCTTCTGTTTCATCTGGATATGCAAGTGAGACACCAGTGTAGCATAAATGAGTTTTGTTGCGAAGCCTGAAAAAAAAATGGGCATGACCTTAGTCCTTTTTCACGCATCAAAAAAAAAATTCAACCGGTCTATGCGAATGCAACAATAAAAGTGCACGTTCTTTACGTGGGAGTCACGTATGACCTGCTCAGGTCGACGCCTATTATTCTAATTTTGCGTGGACTACTTTTTCACGTACGTTTCGACGTCAGTAATTTCTTGATAACAATTTACCTTTTCAAAGTTGCAATAGCGTCTTCCTTGTTGACAGGTTTACCGATTATTTCATTTTCAAAGTAAATAACCGTGTCACAGGCGATTATCACATCAAATGGCTCCTAATTGAATGAAAATAGAAATAAATGCTTTGTATCAAATACCTGTTTCTCACGCATATCCGAACGAACTGATTTCAGCTTTTCGTGAGCAGTTTGCTCTACGAATTCTCGTACTGGTAGTGTTTTTGGCAGATCTTCCTCGTAGTTAGAGCATACAACTTTTGGCTCGATGTTCTATCGAATGAATTAAGAAAATACAATATGATTGTTTCAGACTTACAATACTTCTCAGGAGACGGAGGCGGTTGATAGAGGAAGACGCTAGAATCACAAGTGGAGACGTCATGGCTGTTATAACTTCGCTTTCGTCAGCAACGATTGATATGGCTTTCCGACGAGTCTTAATATTGAGTAAATTATTCACGAAAAGCTGGGGACATCCGAATACATTGAAGCAGTAAGTTTCTGTTTAAATATTGGAAATACATATCTTATGCTTACAGATTATCAAAACATCGTAAAGAAGTAATGTCACAACGTGGGATACAATCAGCCATCGACTCTTTAGATATTGACTTCGTTATAGAAAAGGTAAACGCATACAAGCAGCCTAATAATATCTCTCTTATTAAGGAAAAAGTTAAGAATGGAGTTAGAATATTAGAAGGAAGGTTTCGAAGTCCGCACTCGATCCTGTACCCCGAGCAAATGCCTGGACCGCTGCGGTGGGCACGTTGGAAAGGTATTTTTCCCCAACATGAACGCCGCGGTTTGTGTATTCATCTAGCAGGTACTGGTGATCATTCTTACGTACGGTATGATCAACATTCTCATATAACCAACCATAGTAATGTTTCTAGACGAGAGATAGGTTTCGCAAACGACATGTTAAGGCAAAATCAAACTGCATCAATAATGCTACAGAACCCTTTCTACATGGATAGGAAACCTCCTGAACAATATAGGTATGACTATAGGACGGAGTCAATTTCACGATACTGACTGTTTTACAGATCGTCTCTTTTGAACGTCTCCGATCTATTCGTCATGGGAGCTGCTTTGATGTCAGAATGCAACTACATTCTCAACTGGGCGAGAAAGGAGGGTTACGGTCCCTTGGCTATAGCTGGAGTAAGTCTATTACTGGTGAAGATTTAGTATGGTTTTAGGTCTCCATGGGAGGCTTCATGGCTTCATTGGCAGGATCTAACATGACTTTTCCTGTATCCATCATTCCTATCCTATCATGGACAACAGCTAGTCTACCTTATACGAGAGGTAGTTCTGCAAATTTAACGTTTATATAAAAATACCTTGAAGGCGCAATAGCGGGCTCTATAAACTACTACGAGTTGGAGAGGTTAATTGAAGATCCGAACTATATTTCAAAAATCAAATCTATACCAGACACTGATTGGGTTGATAGAATGGTTTGAAATTGCCGCGCGGACAAGTTGATTGATGACCTTTTCAGCATGAGATGACGGCTAAAAATGGAAAAAGCTTGTCCTATAACTTCATGTGCATATTAATGGATGAGTTCACCCTCCTAAGCAATTACCCAACGCCTCTTAATACAAGTTTATGTAATGCAATAGTTGCGGAAAACGATGCTTATGTGTTACGAGACGGTGCTCCGGATTTTCAAGTAAGAACCCATGTTGCAACCAAAATAGGTATCCTGATTTAGGATATTTGGCCAGGAATGACCCTAGAAGTCATGCCGGGTGTTGGACACGTGGAAGCTTATCTAACAGGACATGCACTGTGGAGGAAGCGAATAGCAGAGACTATGGATAGAACTCCAAAACCCATTTAAGAACTGTGTCATAATCCCAGATTTCTATTCTCAGTTGTAAATTAGACGCGCTAGTTCATTTTTGTGCTCAGAGATTCGCCTTAACATTGTGATATTCATATCATGTTATTCTTGCTCCTCATATCACCGCCTAATGTTTATTTTGTAACAGTTATTAAACTGTCTACAAAAGTTCTTTCCTAGAAATTATCACGGAATAATAGACACTTGTTGGTAGAACAACCAATAAAAATTCAAGGAAACATCACTATTCATCCTTATGATAGAAAACAACTATCAATCTACAAAATTCATACTATACTCTTGATGCTGTGTTGAAATGAAAACAATCAACTTGCAACAATATATAACTTAGGTGCTCTTGGGTGGCTCACGTCCTTTAACAGTCTTGTATAAGAACTTCTGGTTCTTGGTGTAAGTCCAGATGTTACGTTTTCCGTATAAAAGGATCAAAGCAACGACTGGAGTGATAGCAAGAATCTGAAAGAGACCAATAACGCAACTTTTTGAAACAACAAAATTTACCTTGAGAGCCCACTTCTTTCTAGTGTCGTGGAAAGGCTCGGCACACCAATGCATGAAGGTAGAAACATCCTTAGCTTGTTGAGACTGTGTGGCTGGAGTTCCATCCTGAAAATTTGCAATTAGCTTTTTATTGCACACTGTGAGCAACCTTGTACTCAATTCCTTCATCGAAGAGCTGTTGGGGCATAGAGATAATTCCTCCGGCAAAGTATGGGTTATAAGCCTTACCATCATCAACCTAATAAACACGTTATTGAAAATGAGATTCGAGAGAATGGGCCCACCTTGATTCCAGCTGGGGCATCCAAGTATCCAGTAAGAAGAGAGAAGACATAGTCGTCACCTCCATGTCTGGCGAGAGCCATCAGAGATAGATCAGGAGGAGCAGCTCCTGAAACAAATTACAAGTTGATCAGATATTTGAAAATTTAACAAACCGTTGTTGGCGGCGGCAGCAGCCTTCTTGTTTGGATATGGATCAGGGAGCTTGTCAGTCAAAATTCCTGGTCTTTGGATAGCTTGTCCCTTATCGTTAACGTCATTAACGAGAGCATCAGCAGCCTCAGCCTTAGCTTCTTCCTGAAAACAATATTTAGGAATTCCACATTCTAATACTGTACCTCAGTCATGATGGTATCAACGAAGTGTCTGTAGTGGATGAACTTCAAAGAGTGGCAAGCAGCACATACTTGCTTGTAAACTTCATAACCACGACGAACTCTAGATAAAGATGGATATGAATAAGAACAAAACTAAACAATCCTACGAAGCGATATCGAAAGAGGAGAAAGCACCAGAGTGAGCCCATGGTAAATTGTAAGGGTGGACACAATCACTGCTTGCATTAACCGAGTTTTCAAGTGCATAGATGAGAGCTGCTCCGGTACCTCCGAAGACTCCGGCAGCGACTGCAGCCGCGCGCTTAATAAGAATGAAAAATTGAAAGAAAAAATTGAAAAAAACTCACAGACACGCTCTTAGTTCCTGTAGCGACGGCCCGCTGCATCATAATGCAACAGTTTTTACCTAAACAAATGGAAAATAGATAAGACGTTTAGATTTTCATGGAAAAAAGTATGAGAAATGGTAAACATGCCGACGAGCTATGAACAGATATTCAAAAAATATATTAATTAGTCAAATCAACGGAGAAAAGAAAAAAAACATGGTAACTCCAAGAATTAGTACAATGCTTATACTGATAACGCGCCAGCAGATAGAAAAGAACCTGTTGACGCATCGTCAGTGTATTTAGCCCGCGAAATTTGAACCACAGTTTCACCAGTATAAGAGATAGACCGTACGTAATCTATTACATTACAGAAAATATTTTTAAGATGATAAGAACGCCTGAACGGTTGAAAGTGTATAATTTAAATTATACGTAACGAGATCAATGTGCTCGGCATCTGATATTGCCATATTGTCTACGATATTCGGTGCACATCGCTGTTTCACGTCCTGCAATCGTACATAGTCGCTTATCTGATCCTGAAGTGGCTCCAAGATTCTCCTTTTCACATTTGCCATCATAGCTTTGTCCAACCTACATGCCATTAACTGAAAACATGCTTCTGTTCTATTTACTTACTTTAGCAGAGCTTGGGATGCGGCAAGAGTAAAAACTGCCGTATAGTATGAAGATGCGCCTTCGACATCCTCGTACATTAACTTTTCGAAATATGTCCAGAATGTAGCTAGCTCTTCCCGGAAACATTCAACCGATAGATTTCTTTTGAAATGATCGATGATCCATGCGAGAATTAGACTGTCTCCTTCAATTTTTTTATTAACCTGTAGGAACATTCGTATGGTTTGAAATAAGCGAACAAACCTGAACTACTCGTTCTGCTAGATGTTTCAGAATTAAGACTCTGCTCACATCACTTATCATCAAAAGGATGCTGTCGATCGATCCTAAGATTCTCACTCTGTTATCTTCTAAAGTGAAATCTTGGATATAAGGTATTACATTGAATACCAACAGCTGAAAAGAATATTGAAAGGACTTCAAAGTATATAGTACTGACATCTATACAATGTATCTTTTGAACCGAAAAGGACCTGCTCATATTGTGGGCTATAACGGCCATGGTAGCAAGTATTGAAGGGTAATGAGCATCCTCCCGATCTTCAGCAAAATCCTGTAGATAGAGAACCAAACTGTCTATGACATGTTCTAACAGATGAGATGTGGAATGAATCCAAGGAATGAACTTTGCATTTTTATAATAAACTGAAAAAAGAAAGGAAATTCACGTAAGTGTGGAACTATGCTAACCTAGGACAGGATGGAATGCAATCCTCCGACTTGCTACACTGAAGAACTCATCAGCATCGACATTGTTACTGAACAAAGGCTTTCCAACAATACTTCGCATCATTTTTGGAAATCTTAAAGACGTGGAAACACCTGATCTTCAAATTGTCTTACTTGTAAAACTTAAGCTGTGTTGAAGAGTTGTATATCTTTAAGATCATTACTGATTCGGCTAGGATATCAGCAAAGGCTTTACGATTCGTAAAACTACTCGTTATTCTTTTTTCTAATTCATACGGTAACGAGTAGATGAAAATCTCCATCAGTTTTCTACAGAGGTTTCATTAGTGCTCTGAATTTCGTGAGCATCACTAACTCGTCTTTCTCTATGAGAGGAAACTTCTCGAATATGAATTCCGCTGTCGTTTCAAAAGAGTATGTCGAGTATTCAGTTGAGCATAACTTAGACAACATATCCACTGCAAGACCCAAAGGAACTAAGCTGTAATTAGAAGTTTGATGACATTTCTATGCACCCCGACTACTTCAATATACTGATGAAATGCTTAGTAACATCTGAAGCTTCAGTACCCAAGTGACTTTCCACTATGAGTAAGTAATCCATGAGGTATTCCAGATTCTCGACTAAAACTAATATTACTCGAAGAAGAAGGTAGTTGCAAACAAAGTTCGGGGTGGCTTCCTAAAATGCCCTCTGCTTCGTCATACTTTCCATCGCGGAATGACTCTATGAGTTCTACACCGATATGGGGTTGCATAGTCTGCTAAAGAAAAATGAGGTAAAATTGTCATATGAAAAGGCTCCAGAAAGAAATGGCAATATAAGCCGCTGCACCCAAAGACAAGTACAAAGACACTTTTATTCAGAAAAAAAATAGACGAATGAAATACCGAAAGCCAAGAAATAACAGTAGTAACCCTTTAATTTAATCCTCGATCATCTCCGATGACAATCGCATAACAACAACACTCATTTTAACTCATTTTAATCGCGTATTCAGCTTAATGAAGAACCTGCGGTAATTTTAACTGTTCACTACTGGTTCGTAACTTATTTTCCAGCAGTTGCTTCTGCTGCACGACGTGCAACTGATCTCTTTCCAACCATAGCAGTGAAACCTGTCTTAATGGCAGTTACTGAACACCTTGATCCGCATGTTTGACATTGTAAGAAGAAAAGACGAGTATCACGGGTAAGAGAAGTTTCACAGGATCGACAAGTGTGGCACATCACATATTCTTCTGTAATTTTGAATATCAAATTTCATCACCAACATTCAATAGCTCACTAATATATTTCCTTAATACGCTCTCAAAATGTTTTTGTTGGAATCTACCCTTGACAATCAAACAGTTGTTACCGTCAATAGATCCGGTGGTACCTGGAAAACATTATGAAGTTATGAAATATTATACAAACAAATTACTTACCCATTTCAGCCATAAGGAACTGTAACACATGTTTGTCTAGTCGTTTCATCAGCCTACAGATTTCAGCAAAGTTGGAGAAAGCAGTCTTCTTACTTCCTGCTCTTGCTATCTATAATCAACATGTTTATTTATATAAATCATGTGAAAGGAATGCCTCAGGAGGTTTCATGGCGAATTTCTTCTTTTCACCAGATAATTCTGGATTTTTCTCTCTCATTATATTGAAAACAAGAGTTAACATCTCATCATAAGTATAATCGGGCCACGGCCTTGTGGCGTCGATCAGGTTCGAAGCTCCGATACCAAGATCATGTGCTCAAAAAGGATACTATTTAATAGTATCTACGTGAACACTTACCTCCTGCTGCTTTAGCACCTTCGATTTCTATTCCAGCTTCGGCTACGACCTTCTTCTTCTTGGGCTTCTTTCCCAAATCAAGCTCATCTGAATCAAGTGACAGTTTTGAAACACATGGTACAGATGAAGTACTAACCCAATTCATTGGTAGCATCTTCGATTGGCCCAGCTTCGTCCACATCTAACTTGATGGTCTTTTTTGACTTCTTCTTCTTGGTGAGATTGAGATCCTATACAAAAAAGAAATGAGTATTCAATTTATTCATCAAACCTTACCAAGTCATCGTCGGCCATTATTGGTTCTTAAGCCTTGTGTTTTTTACCTAAAGCTCAAAAATTAGTACGATTTCTATAATTAGACAATTGGAAGTTCTGTGCTACAGTTTTAGGTTTTCAATTTCTAGAATAGAAATATTTATTGAATCAAAATTCTATAAACATGAATCCAAATGTGATGCAAAGGCTGCATTCTTTCGAATATTGGTCCCGCCGCGATTCACTGCTATATTTTCTGTGTTTAAACATTCGGCTGTTCTAAGACGGATTGCTCATACTATAAGTCCGTACGAATTTCTATTTACAGTGCTTTCTTGCAAGCTTCTCCTCTCTTTGTATCATTTTACTATTACTATTTTTTCGACATACTCACTTTAGTTTTACAGAATGCTCGGTAGGTTGCCTGCCTGCGTAATCGATAATGGTACAGGCTACACTAAACTAGGATATGCTGGAAACAACGAACCACAGTTTATCATTCCATCAGGTGAATCATATTTTTATTGCATGTTTAACACATTGTTGAAGCTATTGCTGTACGTGATAAAGTAAGCAGCAGTAACTCGGCTGCTTTACGGTGGAATAATTCGGGCGGTAGAATTGATGATCTCGATTTCTACATTGGTGATGAAGCTTTATCTCCAGCAGCAACTAACTATTCTGTTAAAGTATTACTTTTCTTGCTTTATACTTTTTTAAATGTCTCATAATCTAGTATCCTATCCGCCATGGTATTGTGGAGGATTGGGATCTTATGGAACGATTCTGGGAGCAGGCTATTTTCAAATATCTCCGTGCTGAACCCGAAGACCACTTTTTCCTCTTGGTTAGTTGCTATCTTCTCTACTGATTCTTATTCTTTGTGTATTAGACGGAACCTCCTCTTAACACTCCGGAAAACCGTGAATACACTGCCGAGATCATGTTTGAGTCATTCAATGTTCCTGGATTGTATATCGCAGTTCAAGCTGTTCTTGCACTAGCTGCTAGTTGGCAATCTAGGCAAGCTCACGAACGGTCACTTACAGGCTTGGTGAGTTGGTTTTTACTTCAGTTTTTCTCCTTATGTTCTCATAGAACTAGTTTCTCGTGCTAAGCTACTGCTCATTAAGGTGTTGTGGGGGATAACCTTCATAAGCCCTGGCTAATACTTTCTAATTTGACTATTTCCTTTTAAGGTTGTCGACTCTGGAGATGGAGTAACTCACTGTATTCCTGTAGCTGAAGGATATGTAATCGGTTCTTGTATCAAACACATTCCCATTGCTGGTCGAGACATTACTAGTTTCATCCAACAACTCTTACGTGAAAGAGAACCAACCATTCCTGCTGAGCAATCATTCGAAGTAGCCAAGGCAATCAAGGTAAACAGTATTGTTTATTGATACTGATAAAGACATTTAGGAGAGATTCTGCTATGTATGTCCTGATGTTTTGAAAGAGTTTACCAAATATGACACCGATGGATCGAAATGGTTGAAACAATACAACGGAATCAACAACATCACCAAGAAACCATTTGTTGTTGACGTTGGTTATGAACGATTTTTAGGACCCGAAATCTTCTTCAGCCCCGAGGTATGTCAGATGGTCATGATTCTAGAAGCTTACCTTCATGTTTAGTTCGCCAACAGTGATTTTACGACTCCAATCTCGGAAATTGTTGATAATGTCATCCAACAATGTCCTATTGACGTTCGTCGTGGTTTGTATGAGAATATTGTTCTGTCTGGTGGATCCACTATGTTCAAAGTAAGCTTACAATACAATATGAAGCATACTCAATCTACTGTACCTAGGACTTTGCTCGTAAAATGCAAAGAGACATCAAAAGAATTAGTGATGCCAGGCTATCCCTCAGCGAAGCTTTAAGTGGAGGTTCACTGAAGCCAAAGCCTATTAATGTCGAGGTCGTCTCTCACAAAATGCAGCGATATGCTGTATGGTTCGGAGGATCTATGCTGGCATCCACGGTATGCTGAAAATCAAGTTATCAACTTCATACCTCTGTTTCAGGCTGAATTCTACCAAGTGTCACACACGAAGGAAGAGTACATGGAAAAAGGTCCTTCCATTTGTCGACATAACGCCGTCTTTGGTCAACTGGCCTAAGTATAACTTATATTGAAACAGCATGCTTTGTATGTTCTCATATCTTTCATATCACTTTGTTTTTTGAAAATGCATATGACGTACGCCTACTGTGCCTTTTCTCACTGCGTTCTATTTATTGTGACATTAAACTTTAAAATTCCCGCTTGGACAGCCTTAATAACTTTAACAGCTTCTTTTAAATTATTCACTCTGGTCGTGTGTCCCGAAGTAAACTTGTTGAGCTCTTACAATCATCGTACGTATGGCTTCTTTCCCCCATTCACACGTCTTTGGTAACGAGTTGTATATTTTGTTCATATCTTCATAAACTCATTTTTACAAACCTGTTCAATGCTGCAAATGGATTCCCATCACACAATGCTTCAACTCACCTACTTCTGCTTGAACTTTACCTATTCTAGCAACATGATGGATCTCCCTGTAACATATTATAACCGAGGTGAATACATTGAGACGGCTACAGGGAACAAAGTTTATCAGTCGGCAGGGCAGGAGAAAACGATCTGTGGAACTCAGAATATAGTCTTGAATGGCAAGGTACTAACTGAAACATTCATTATTCCATTCAAACGATGTTTAAAGAACGTTATCCATAAGGATGTCATCATACGTGGAGATATGTGTGCCATTCGTACAGGGAAATACTGTATAGTTTGTGAAGGAACGATCATCCGACCAAGTCAACGTCATTTCAATAATGGACCTTCTATGTTCCCTGTGCATATAGGAGAACATGTTATGATTCGTGAAGTTAGTTTGAAAATCCCTCAATTTATCACGCGCCTCTGTTCCAGGATTGCGTCATTAGTGCAGCTCAAATTTGCTCGTATGTATATATAGGTGCTGGTGAGTTGCGATTATGGGGGCCCTCCCAATGCAATCTTTGCTCCTTTAGGTAGTATAATTGGTCGAAGCGCTATTATTAAAGAGGGTTGCCGAGTGTTGCCTGGTTCTGTCATAGCGCCGGATTCTGTTTTCCCTCCCTTTAGCAAAATTGGAGGAAATCCTGGTAGGGAAATGTTTCCGTTGCAATCAGAAACTTATAATCTTATCAAATTTGCAGCTAGAGTGATAGGTCAAGAACCTGAGTGTACAGTGGATCTCCTGACACATGCCACGAAGGAATACTATGATTGTTTCCTCCCATCATCTGGTACAGCAAAACCCTCTTTCTCCTCATAATACTAACATAGCCGTTATAAAATAAATTATTTATTTTATCCCTCTACCCATCTATAAATATATAAAGATTATCGAACCGCAACCGCAACCGCGTCTACACAAACAGTAAATGAAAATGAAGTGGCGGCATTTTCCACGCATCTTGTTTAATCGTTCACCGCATTCCGTTCACGTGGAATGCGTGGAATACGGAAGACCTTCAAAAAGATAGATGTTTGCTAGATTTCTATATATAATCATGATAGAAAGGATGATCCAAAGGATCAACTGGAAAAATACGTCAACTACTCTCTTGTATATAACATCTTCATAAGATAGTGTGTCGTTGTTGTTCAAAATGCTGTAAGGTTTTATCTGTTTTCTATGCTGCCTCTCTATATTCCCGTGATTCGTTCTTAGTAATCTGAAGCATAATATGAGTCATCAATGTAATAAGGAAATCGATTTTATCAAAAAGCAACTCCACGGAACAAATAAAAAAAGTTTGAGCTAATACATTTATAATTAGATACTTTTTGTAAAAAATTTTTTTAGCTACCAGGCCAAGCTCTTCTAGAGAGACTTAGTATGTTCGTATAGCAGCAGAACAACTCCTTCGCTAGTGGGAGAGTCTTATACTGAACTATACGGCCATGACTGGTGATTTTTTGTTTAAAAAAGGAATAAATTATTTGGTTGTTGGGAGGCTACACTCTTTCTTGATACGAAAAGACCACAAAATGGATAAAGATCGAGAAGTTCGTGTATTTATAAGATGATGCTAATAAACGATGCCATTCTCAATTACTTTCATTCAAGGTAGAATGTACGTTTGGGTAGATGCAAAGTCAGGTCAATGTAGAAATACCCATTAGGATTGGAATATCATATGTTTGGTAAAAATCACATTGCGGCTCTACTCCCGCTCGAAAGATAAGGACACTTAATTTACCTACAGATAAAGTATGAACTCTTCCAAATAAGTCAACAAGAGGGAGATAGACTCCAATCACAGAAGATACTAATTTGAATAAAAACAGAACATGAACTATATAAGGAAGGGTCAGCCTTGTCGGCATCGACCTTGAGATATACATTTTAGGCATTCAAGATGCTGAGCTTAGGTCTCTGAGCGTTTTTAGCACCATCCTTCTGGGATTTTGCACGGTTCTCATTGGTTTTTTTAGGTCTACGAACTGCTTGAGCTCCATTGATGACTGACGCATCGATTCCAGTTGCAGCAAGACGTTCCTTGAATTTGAAGGTCACAAATCGGAACGATTGTACAATACTCACCTCTAAAGATTGCTTGATAGCGGCTAATTGGTCGGCAGACAATCCATCAGATGACATTTGGATGCCTCCACATGTAACGTGGACTGATTGATTTGAGCCCTTCTTTTGCTCTATAACTGATAACGTCAGTATAACGCAATATAAAAAAAAATACCATTTCCACTATGAACTGGACTAAGATTAACACCAGAATCAGCTCCGACTGAGCTGGTAATACTAGATTGGCTAGTGGCATGCTTAATGGCAGCTACTTGTACAGGGGATACTGATTTAGTTGGCGAACTGATAGGTTTAGCAGCTGCATCGTGAACTGAAAATCCGAACGTTTACACGTCTAACTCTATCTTGACTTACCAAGACCGAAGTTGTTGATGAAAGCTACTAACTGACTGAGATCAGCTGAGAAAGATGACTGTGGCTTCAGAGAGCCCAACAATACCTTTTCTCGTTCGTTAAGAATGGTTCTAAGAGTCTGTAAGAGGATGAAATGGACATGGAGAGATGAATAACTACTCACCTGGAAGGTATTGTGAACCTGTTCAGAAACAGCAGCATTCTTGTTGTTAGTTTTAGGTTTTTCTGCTTCTGATTATAAAGTTTAGAAATGAAGAGAAAAGTATTTAATTACCTTTGGCAGCCTTGCTGACCCCATTAACAACTTTAGCGGGAGCAGCCTTAGTAACTGGGGCACTAGCAACTGGGGTCGAGACGGAAGTAACGCCTGTTGTTGGAACAGAGACGGGGGCTAAAGACGTTGAATAAATTATGAGAACAACAAATTAAAAGTTTTACCGGTCTTCTTAGGTTGCTCAACTACTTGTGGGGTAGCTGGAGCGACAACCTGAGCGTTCTTGTTCTTCTTCTTATTCTTGTTTTTCTTTCCGCTAGAACCAGCAGGACGTACCCAATCGTCGAGGACGCCAGAAGCTCCATCTGCGAATAACATGTCATATGCACAGCGGTATATAATTATATTCTTACCTTCGCAGAAAGCTTGGATGGTGCGTTCAACGTTGAAGTCGTAGGAATGAAGAGCAAGAATAATGTCGTCGTTGCTGACGCCTCTGACGACTTCCTTGACTTTGCTAACCTTAGCGGCAATTTCTTGATTATCGGCCTTATTCATTCTGACACCTGAAATAAATGCAAATTTATACGTAAAAATTAATTTAAAAGCATCATATCACAGTGTTCGATGAAAAACTTTCAAGTGAGAGATACGGTTTGGTAAGTTGGCAAGCAGCGCGGACTGCGACGCGGTGCAGAGATAGCAAAGTTACGGTAGTTTTTCGCCAAGTATATACTAATTCACAAAAACAAGCTATGACAGCATTTTTCTGGTAACCAACATAAAGGTATTTGCTGAAAAATTTCTGCTCATTCAAATTTCTAAGAAAATTCATGCATCCTGCATTTAATTGAGGATAATTAGCTTAAGTTGTCATATTGGTCCTGACGCGATTATAAACACGCACTGCGGACAGTACCGTAATCGCCTTCTCTTGAACTAAATATATTGCAGTGTAGGATTTTCTGAATATTTCATTCTCACGACTTCCTCTAGCCGATGGGAAGTGTCCGTTTATTATATATTATATTCATATCTTTTTAATATCAATCGTAATATGGTGACTATTCTATATCCTTATATTGCAGGGTAAAAATGTCTAAAGTTTCTCGTGATACTTTGAACGAGGCTGTCGCCGACGTCCTTAAGGGATCCGTCGAGAAGAAGAGAAAGTTCAGAGAGACTGTTGAGCTCCAAATTGGACTTAAGAACTACGATCCCCAAAAAGACAAACGTTTCTCCGGATCCGTCAGGTACTACGACCTGCCTTTAGCAGGGAGCTTTGCTTTTGCGAGGCGGACTATCACCCATGGTCTTGAAAATGGGGAGGCTAAAGCCGTTTTACTTGATTACTTTTAATAGTACAAGTGAAGCAGTTAGTTGCCAGAACTAATCCCTTGAACAGGGTAGTTACACATCTTAATTTTCAGACTGAAGAACATCCCTCGTCCAGCCATGAAGGTTTGTGTCTTCGGAGATCAACAACATATTGATGAAGCCACTGCTGGAGGAATTCCATGCATGAGCGCTGATGATCTTAAGAAGCTCAACAAGAACAAGAAGCTTATTAAGAAACTCGCCAAGAGCTACGATGCTTTCATCGCCTCTGAGTCTCTTATCAAGCAAATCCCACGTATCCTCGGACCCGGTCTTAACAAGGCTGGTAAATTCCCTTCTGTCGTTACCCACTCTGAAGCCCTCAGCGTGAAAGTTGAAGAGATCAAGGCTACCATTAAGTTCCAGATGAAGAAGGTATGATGTGCTCAATGTGTAATGTTCAATATATCCCTTTCTTAGGTTCTCTGCCTTTCCGTCGCTGTCGGACACGTCGAAATGAGCCAAGAAGAACTCGTTTCCAACGTCTCTCTCTCCATCAACTTCTTGGTCTCCCTCCTTAAGAAGAACTGGCAAAACGTTCGCTCCTTGAACATCAAGTCTACCATGGGCAAACCCCAAAGACTTTATTAATTGTTAAATTTTCCATAAATTGTTGTTTAACTAATCTCGATTTCTTCACTTGTTTCATTGCAATTTACAATACTTTACAAAAGTTTTCCTCGTCAACTAAACGAGAATCTCGTCAGACATGGTAGAGGAGTACACTATAGATGAGACTATTCCTTTGGGAAACGAAGTAAACACACAAGTCGTAGCATTTTTGGGTGATTATGATAGAACGGTAGAATTGAGAAACTGGGTGTAACGTCAATCAGATGTTCTAGGTGTGTGCTCTGATCTCTGTTCAGCTTCCTGGATCTCAACTCGATTTTCTCAAGTTGGACAATCGGTATTATAATACGAAAGTTGGCATTCGCCATTTCCGTTGCGTGCAAGAACTTGATGAGTGGCTTGCAAAACAGAAAAACGGAGTTGAAGTAGGAGTTTTGATCGTTAGGTCAGTTAATGTAACCTTTATCGTTAAACAAGTGATACAGATATAACAACAAGCAGGACCTGAACTTCCTCGCAGATAATACTCAACTATGCCAAGAGGCCCAGGTACACTCACTTTTTGAATATAACAAAGATTGAATGATCAATTCAGGCTATTGTCTTAGACGACGAGAGCTCCGACGCAGATGGGTTTGCTTTACAATGGGCCACAGACAACAACTTTGAAATAGTGTATCTCAATCCTGATCTTGTATAACACCGGGCTCATTGTCATTATTTCATTTCGGTTGGTTCAGGGCAACAGAGAAGAGGCTGCCTCCCATAACGAGAAGATCGGTCCCGCTAGACTTGCTGAAATTATTCAAACTGTTAACTGGCCAACAAAGCATCATAAGATGAAGAACGTTGGTTCACCATGCTGAGCAACCGGAGTAACCGACTGTTTTAGATCACAGGAAAAGAGAAAGTTGATAGAATCTTACAATTGCTGGACAAGATGGACTTTAGCTCAGAAAGTGAAAACGAACCAGATGAAGAGGATAAAGGTTTGACTCATAGGGTTTTCGTTTACAATATCTCTTTCAGACGCAATTTGGACAGCTTTCACCACAGCTGTTTCTAATTCTCCAACACCTGAAGAAGAGGAGGAACAAGAGGAACATGAAGATGAGGAAGAAGAAGAGGAAGAAATGAACAAAGAAGAGCGTGTAAAGACTCCAGCAGAAAGGAATTCTCCCGTCACTATTTCTGAGGCTGTGGTCGAGTGTGTTGAAGCAACTATATCTGTTGATGTCGTACTGAACAATACTAAGAAGGTTAGTGATAATCTGACTTCGTTTGATCAATGGTTTTCAGGCTGATGCCATTACGTCAGATAGAAATCAAGTGATGGAAGAAACCAAGAAGAAGAAGAACAAGAAGAATAAGAAAGCTAAAAATGGTAAGGATCTTTCTTCTCTTCTTAGTAAACTAGTTTTCAAGATGGTCCTTCCGTTGAGCCGGAGAAGAGCTCACCTAAAAGTGAAGAGAAGAAGTCCAAAGAGGAAGAAGCCTCTTCTTCCGAACACGATGAAGACGCCGTTGATAAGAACCAAGTGATAGCTACCCTGTTCAAAGACCTTAATATGAAGCCGGAAGATATCGAAGTGTTGAATCGAATGATTAACAGTGTCGAGAACGGTTCCGCCGATACAACTGTAGGAGATCTGTCAAAAGTGAGTTTAGAGTTTCCCATATGCTCACATAGGCTCTTCTTTAGATTCGTGAAGAAATTGCTGGAATGAATACGAGCGAAGCACGTATTGATAGAGCCGAAACAGTTATCAGAGGAATAGCTCGGTCATTGAACGTGGATTTCGGTGACGAGTAGAGAACAGTTCCAAAGAAGGAGATCTCAACTGACGGGTTAATTGGTTACTTGCTTGTTCATGCGTATAACTTGAGAGTATAGTTTAACATAATTTTTATCGCAATGTTCTTATAATTTATAATTTGTATGAGAGAGAGAGGGAGAGAGAAAGATGGAGGGAAGAAGAGGGAGAGAGAGACAGACAAACATTTGACCAGTTTTACACATAAAATTTTATTGAAATCTGAAAAAAATTTGATAAAGCGGTTCAGTACCAGACTCCAACCTTGTTCCTACGATTCAGTGAAACTACCAGCATTTATACACAGGGAAGAAATATATTAACAAGGCCTTGCAATTTACTGCCCGCTGAACATGAAAAGATGGAAGACCAAATTTTCGAATGACGAGACGCCAGAGACAAAAAAAACTAGAAAATACCCAGAAATCGTGAAATGAGATAAGTAGAATCTATCACAAAAACTTCTGGAGGTAATGATAAGAGTAAAGCTCTCTTAGAGCGAATCAAGGGGTTAGAATTAATCTCCTGGATGTTCCGGACAACAGTTTTTCCTCGTAAACCAATTATCTATGCATCTGTAAGAGGAAGTTATGTCAATCTCAAGTTAAAGGTATAAGTATACTCTTTGTGATAAATACAAAGACAGGGCAAGCGAGCAATCGAATGCCCTACTTCCATGTCATCCAAGCAGATCGCACATTCTCCTTTACAGTCCGTCAAAACTTCACCTTGAAAAACAATAAGCATGAGTCATAATTCATACAGATCATCTTACTGTTATAGTCAATTCGAGGTCTAGTAAGGCACAATACCAAATGTAAATCAGCTTCATCCGAAGGTACGGTCACACGACAAACAGGACAGGTGATATCTTATAGGAACTATGAAATTATAGATTGATCTAGATGCATACCTGTTGCTGAATAATAACGAGCATTTCTTTCAGTGTGAGAACGACGTCTAGATCTAGGTATGTTAGAGCTGTTTCTGGCTCCTCTTGTTCTAAAAATCAGGATGACGTGTTTATGACGTGGAAGAGTAAAGCTTACCTCATGACATACCCCAGTGAAGAAGGCCCTGCTTCGTCGTCATCGGTTGTGTCAACTTGATAAAAATCTCCTCGGCGAAGAGACTGCAAGATGCGGATGTTGAAAGCGATATTCCCGTTTGGGAAGGTCAAACCTGTAGGATTTCTGAGACGACGGTTGATTCGGGCAAAGATGAAGCTTGAAAAACATCTCGAGATGGCGCGCCATCGACCGAACTGGACCGCGGCCTCTCCTCCCCTACGGAGGATTGCCGAGCCCCCATGCAAAAAAAACGTTCAGTCTAAAAAAGGTAAAGAAAGTTAGTAAAGAGAGAGAGATAGAGAGAGAGAATAGGTTGGGAGTAAAGAAAGAGAGAATCGAAAAATAATAGCAATGGAGATAAGGAGTTAATCAACTGAGTATTGGCCATCGATGACAATATTTGGTGCACATAAAGCTATGAAAAAGAACGAAATATTGAGAGTGGGACGAAGGAGAGAAGAGAATAATAGGAAAACTCAAAGATAAAAGCAGTTGGAGCAATATATGAGAGCAGAAAGCAATTTTTCGTTTCAAGTGTTGACATGAGAAAGATACATTGGCATAAAAGCTTAACATTAGCAAATCGATATGCAGTTGATGGGAGTGTAAATAAAACAAATATTTTGTAATTCATAAAAAATATTTTTAAAACTTTACAAGTTGTTAGAAATCAATTGCCATCCCCATTTTGGTGTTCATCCGTTACTTCTGCGACACGTGACATATCACTAACGTCAAACTGCGAACCTTAAATTAACCAAATTTTCGTATTGATTTTCAGCTTTCTTTTTGTCGTTTTGATTTTTTTCTTTTTCATTCTTTCTAAATTAAATTTTTGAGGAAATGATGGAGCCTGCTGAACTTCCTGAAAGTGTCAGTGCTATTGATACTTTCTTGAAAAAGCTTCAAGCTTATCTCGACAAGCAGAAGGATATGGTCCTCAAAGAGGAATGCATAGCCTCCTTCGATGATTTTCCGAGGATACTAAATTCAGATAAAGTATTACTATTTATCAATATCAATACAACTTCATTCGCCTAATTTAAGAACGAGAAATGGAGATCCAGACTGCGTTCCGCAATCTTGCTCGAGTCACTCGATGTGATTGGCATGAACGCTGCTCTCAGAGAAGAGTTATTAGAGGTTACGATGGCTATTGCGAAAATCGATGTCGAAAGTCCCAATACCAGCCTTACTTTCAAACGAGACTATGAGATCGTAAACCATTATTTTCAAAAAGTGAGTTATCACGAGGTTATAAACATGATTACAGTTTCTCTATTCAGTTACGATCACAGTTGAACTATCTGAATAACCGAACGATGAGTACGGACATACCTCAGATGTCGTTCGAAGAAGTTCAAGCTTTAGAACGTTTCAGAAACGATTTGATAGTTTCTCAGTGATTCCTATTTCTATTCATCTGTTATTCTGGTCTTCAATTTCTCATATTTCTATTGCACGGAATGTTCTACTCACTTCTAATATGTCTGAATTATTCGATAATATTTGATATTCTATTGATTCTCTACTAAGGTGTTGATGCACTCACACCACAACTACTTACATCTACGTCGCTACCCCTTACTTAATCTCTATTTCTATCAAAGGATGCCAGGACGTTCTAGAAGAAGAAGGAATAGTTCAAATCGTGCGGGTTCATATGACGGTAGATCTGAACATTCGGCATCGCCTCGAGCTTCTCCATCCCGTCGCCCTATATATGGACGTGATAACTTTTACGGTTTAACCAAGGATCAAGCTTTACAAATCATACATCCGTCCAACTCATCTGATGAGCCTATCAACGAACCTGACCCACACTATTTGTTCCTGCTCCAGCAGAGCGAGTAAGTTGATTAACCAGTTAGAACAATGATTGTTATGTTCCAGAAAGACCTCGAAAACTCTAAACTATGTGAAGAATCATGTCGTTCGTCAGACTTTGTTCCCTTTCGATTCTTACTTCATCAGAAGACTCCTGAATAACAAGCATGTCATGTTTATGGGAGATTCATGTAATACCTTTCGGGGCTGAGAGTGAATAACCATGTCTCATTCAGTAACTCGAGCTCTCTATAAGGATCTAGTGGTTCTTCTTCAAACAGACGACATAACAAATGAAAGATTTTTGAAGATGAAATCAGAATACTCTCATTTTGGTGATCGACAAGTGAGTTTATTTGCTTACTCATACTTATACTTTAACAGTACCTTGTTGCAGATTGATATCTTGCCTTTAGAATCCGATCGTATTTTTAGACAGGCTAGAGAGTACATGTCTGATAATCATTTGGTACAGTATGTTTTCACCTCGAGGTTCGACTAGTTTCGTCAAACTGTGATTTGACGATGAAAGTATAGAGTGATGAAGAATGACGTAGAGAAAGCTTTACTCAATATTTTCAAAACTAAAGAATATCCTGACTTAATCGTCCTGAATTCTGCCATCTGGGACGTAACAAGGTAATGGAGGCTGTTAAACGTTTGCGATAACACTAAGCGCTCTAGATATAACTTAGAACCTACGAACATGTACAATATTCCGTTCAATATGCGTAGTCCACGAACTCAGATAAATAATGAGTTGGTTGGAATGGAAGAGTATTGTGAGAGGTTCGTGAAATAGTCTTCGGCGAAGTATTAGTCATAACTCGTTTAGAGTTGCGATGTTGATGAGACGATTGCGTTTGATCCTGCCGGCAACTACGCAGGTAATTTTTTAAATGTTGTTGAATGGCTCTCAAACGGTAACTTGATTGATCTAGCTGATTTTCTCTTCAAAGTTGTAGTTCACCTGATGCTCTTTGTCTGATTACTAGACTAATATTAGAGCCGGTTCCTCTGAAAATGATGACAATTCCCTGCGAATTGTCATCTACCTTCAGATACACTATGTGTCTTTGACAAAACACTTACTCCGTTGCCGATCGTCTAGCACGCTTCATAGCATTTCTCTCGATGACAATAATCTTTCATCATTTTCAGGTAATATGGGTGTTATACCCATGGCCCATGCCTATCGACTATGTCGGTATGAGTACCAGGGTTGGAGCCAATGATAAGCGTCAACTACATAGGTAGGTAGCATTTGAATTCCAATTTTTAATCTTTTGTGTATTACCAGATCGTTATACCTAGATGCTAACTATAGAGCTGCTCAAATAGTTCGAACAGCGGGATATGATGTTCTAGATTTGGGCTTCTTCATGAGAAATCATGCTTTATATACTTTTAGATGGTGAGTCATCTAATGATCAAACACGAGATAATTCACTATATTCAGTCGAGATGGCGTTCATTGGACCTCAGTTGGCACAAGGATTATGTCTCAGCTCCTTATCGGTCATGTATCGATGAATATTTGCCTGCCAAAGTATATTGAGGATAGATTGGCCGAGTTTGCTCTCTCTGCGCTTCATTGAGCTCACCAAAATCTCTGCAGATTCTCTAGAAATCTTGCCGATCATGGACCGAAATTTTATGACGGTATGAATAGGGGTGTCGATGGAGATGATAAAGGAAGTCACGCTGAGATAATGCAGGTAAAACTGGAAATAAAGAGAAATGTCTAATGATTGCCATTTGAAGCAAAAATTGCGTAAGACGTTTTTCAATAATTTGAACGCCGAGTAAGGAATTGATAAGCTATTGTTTGTGAGAAAACCTCTTTCAGTACAAGAGAGGCTATCAAACAAGATGTTCAACTGTTACGCTTTGTTGATTTGATCCGAAGCGAGAGGTTGCTAGAGAATGTCAGTCCTGAGATTGCGGACTATATTGTCAATATGGTGAGTAGTGAGTGATAGTTCTCCGAAACTAACCCATATTTCAGGTACATACTAAGAGTTTGAGCACTGCGAGAATTTGCAAGAATGACACCCAACGCATAATGATCTCAGTTGGAGAAAAGTATTTGTCTCGTATCAGAGCGAATAATTTCAAGAAATGAGCATTTTCTCTCATGAGAAATTACTTACAAAAAATGAAAATATAAAAAATTTGCACGCGTTTATCTTACTTGGATGTTATTAAGTCGTTTGATCGACTCGTTATCTCCCTTCTTGCTCACTTTCTCTTTCTAGTCGATTATTCTGATTTAGTGTTTTGAACTTTCAAACTCTGCGACAACGCTTTAACGAATGGTTTGATTTGAATGGGAGCTAGCGTATCTACACTTTTTGGTTGGATTTACTGGTACATATCACCCGCTCCTCGCAAAATCACACCTATCGGTGAGTCTGCTTTGTCATCATCACTGCATTCTAATGCTCAAGTTTAGTTGACAATACCCCTGATAATACACTCTTGCTTCTATCTGCAGCTGCTCAATTAGCGAGTTTAACGAGTAGAATGGATGATGGCGTGAGTTTTCTCTTTTCGGGTTCATTGTTATAACTGGTCGCGCATTTCAGGCAGGAACTTCAGTTTCGACATTTGATGAGGTATTCATTCGTTTTGAAGCCACGTTGTGGTTCTTACTTTAGGAAACAGAAAACTTCATGAAACTGTCATCATCATCTTCTGATGACGAAGATGAGCTATCTTGTGCTCTACAGGAGAGTTATAGACAACACTTATTTGAAAAAAACAGACGATCAATAGGACCTGCCCGCCTGCTGGTGGGGAAGAAAAATGTGAGCTCTATCCCTTTATCATGAACAACCAAGTTATTTAGTCCTATGATAATCTAGTGACTCAAACAAGTGCTGCATGCGGAACTAGAAGCTCTGCATTCTCCGCGAATTGTAGGAGAGAGCTCGGATTGAATCACACATCAGTCGATGCCTACAGTGATGCAAAAAAAGTTTCTTTGAACAACAAGTACTTTGATTACACTATTAAGTCATCCAATCTTAAAAATTCAGCTATTTCCCTAATCAGCGCAAAGTGCTTGATAATCTGAGAGCTAAGATATTTTGCGTGCAACACTTGGAAGAAACTGATGAGTTAGCAATCGCATGTCAAGGTAAGGATTAAAAAAAAAGCGAGAAAAAATAATGAGTCACCTGATATCCACTGATGTTTGATTGCTACACAGCCGCACGCCACCGATTTAAAATTAGAAATGACTTTGGCGCCTTCCGGCACAACAGCATTAATTAGCATACGTGGAGATAAATTAGATTATTTTAGAAGAGCGTCTTTACTTCTACAAACCAGTTGGAAAGAACGAACGTTATGTTAAGAGTAGAACTATTGAGGTAATTCAAATTGTACACTGTTAAAATAATTTTTTTCCATTTTGAAGTTGACTTCAGTCGGATGGTCTGTTCTAGATGTGGCGTTCAATCAACAAGGCTCAGGGTTCGCTTACTGTACTTGGAAAGATTCCATAATGTATTGCCGGTAAGAAAAGCTTTTGTAGTGTTATCTTATTTCTTTGTTAAGCTATCTGGATGAACACAAAATTCAATATGAGTGCATCAATCTCAGCATTCCTCTTGTTCACAGGTAAAATCCCCCTTTATATTCATTCCAACTATCAATATTGAAGCTCGTCTCTTGCTGTCTTCTCTATTCGTTTTTCAAATCCTGGGCATGAAATTTTGGCCGGAACATCTGACTATTCAATTTATATTTTTGATATTGAAACCCAGTCTAGGGTGAGATTGTTTACATTTTCAAATGAATTTAACAACTGTATCTATAGGTAGTAAGTGTGAACCAAGCTCACGACGACGATGTTAATGCTGTATGTTATGCTGATGAAGCTGGAAACTTGATTTTCAGCGGTGGAGATGATGGCATAGTCAAGGTTATGATATATGGTGAAGCCAGTTTTACCTCATCCATTTCAGGCTTGGGATCGTAGATGTTTGAGAGAAGGAGATAACACGCCTGTTGGATATTTTGCTGGTCATAAAGACGGAATCACCTATATAGATAGTAGAGGAGACTCGAGATATTTACTCAGTAACTCCAAAGACCAAACTATAAAATTGTGGGATGTTCGCCACTTCTCTTCAAATGAGGCAGCTGTTAGTTTATGCACTTCACACCATTAACGGAACTCTATTTTAAGGAGGAAACAAAGAGATCGGTTTCTAAGCAAAATTGGGATTATAGATGGCAAGCTGCACCTAAGATGATTGAGAAACCTCTGAATGGTATAATATTCCCTCATAATGTTTCCTATGACGAGTTTACAGGTGACAGCTCTATAGCAACTCTCCGTGGACATAGAGTTCTTCACACTTTGATTAGAGCGAAGTTCTCTCCAGCCTCAACTGGACAGCGTTACATATACACAGGTTGTGCTGGTGGCGAAGTAGTCGGTATGTGTAATATGATGAGAGGATTAGAAAGTCCAATTATTATTTAAGTCTATGACATAATCTCCGGAAGCCTGAAAGCGCGGTTGAGTGGTCATCAAGCTGTGGTTCGGGATGTCTCATGGAGTGCCAATAGGAATGAGATCGTCTCGTCTTCGGTGAGTTATGACATTTGTGAACATTCTTTGACTTTCTTGTTTAAGTGGGATGGACAAGCCACGTGCTGGCGTTATGGAGAATCTAATAGTAGGTTGATGTTCACAAGATGATATCTCATGCTTCGTTACAGAGACTACAACTGCTGAAAGCACGAAGCGAGTAAATCCTCCTCAATTGAGCGGTCGAGTGAAGAAGTGTACACGACAGGGTACATCTTCAACAAGGAATCGACGTTGCTAAGGTTTTGTTGCTCATCATTCTCTATACAAGACATTCTTGTTATATGTAAATAGCTGTAAGGATGTACAAACTTTGTAAGTAGTTTGTTGTTCAAAACTTATATTGTCAAACTGCATCATTTTTTTTTCTTAATAAATTTGATTCTTTAGTTCGTTTTCTTTCCGTTCTTGTTTATTGGTTGTTTGCCAGATTTGAGTTTGTTTTGGTCGAAATACTTTGTCAGCCTTGTTAGGGCTCCTTATTGCTTTGCCAACAGGACTGTTGTCCAGGAAAAATGTTATCTTTTAGGTACACGAGTACTTTACCTGTCACTAATAACTCGTACATCGACGGGTCCTGTCCTTGAAATAACTTAGACACATAAGGTAATTTCCAAGCTGTATATTTGTACATTTGCATATCAAATGATTACAGATTATACATTCTTCCCTGATGACGTCAACTACCTTATTTCTCTCCAGATAGTCCAGGTAGTCGGACAGAGGAGTACAAGGTTGGAAATACTTTCGTTTCTTGTGAAACCTTTGCTGCAAGTTCAGCAGTTTCATTAGTGCCTATCTTGTGCTAGAATGATGAAAGAACGACTATAAATCAGAGGAAACGGTTCCTTTTCGTTTCAAACAACAACACAACAAACCATCTATCATTCCTCCCAAAGTTCATGACTGATTGAAATTCTCACGGCTAGTCATCTCACACATTTTCCTTTTCGTTCTAACAAACTGATAAGGAAATAGAAACAAGTGAACCATAAAGTCATGAGGTTCCTTTTATAATCCTGCAGACCTCGTGAGACTTTCTCAGAACTTTTCCTGTTCGCTATCTTTTTCTGCTAGGATGCAGTCGCCTCACCCTCTTCAATGACATGAAGTTGAAACGTTTGGTCGCCGTTCTATTCAAGTGCATTCTCAATTTTTCAATTCTGAATTTTTGGAGGAAGTTTGAAGACACTATTCATAAAGATCTCTGTTGAGATTAGAATATGATCGTTCTATGAGTTCTTGACCCGACTTCTTCTTTTTTGTTTTGCGTTTACGTGATGATTGAGAGTTGTTACGGAAAACTTTCTAGACTATTTGATCAACCTGTTAGCCTTCTTCTATCTCATCTCTATCTTTAATTCTTTAGACTTCTGTTTTATCGTCTTTATCCCTCACTCTATTATATGTCACCTTTGTTTCTCTGCACCCTCTCTTTTCCTCATTGCTCACAAAGCTGTGTCTTTTCCGCCTCTGACCCTGTTCTCCCAAATTAGGAGCGACTCAGCGAGGAACGAATACAACTTGTCCAGGAAAAAGTGTCGGTCGGCAGCTGTCCGGCTACCATAACGCCCGCCCACTAGAACCTTCTTTCCTTTCGCTCATAACCTCTTCGCTTATATTCTTATTCATTTCTCATACTTCATAGCTTCACTCAATCATCTCAATGAATGTGCTGTGTTATATGAGCTCTCAAAGTCTTCTCATCTTTTAATTTTTGTATTATCTTCTCTTTTATATATTAACAGTTGTTTCAGTCTCCAATGAAATAATGACAAGCTTTACAATCAATTCGTCTTAACACTTCTCAAATTTTTTGCAAAATATGAGAAATTTGTTAATAAGTCATCTGACCATTCGCTCAGCACAGTTTGCAAACTCTTTGTTGTCATGCGGTTTTATAGGAGAATGGCACCGTCTGTCTCTTACTCGTCTTCATCACGCCTATCAACGCTCTTTTTCCACATATGATCGTGATAAGCTTTTTTCACTCTATTTCCGTAAGCTTACAGTTGCTAAATTTGGAAATTTAACCTTTCTGGTATCAGTCACTTCCTATAATCGAAACGACTTCTATCTTTTAAAGTTTATCTTTTGCATATTCCGTCTTTCATCAATCGAACTTTTTATTCATTTTTTCCTTTCACTTTCTTGCTTTTCTCTATCTTCTATTTGGCAATTATCATATTATCATTTCTATTCATTATAGACTATTATAAGCATTTTATTATGTTTGAAGTTTCAATTCTTGTTTTCTCTTTCTGAAACAACTGACTCTCTATGATATCTAATTAGCATATAACGAGAGCTACCTCCCGTTTATGCTAATTAACGTTAACACGTCAGTGCAGTTTAGCTGTAATACTCATTTACAACAGTCATTCGCACAAAGCGGTCGGGCATTCCTTGTTTACGAATTTTCGTATACAAATCTCTATAAATATACAAATCTTTCGTTATTACCACAATAATGTATTCTTTGAATGCTCTAATCTTTTTTATTTTTCAGATTTCAACAATGTCCGATTTTCTGACTCTACCTCCTGAGATTATCAGAAACATTTGTTTGAACTTGTCATTGAGTGATGTGGAATCCTTTTCTCACGTACACCCCATTCTGGAGTTGGTGATTCCAAATGTCTTTTTCCGTGATATGAAACGCTTGCACATTGACTGGAATAGCGAAGGTTCAACTAATCACATAGCTTGTGTCATCATAGTCTCTTTTGCAGGGGTTGCACTTACTTTCTCTGGCAACTCATTGGACAATGATTTTTCGATCACTACTTCTACTCATAATTGGGAAGAAGTTGTTGAATACTCCAATTACGTGGAAGAAATCATCATCACTAAAACAGATGATGCAAAGGATTATCATATTCTCGAAGTCATTGCTGCTAAACGTACGAAATTTTGCATTCTTACTTCTAATGATGCCAGTTGCCTGTTCAGAATACAAACTGAAAAATCTTGAAATTCGTTTGAGATCAGGGAAACGCTCTGTCAGCAAACATACCATCAACTACATGTTTGTGGTGAGTCATGTTTTGAAATGGAACTGTTTCATATTTTATTCGTTTTCAGCAAATGACTTCCTTTGTGGGCAAACATCGAAGCTGTCTTGATCATTTCCGATTGGAAACTAACGCTGATAACTTCATTGAGTTCTATGCTAAACCTGAAGCAACCATCCGGTATAGCCATGAGTACGATATGGCTATCTGTAATCAGTTGATTATACCATTATTCAATGTTATGCTCAGAGGTAATTATATATTGTAGCCGACAGATTGAATTCTTTTCATTCAGATCGACAAGGAATGACTAGTGTCACTCTACAAATCAACTGCAAAACTAAAGCTGCACTCGCACTCCAAACTGCATTCCAAGCTGCCCTTCCCTTTGAGCACCGAGTTAAAGTTCAAGTTTTGAGATTAGGTTTGTTATCACGTTCTTATCAACGATAATATGAGGCAATATTCAGAATTTGGAACTTGTATCAGCCAGTTATCAGAAGAAGAAATGCACACCGTACTTGCGGCTTATGCTCCCTATTTAAACTCTACACGTAACCTACAGCATCTCATTTGTGATCTCAGCAATAGCATGGTAAGAATTTTATTCTCTTTCATTTTCATATTGCAATGCTTACAGCTCGACCCCTCAAGTTTGGAGAAATTGTACAGTGTGATTTCTGAGGAGCTGCGAAACGATCAACATAGAATATCTATCATCACTTCGTCCGTTCACTTAACTCCTAACAAGGAGGGCGCCAGTAAATGGTCGAAACAAGTACTTGTTTCCTAGTTCTCCAGGAAAAACGGAACTGCTGAACATGGATCGGAAACAACTTGAGATAGTTGTGTAGATAATGTACATACTGAGGATTGTTGTGTCTTTCTCATAATCATTGGGATCTCGTTGGATCTCAAGATTTCATTCGAAATATTCATTACATGTCAAAATCATGTCTTGCACTCTTGCATTAACTACGTTATCAGTCAGATAAACAAGGAATCGAATAAAGGATTGAACATTTTGAGTTTTCCTCACTTACCTGAAGAGTAAAGTGCAGGGATATCAAAGATCATTATGGTTGAGACAAAGATTGATCCAGATGGGCTCAATATGTTACCGAAGAGAGTGATACTCAATCCGAGCTCTGTTTAACTGCATTTGTTGTCGAACTCGGGCACATTTGATGAATGCTGTGAGTAAAAGCATCTGGGATGGTCCTGAGATGTTCGATGCTCCTATAGAAACGTACACTCAACTTTCCACTCTTTCCTCGAAGAGCTCAACAAAGAACTATTACTGATCGAAATGGAGTTTTGTGTAACCATCAGAACATCGTATGTATGTAAGCAAGAAATATTATGTACTGTCGCATGAAATTAATTTCATTCAGATAAGGAAGTGAATAAATTATTAAATTTTTCGAATGTTTTCACCCAGATCAAGAGATGATATTCAAGATTGCGATGAGTGGAGAACACGCTTTGCCTATCATAGGACCAAAACCTCCATTAGCAACGATGTTAGCACGGAAAACTGCTGGTTCAGCTGGTAAAATGGTGCTTAAGAGTAGTTATTGACCCAATGAACGGAAAAATAATCACAAACTTCAACTTTTTAAGATGAGAAACGAGACGTAGTGCATCGAAGGTACTAAGCTTATCTACAGCGTCCGGTGACAAAGTTGCATATCTTCTGTTGATCTCAAACATACAAGCATCTGGAAATACCCAGGGAACTTCAGAACTAGCAGACAAACTCACAATTATCTTTTAGATCGTCATCAGTTGCTTCATAGCTGTACGCTTGTCTCAACCCTAGTTTCAAGTCTTCGATTGAATTCTTCATAATAGGGTATTTGATCTGTAAACGGCTTATTATTGAGATTAGTACCCCAAGGTGGAACCAAGAACTTATCCAGAAGTTGATTACTCTTGAACATGACAACGTTGAGAAGAGCTGAATAAGTCCCCTGCGAAGACTGAAATCAGGGGATAAGATATGCTATCGAAACAAAAAGTTACCACAACCACTGCTGAGCAGACGATAAGAGCAACAAGTAATTTGGTTCTCATTTTATGTTGGACTGATAAAGCAGGGATGAACAACTAATAGATTGATGATTATAATGAAGATGAGCCATCAGAAGCAAGCTTTTATATGCTCTGGATGAACTAGTTATCAGCTTTCCATAACTTTATACAGCTTTATCATAATTTATTCTGTTTTTAAGGGTAATTCCCACTCTGGTCACTTCATCTCTCGTAGGATTTTGTCCACAGTGCCGATTATTATGCAATGTTTGGGAATGACTCTGGTTCATACATAAACAACATATTTACATCAAAGCTGACAAAAGGCAACACGACTGTCTGCGTACTGAAAGACGTTTGAGTACGAAGATGAAATGGAATGCAACCGTTCGTCCGTTGAAATTGAAAATGAGATTTATTATTGACATGACATTTTTACAGAAAGATACAAAAGAGAATATATAGAGCACCCTACTGACCTTATAGTGATGCTTACCCGTTTAAGCTGAGATGGAAATTCTATCATAAACAACTTTCTTTGTCAACAGGGACATCAGACTCCTTCTTATTTTCTGAGGTGGCGCAATTATAGTAATCATGGTTCGGTCCATTCGTCCAATTGTAGTAGTCATGTGGATTTATCAACTCTATAGTGTACTCAATATAGACTCGACTTGGAGTCGCATCAAACCTGGTTCACCTTCACTACTAACAACTGCTGTATACATGGTTGCATCTGGTTGTCCCTTGCTCTTGAGTATCGGTACCAGATACTCTCCTCCTGGGTATTCTTGAATATCCTCCGAAACGTTATCTAACACTAGCATGTCTTTACTTTAAACTAATGATAAATTAACGTACTTGGTCTGGATACAGGATCAGGCTGATACCGTCTTGAACCACTGGAAGTATTACGCCTTATGTTACGAGGTGCAGGATTCTATAATGGAGAACATCGAAAGTGAAAGATTGAAAGACCAACTTGGAAAGGTGAAGGGGAATCCAAATTCAAAGAGTTATAGTCTTCGGGATTCATGATTTGATCATCGAATTGTGAATCAGAATCCGAGAATATTTCACGGATCAGATCTATCTGATTACCTTCATGAAGCTCTCCTTGTATTGAACTCGTGTTTAACTTGAATAGTTATAAAATAGAATAAGATGTATGAGGAAAGCTACTTACGACTACATACAGCGTGGGAACTCTGCAGAACTCTCGGAAACGATCGCTAAGTAAAAGGAATGTGGGACGTGATTCGGGGTTGACAACCCAACCTAAAAATCACAACGTATTGATATTAATCACTATACGATATTCAGACATTGGATGAGAAGCTGATAAACTTCTATACTACAATTGTTTGGTTGGCTCAACCGATTTCCATTCTGCAAGTATCTCACAAGACTATTCGAATCCATTCCTTGGTATGGACTCTGAGTAATGTAGTTATAAGCGAATAGATGTAATACAAAAACCGCATACCTGTCCAAATGTCAAAATTTCCCAACACGTCACCCCAAATGCCCAGACGTCAGTAGCGTGACTGAAGCTGTTCGTTGTTAGAGCTTCCAAGGCAGTCCATTTGAAGGCGACCTTTACATCCATATTGGATATTTTCATTTTATAAGACAGTTCATACCTTTCCTTTTCTTTCTACTTTGTTCTCCCCATAGTTTAATAACTTGGATAAACCAAAGTCAGTAACTTGCACATGTTGAGCGTTCTTCACAAGTACGTTTCTAGCAGCCAGATCCAAGTGAACGATCCGGTTATCATAGAGATACTTCATGGCCTGGAATTCGAGCACATAAAATAGAAACAGGTGTTTCAAACATACACAAGATATTTGGTAGCAGTATGATAAAAGATCCTTCCCGGATAAATGATTCTTATGCTTCCTCAAGAAGTCAAGCAGACATCCTAACGGCCGAAGTAAAGTTATCTGAACACTAGATTGATAGGTGACTTGCAATCAGACTAACCAATTGGATTCCATCTGGACTCAAGCAAACACCAACCAGGCCCAATAAGTTCTGGTGTCGTAGTCTAGCCATTGTGGCTGCTTCTTCAAGAACTTGCTTATCCTAGACGGAGTTTTCGTAAACTATGTGAGGACTCAAAATACCTGTTCAGGTGAAACACTACGAAGTAGTTTGATGGCAACGGGTAACTTTTCGTTTCTGGCAATTCCTTTAGGGAAATAGTAACCCTGAACGGTAAACATCAAGTCGGATATCTTTCAAAACAATACCGCGTATACTACTCCGAAATGCCCTTCCCCTAGCACTTTATTCTTTGCCTGCAGATCTGACATGGGAATGATTTGTACCTGAAACTCGAATTACTGCTTCTATGACAACATCACAAACAGACTTTGCTCAAGTTTGGTCTGCAACTTGGATCCATTTCAATACTCTCAGGTAGTGTTGGAGCATTTTCGAACAATTCCCTCTTCAAACGGCTGTTTATTCTTCTGCTTTTGTTAGAAACCACCTGAATAGATAAGTATATGGTTGAACAAAACAGTCCTCTTACCCCTATGATAACGATGGCCAAGAGAAAACTAATCCCTATCATAGTCAAAAAAATATAAAAACGTTGACGCTTTGCTTTTTCAATATCAGTCTTATGGCATGTCATTTCGGGTTCAACCAGGAATGGTGCTGATATGGGACATTCGGCAAGGCATACCTGCACGGTGGAGATGATGTATGATCAATTCTTATTGGAATAACCTACGTTTGTCTCATTCACAGTAATTGACGCTTTGGCACAACGAGCACAATCTGTTGCGGCTCCACCAACGCAACCATAGTTACGGTCACAGAACTGATGACATCTATAAAAGAGCAACGTGAGGCAACATCAGCAGGCTAGGCATTACTCTTCACATATTCCATATGCATTGGATTCTTTCTTCTTCGTCATATACGTGGTTCTGGTACATTCCGAGTGACAATGAGATTCGTTTCTTTCGATCACAAGATAGTTCTAAGAAAATGTAAGATGAAGTCAATACTGAAAGTACCAAACCTTGCAAAGACATTCATCGTGTTTGCCTGAATTGCCTCCGAAACGACACGTCGTACACTCATCGTTACATTTCTCGCAATACTGGAACGAATTCAAGATGTGGTCGGAAACAGTAATGAGCAAACATACAGATTTCTCTACTCCTTCTATGATAGGAGTCAGAGCTCCGAAATAATTTGTCAAATTATTTTCTTGGCAAATATCGTGTTCTGAACCCCACAAACAGCGCACAACCTATAACTCAGTTAGTTTCCATTAAATGGCTCAAAACACTTTACGTTTTTGTTTTCGTCGATCAGTGCAAAAGTACATTTATTGCAACCCCCTTCGCCCAAGAAGTCGGCAACACCCGTACATCTATAACAAGAAGCATGATGTAACTCATTCAAGAAAACACTAACCCGAATTCTTGGCAGCTCGGATGACATGAAAGACACTGACCATGCTGACCAAAATGAGTTACAGGACATTCAGACAAGCATTGTAAACTTCCAAATGTTTCATCGAAGAGTGAGAACTGTTTGCAAGATAGACACTCCGATTCGCTGGGACCTAACAAAGAATGTGATCTATGATATCTATTTAGGAAAACCTAGGCATTCCCGACAGTTTTCATGACACGGTAAACATTGTTTCAAAGATACATTCTGATAGTATCCCAACTTGGGACAGCTTGGAATACAGACTCCATCCAAAGACCAGTCACTGCATTTCAGGCATTTACCTAAAGAGCAAGGGATCAGCTAGTTGAAGATTACCAGTTCAATACCTGGCCCTTTGCCCCAGCAACCGTATTTAGAATCGCACATACTGTCACACTGCTTTCCTCGTTTCGCTGAAACCCTCAGAGCTGAGATAGAGAGCGAAGCCGAAAAACGTACCACATTGATCCGGGTATTGATTTTCACTTATCTTAGCGACTGAGTTATTAGCTAAAATTGTGGACCAGTTGACGGAATCTACATAACATAGTCCCACATTCTCAGCTATGATGACATGTCCGTTCTGAAAATAAGCAACAGGATCCAGGAAAAACAGCTCGCAACCTACTTTGATGGTCTTCAGGCTTTTCAAATCTAACGATGACAACAGATCGTTCTTAGTTATTTCTAATGCGTAACGACGACTTAATGATTGAATATAAGTTGGAAATAAGATATGAACACTACTTCGATAGCTGACGTCCTTCCACAAACTCCAGATTCTCTAGAAACGATAAGTTCCTTGGAGACAGATGTACAGTGCTGATGACGATATACTCGGATATCATTCGAACTGATTTCAGAGCATACAGATCTTCAACACTGTATCCGTCCGATGAACTGCAAGCATGGTATACACAACAAAATTTCCAATAAGAGTAACCTCATCTTAGAATCTAAAATAGCGATGAAACCATCAATCTCTTCACAGTCTACCAGATTCCTTAGGATTGAGCCAGTCAACGGGTGATCAACGTAACAAACTGAATATTCGATGTATTTGAGCAATGTTATGTTCTGAACCTTTCGGACATTCTCCTTTGCATTTTTCGCATTCTCGTGTTTCTTTTGTCATATCATGATGTTTACCAATAGAGCAATGTCGAACACATGTTTCCCCATCGATTAATAAATGGTCTAGAAGTATGCAAAAGTAGTGCAAGCATGCCTTTCCCACAGTACCTGGGCATTTATCAACGCAATAGCGGTCATATAAATATGTTCCGTTGGGGTTAGGGATTCGTGTTGCTGTTCTTCTATCATAAACCATGAGTTCGGGACATTTCGATACACATACTCCATTGTATGAATTCTCTTTGCAAGCCTTAACAGTTACTGGTGAGAGCGTAATGAATACGACCGCGCCCAATGCGTGTCATTTTAAAAATGAAGTGAGCAGTGCACGGTATGATTATCGATTGATTAGCCGAGTAAGTTATTGACAAATGTAAACAACTAGATGCTTACGTGACTATTTGAAAACTAACCAAACAGTCTTGTGCAGTTGGACCTGTGCAGCCTCCGGCACAAGTAGCATGACAACAGTCGTAATCGTCCGTATCTCTTACACGATAGCATTGCTTTGATAAATGGCATTTTTCTGGACAAATCGTTCGGTAAACTAGAAAATAAACAAGTTCGAAATTTCCTTTTTTGGCAAAAACGAACGTTTCTGGCATTGAGAAGCGTCCCGACTCCAGCAGTGGTCCTTCTCACAAGCTGGACTGCACTTGATATTGCTTGCCAGTTTTGTGTGATCACATTGTCTGAAGCCATTCGGACGAGCGATCAGACGCGAGTCTTCATAATTTAATATCTGCAGAGGAGGTGATATCAGTAATCCTACTTGCTTCTCTTACTTCATCCCAAAGAACCTTGTCTCTCAAATAACAGAGGAAAGTGTTGTTCTCTATATGTATGTTCCCTTTCTCGACAGCTGAAATCTCATCATGATTACTTCAGAATTCCAAATGGTACACTACTTCGAAGGTTTGGCATCAGAACTTCCTTCAAATTATGGTTATTGCTGATTGTTAAAGCACCATCCTGTAAAATGGTTTATCAGCTTGGTTCTTGAGAGCCAGTTCTTACTCTTGTGTTCTCATCCAGCAACTCATCACCCCAAATGATTTTTAAATTCTTGAAAGATAGAATAGATAAATCAACGTTGTATATCAAGATATATCCTTTCACCTTAAGAGTGATTTTAGATTTTGCAGAGGTTAAGCTCATACTTCTTCAATATGGTCGAATATGGTGAGAGGCTTGGCCATCATGGATCGATTCCATCCCAATGTTTCAGCTGTGAGATGAGTGATTTCTAAGTTTGCCGATATTCGAGTACAATTCTCATACATGGCCTAGAGATAACATTGTGATGCAAGATTGAGTAAAGGAGATAAGAGCAAGATGGGAAAAGTAAAACCTTCATGTCTTCGAAACGATTCATGGAACCTGCCATACTACGTCCATTGTGTGTTCCTGAGCAGACTGAAAATGAGGATTACCAAGAAGACATTCATAAACATATATGGGGGGTGTTATTTCTATTGGAACGAATGATTGTCTTGATGAACTCACAACATGGTTTTTTAGAATCGACAGAAGAGCATCCTCCGGCTCTCCATCGAACACCCTCGCTAAGGTGTAACAAGGAACAGAGTGTCAGGAGAAGGAATAAAATATATTTATGAATATCAATAGGAGTATTAGGTAGAAGCATCGAGTTCTCTTCTTCTATCACCTTCTCTCAGTTTCTCAATGACTTTTATAGAAAATAGAAGAAAAATGAAAATTATTGTGATGGCATAAATGGGAAACGTCGCTGTTTGAAGCTGGGCTTCTGGAGATGAAGCAGGGGGGAAGCTGTTGTAGAGTATGAAAGCGCAATGGATTTGCACTAATTGAATGTTTTGAATGAAATTAAAAAACGATTAGCTGAATTGGTTCGTTCAAGTTACTATCGGTTACAAGTCATTTCCTGCTTACTCTCTCCCTCCTTAACTTCCTCTCTTGCTCTCTTATTCCTCTCTCGCAACTAGGAGAAGCTATTCCGTTACTCTGTAAGCAGATGACGAATGTACAAGCTTCAAATTAATTTCCGTCTCGTGCTCTATAACCAGAAATCAATCGATCTATCATTTTATCTGTCACATTCATTCAACTGATAGGACTTGAAAGATAAAAAATAAAAAACTTACACTCCCGTCTATACTTGGGCTTCGGCGTCTGTGTCTTGACCACTGAGAAGCTTATAACTAAACCAAAAACTAACAAATAGAATGGAATTCTTCCTATCATCTGAAACGATCTGATGCAAAATGAAGTTGTATTCTCTCTACCTTTCAAAGCCTCATTGAATAACTATGTGAGAGACAGAAAAAATGGAAAAACCGATCTTCTTCTAAAATATTTTTATGTAAAAAGGCACAGTCATGACTTTAATCTTCAAAAACAACAACATCATTTCTAATTTTCGTGTCAGCGATGCAAATATGGAATGAACGATAGTATGAGAATAGATTGTGTGTTAAGGAAGAGTATGGAAGAAGAAGAATCTTAGGAGGAAGGAAAAAATAAGTTTCCGGCTAACCTTCATGAAAAATCACATAAAATTGAAATCCTCATCTTATGTGATGGCTAAAGAGGGAGAGAGAGAGTGAGAGAAGAGATGTAGAATTGGAAGAGAGTAACGAGTCAACGAACGTGTTTCTGAAGAAGAACAAAAGAAAATTTGTTATTCTGAATAGGAAAAAAGGATTTGTAGTAGATGAGTTTTGGATTTGTTTGATTGAATATTTCAAAATCAACATGTCAGATAGAAAAAAACGGTCAAATCAATAAACTGTTGAAAAAGATGTTTTGATTTTGATTGTAAAAGTTTTAAGAATAAAAAAAGCATTCAAGATGATACAAAAGCTTTACAATATATGTAATTTACAGAGAGAGAGAGAGAGAGAGAGAGAGAGAGAGAGAGAGAGAGATAGAAAGAGAAAGAGAGAGAGAGTGTATATGGATATGAACGGTGTCAGATCTCAGAAGATGAACCATCATCCAATCAGTCATGATAGTTGGTGATGATGAAGAGCAATGATTGAATAACCCCTTCTTATTCATAACAGAAATGTATACAAGAGAATATGTGAGGTGAGAATATGAATAACGCAGAGGAGAACATAAAAGAATACAACATTAAAGAAAGAGTATGATATTTCCTTTTGCATGCAAAGACCTTTAGGTCTTCAACACTAGGACGTGATCACCCACAGATGAGAACTAATGACTTCCTTTGCACAAGTTTGAAAATGAGACAACCGTTCTCTTGTATATCTGAATAGAAGAGAGGGGATTAGAAGTATCACGTGAGATGGAGAAATATTCACGTGAATAGTTTAGGAATGTTGTATACCAAGAAGCTCATAGTGAAGAGGAGGATGAAGATGAATGGCGAAGACAAAAAAAAAAGTTTATAAACATAGAGCTCTGTTCATGCGATTGTTATAAGAGTGAGACAGAAAGCAAAACATTAAATGCAATGGTTAATGATGGAATATTGAGAAAGCCGTGAAAAGTCTCATAAACAACCGTATTTCATGTAAAATGACAGGTTGAACGATAGAACACAATTTATGTATTGGCATGTGGTAGTAGGAATGTTTCATTTCCTTTCAACTCTCTCTCTCTCTCTCTCTCTAGCTCTCTCTTTCTCTCTCTATACTCTCTTAACATCATAGTGAATGTTAGAATAGAATGCTTCTAATTAGTTTTACTTAAGAACATTTCTTGTGAAGAATGGTAGGTGTCAACCATCTGTTGCTAATAAATGAGGTGAAATATCATTGAACTGAGAGAGATGTACAAAGGACACAGCGGCATTCATAAGAGGTTTTCTAAAGATTAAAGGAAATCTCTACAAAACAATTAATTTAACATCTAAAATACAAGTGACATGATGAACAAAGAGTTGTCCTCTTACTCCATTCACTCATATGAGTTTCATTAGGCTGTTGATGAAGATGATCGTCTGGGATGTATGTATATCGCAAGTTCCGAATCAACACAACCGTTCCACGCGTCATACACTGTTTGAATGAACATTATTCACGCTTTTCCCATGTTACGTGGGTTTTACGTGAGTCACGTGACTTCACGCCGACTCACGTAAGTTCACGTGAAAATGACGTAAAGTGTTGTTTAGATGAGATAGGACAAAAAAACAAATCAATTAGTAATTAGGGTCAAAATAAAAATAAAAAGAGGAAAGTTCAGGAAACTAGAAGGTCATGTCCTTCTTTGGTAGCCACTCGATGCTTCTATGCTTCTTTTGGCTCATCTAATCCGATTATAAAAAGTCTCATCCGACTGACCTTTTGTGTTATTATTTTGTATGCCAAAATGGAAATGAGATATGCGATAGATTGTAAAAATAAAAATATATGGCAAAATGATATTATATAATGGAATATAGAGAGACGTCATAGTAAGAGAAGGTAGCTGACACATACGACTTCATTTCCTTATTTGCACATTTGGAAGAAGTAAATGAAAGATTGGCTCATTCGCCCACAGAAGTTTGCCAAATATAATAAATGAAAAGAAATATGGAAGAAACTTCGTTCCTATGTTTCCTGACCGGTTAGAGGAAATAGCTGAAGACAAACACAATCGACAACTTATAAGGCAATATGTACTCCGTATTATGAGAAACCGTCTCATGCTCTTTCTCCGGTACGTGGATCAGTTGAATCATTACAGGTTGTTCCACGACGATTCTCTTCGAGAATTTGTCCTTCCAGAATTTGAGCTATTTTCTCTTCCATCATTCGTATGCTATCCATTGACATACTGTACCAGTCATCGATCCAACACCAGCTTTCCCTATACAGCATAATCAGTATCAGTAACTGTGGTTGATAACTCTCTTACCTATGCAGCTTTCCAAAGATTCTTGGATATTGCTTCATGATGGACTTCTCTATCAAACTTCCTAATCCTGTCCATTTGAAATGAACAGTAACCAACTTATAAGCACACATAATCTAATATAGATATATGAGAGAAGCCTTTTGCACTTTGTTCTTTCATTCTCACTCTCTCACTCTCTCAATGCTATCAACCTCATGCTTTCTACTATTCAATTGCTCAACGTCTGTCTATCTCTCTTACCGGTTTTGTCGTTTGTGCCCATTTTGGAGCTAAAGGACCAATTCCCGTTGACTTTGATCTGAAATGAGAGATGCAAGTTCAGCAATTTCAGAAGCAGTTAACTGACTTGAATATTTTAGGGTCTAAGACTTCATTATAGTCGTCCTTGTGTAAGAAAGCATCATCACAGATGTCAATTACATGGATATCACGACTCTCTTTTGCTTGTAATGGCTGAAGAAGTAAAACAATCTGTCTGACATGCAAAACAACATTCTTACATTCGGAGAAGTTCCATCATCCGGTAAATGCAATGACTCAATGACTACTTTGAAATTATTTTTCATATAACCCGGATTCTATAAGGAGAATGTTGAAATAGAACCAATATTCAAATGAATCATGATACTGTTATGACTGTTTTACAATATGGATAAGCGTTCCAACTCTCTTCATGCACTTCAAATGCCTCAGGCGGTAATACCTTAAAGCATTTTCGGTTGGCAAGGTGAAATATACGTATAAACATACTTTTTGCATAAACCATGGTGCTTTTGAACGTAATTTATATAATTTATACGTATAGGTACCATTTAACCTCTTTCCAGGTACTATGTCATCTGACGTGAACTCCTCTTGTTTTAGAAACTCAAAAAATGACATTGGTGAATGTGAAAATGAAACAAGTGTTACCTGAGCTCCTTCCCCTCCACCCGTCTCATTCTTACTACAATGGGCGACAGCATATAGCTGGCCTCTTTCAAAATCATCAACCGTCATCGGCAAGTTAATGCGGAACTCCTGCAACAATCATTCATCTCATATCCAACGAAAAAAAAATTTCTTTCTTCTCACTCTCTCACCCTCTCATCTCTCTCACACTATGATAGTCTTTTACCGGTTCTTTGAAAAATTTCGAAGGCTCTCCGTTATCACGCAAAGCTATGAATAGAACAGAAAACAAAAAAAAAGTTGTAAAGCGATAGGAAAAGCCTTGAAAAAGCTTTTTTTCTCAACAAAACCAAATATGGAAAACAAGAGAGAAGCATTGACTTACCTTCGTTATGACCATCCTGAATAGAGAATGAAGAGTGAAATAGAAGTTTCAATAGCCTCAATATGGAATAAATCTGCAAATGACAAGAAGAATGAGCGAATAAAAGGTTTCAAAGCTTACAAACGGCCGAAATCGGATGTCAACTCTTGGAAGCTTTTGTCCTCTCGTAAGCTTTACCTTCTATATCACCTTTCCAAATCTCTATCTCAGCAAGTTCTGTTCGATAAAATCTTTTTTTTTTCTTTTTTTTTCTAAAAAAGGAAATTCTGGAAAAAGAAGGAATGAAAGGAAGTTTTCAAGCAAACGAGCAAAGGGCAGAGAAAGTGGAAAAAAAAGTAAATTATTGAACATTTAAAAATCTGGTCAGCAGTTCATTTTAGTCATCAGTCGTTGGGGGCACACGTGAACAGATCTCCCTCATACTCTCTCTTTCCCTCCCTCTCTCTCTCTCTCTCTTCTTCTTCTCAGCACTTAAACTCATTGGTAGTTTTTTGATGACATTCATCTTTCTATTGATCTTTTCAATAATGAAAGAGAAAAATATGGGGTGAAATGGTTTTGGTTGTTCGAGTTATTACCACGTACTTGGCTAAAGAAAAAGAAAGTTGACCAACAAAAAGAAAAACGACGATAGAAATCTCTCTCTTTCTCTCTTTCTCTTGGTCTTACTCATTCAAACCTCTCTCTTTCTCTCTTTCTCTCTTTCTCTCACTCTTAGTCTGTGCAGAACGGTAAAGACAACTGAAAAGTAAGGAAGGAATTAGATAGATGGGAAGAGAAGGAGAGAAAACAATAAATTTCTTCAAAACGACTTTGACATGCATTGTCTGCAAGTTCATGTCGTCATAATTGAAATTCAAAGCTTAAAAGAGACGATTAAGCAGTTTTTCCATTTGCTATCGATTGATTTCCACATATAGAGAGATGAATAGAGAGGGAGAGTAGAGAGATTGAGAAGATGAGAGAAACGAATGGAATACAGCCTAAAACAAACCTTTTTTTTTCTTCTGAAGGGGATTATGAAGTCAGCCGTCAAATTGTTGGAAGAGCTGAAAGAGTTGAGGATAAAAGCATTTCAAATGATGGCAAATGTCAATAGCAGACATGAAAAGGAACATCTCGTGCAATCACATCCATATTTACAAAATAATCTTTTTTTTATTCTTTTTATTGAATTAAAAAAAAGGAACGACGAATTGTATTTATTTGACAAACTGGAAGATGTGAACATTCGCCAGCTGGCGATGGTTGTGTCCAATAGTTTCTGAGGTACAATGATCTCAGTTGGGGCGGACATGAAAGGGGGGGGGGAGAGATGATGAAACAAAAAAAGTTTTTTTTTCTTCCAAAAAAGGATGGCAGATGAGAGAATATACAGGAATCTTCATACAAACCTTCATCTAGTCTTCGTTTTCATCCAACAACTTCAAAAGGAGTCTCAGATGGAAACAACGATGAAGAGCGTTCGATGTAACATACTCATACACACAGACGACATATTTGGTAGTTTGAATCAAAAAAGGTTTTCAAACGAAAAAAAGGCTTCTGAAGAAAAGAATTTTGTTGGAACAAACTCGTCTTGAAGGAAACGAAGAGGAAAACTGACGACCTCGAAATGGACAATCGTTTTCCATCCCCCGTCGTCGTCGTCGATTTTGTCTTGATGAAGAACATTTATGAAAATCTGCGTTTATCGGGAAAATGGAAGAGGAGAACATCAAAAAAAACATTTTTAACAAATAAAATGACGTAAGTAGATAGGAGGCTATGTTACAATGGAACTGTATGGAAGGATATCTTGTCGTCATGGACAACGAAATTTATTTTCTTGTAGACGGTTACGTTCTTGCGTGTATTGACGATATGATAGTAAATCCCTTTTACGAACTGAAAGAATCAGAATAGGAGTGAGAGAGAAGAAGAAGAGAAGTATGAATACCTCCAGGTTGTGGAAATGCTCGAAATTTCCATATTTGCTCAACGTTTCCATGTATTGCCATTGATCATCTTTCAACAGGTGATAAGCATTCCCCTCCATTCCTCTTTCAAAGACTTCTCTTGAATGATCAATGTGATTGGTTTTCGATTCAAACTCTTTCTCACTCGAGTCTCTTGTTCTCGTAATCACGCAACTCTTCTTCAGATGGTATTCTGCCAGTTCCATTAAGGAATGATAATGCAAGTCGTGCTTGATACTCAAACAACGGTAGAGTTATAGCTGCCAAGCTTATACCTAGCCAATATGTAAATACTATATTCTGATGTTGTACATACCAACGAAGAAGAGTGACGTTGGATATTTGACATGAACAACATGATTCCATAATGGGCTGACCATCTGTCCTCCGAACTTTGTCTCAATCAGATCGTTGGATAGAAATGAAAACTGTAACATGAGATAGTGACTTTCCTCCTTTTCAATCGAACAATCCGCTTCTTACCTTCATCTCATATCCCGTACATGCAAGAATCGTATCGATTTCATCAATTATCTGATGATTCTGCGTTAGAACAACCCGATTATCGATCGCTTCTTCAATATTCAAACATTTTCAAATTTTCAATTAGTTTTACCTTCAATTCGTGTTTGGAATTGTTTCAAATTGTCAGGGAGACCTTGATAGTCGGCCGTTTTTCCAACTAAAAAAACCTGAAAAACGAAATTTCGTTTTTTCGTTTTCATTTGCATCATCTTCTCTCCCGCAGATGTCGTACTTCTTTAGCTGTTTCTGATATTTGCAAGGCGATGTCTATTCCGGAAGGACCAGCACCTACGACGACAACCCGTTGCCCTTGGAAATCTCTGGCACGACGATAATCTTTGCTGTGCACAACTTTTCCTGAAACAATCATCTTGAATAAGGAACGAATTCTATTTTTTACTTTACCTTTGAATTGCTCATGTGAGAATGTTACTCTGGGACTGAAGTAATGACCGTTGCAGACGAATAAAGCATCGAAGAACACTTCATCCTTCTTACCATCATGCTCTACTGTTAACTATAATAAGCTTCTGAATGTATTGCACCACATTGCTCAAGGGGTCAAGAAACTCTCAAAGTAATAATTGCACAACCGCTCATTGCGTTGAGAAACTCTCAAATGAAATTGCTCAACTGCTCAATGCGTTAAGGAATTTTGAGAATGAAATTGCACAACCGCTCGACACGTTACGCCACGTTCAAAATTAAAATTGTGTGATTGTACTAAATCTATCAAATTGAAAGCTTCATGATTGCCATCATGGTAAGGAGATTCAGAATCAAACAGGTGTAAGCGAATATGAGAATATGGTAAACGAAACGAACCTTCCATTTGTCATCAACTCTTTCTACGTGAGCAACTTTGTGGTTAAACAGAATAGGAAGCTCTTTTGCATAATCTTCTAAGTATTCTAACATCTCTTTATGACCAACAAAGGAAGGTAGCTCAGTGGAAATCTCTTGATCATGATAGTTCATTACTTCACGTGGTAAATTTGTTCTGAAATGAGTTGAAGGATAAGACGAAGGATAAGGATTATGGAAATCACTTTAGCACTTCGTACATAGCTGAGTGGGCTGAAAGGTCCTCATCATACACCCAAGTTCCTCCTAACTTGTTCATTTGCTCGTAAACAGTCACCTACATAAGATTTTAAAGAGATGAACAACATGAATTGGCTATAAATGATAGGTAAAGTGAACATACATCATGTCCAAAGCTGAGAGCTTGTTTGGCTGTTGTGATGCCTGCAGCACCAGCTCCAATGATTCCAACTTTGACCATATTCAGAAGTATCTTAACTAGATTCTTTAATGGAAAACAATGAACGAATGTTAAGAAATGGCAGATCAATGCAGAGAACATGAAACCCATAAAGTCTTATCAGCCCTTACGCCTTTTCATTTATTTTTACATCAACTCATGTGTTTCATCGGTTCTTGTTGGATGCTGAGAAGAGAAAACTTTTGAAAAAAAAAGGTTTTTATTGAAATCTTCTTTGTACACTTGGTTATGGAATAGCAAACCCGCAAAAAGAAATATAAGAAACGAAAATCATTTGGAGCAAGAGAGATTTGAAGAGACCCGTTCTCTTTGAAAAATGAAAATAAAAATATATTGAGAGAGGAGAGATAGAAGAAACAGGTATGATGAGAGGGAGGAGGAATGAGATAGACATTCGAGAGATGATGAGAAATAGAGGAGTAAGAGAGAGAGAGAGAGAGAGAGTAAGAGTATGTGAGAATGAATCTCTTACATGACATGACCGAACTTATGGAGATTCAGAACGTCCCTCTAATCATCTAATGATCAGAGGGATTAGAATGAGATTATTTGTATTTGTTTGTTTGTTTACTTAGATAACTTATTATAATCTTATCTACTCTACTGATCAACGCTTAATTATGTAATAATTATGCTAATTAGGAGGAAAGATAGGGAGAAGAGAAGGAAGTGTGGAGATATGGATGATGAGGACAACGGTAGTTCAATCATCTGTCCATCAGGAAATTGCATTATCTCGTTTTCAGAAAAATGTTCAAACGATGCTACGAAGTTGACAGAAGCAGCTTGTCCAAAGCCTCGATTCGTTATGGATTGAACCTAAAGAAGGATATGATTGAGTGTACTTTGCTTTTCACATACCTCTACTGAGTACACTTCAAATGGTTTCAATTTTTCGAACCGAGCTTCCCGTTCATTTGGAGGGTTGATGGTTATGTTATTCAAACTTTGAGCTGATGATGTTAATGCTATCCGATAGCCAATTATAGTATAAGATGAAGAAGTCGCTAAATCATTCAAATGCTTTGTCCAATGGCAAATGACGGTTTGTCTTCTGGTTGAGCAGAACAAGGGTGTTGTCAAAGCTGTACAGTCTACTTTGCTATGTATGGCAATAGCAGAGCACGATGGAGTGGTGAAATTGCTTCTGATCATCTGGAACATCATATTGCTTCTTCAATATAATATTCAGTCAAATTACCTGGCCATTCTTCTTATCGGAGATAGTAATGTCATAATCACAGTCGAACGATAAGCCCCGCAGTTGGATATCGCAATCACCAGTCCGTGTTTCTTGCCAACTTAAAGCATTTTCATAATTAACTGAATGAAGAGAGTATCTTACTTGTTGTCAAGATGATGATGAGGTTCATACTCACGACATTCACCTCGTTTGACTTGGACTATGTACTTGGTACGAACAGGTCCACAGATTCTAGAGTCCCACCAGCTTGCAGTTGTCTGTAAACAGTATAATCATGAACTGCTCTTGGAATGAAACTTACAATCAAGCCGGAATCATAATGAACGGGTTCGATCACTATGCTCTGACGTTCTTCTCCATCTTCAGAAGTTGGTACGTTCAAGTGAAGACTTGGAGTCTCAGTTGTCTGAAAGATTCATCATATAGTACTCAAAGAAGCTAACGTTTTTGCATCGAAACAAGAAAATGAAAACCAAGACATACCATCTTTCGATCAGTTTTTTCCAAGGCGTTGAGAAAGATAACACTCTTGTCTCCTTGGACTTCTCCATTCTCGGACTCAGCTATGGCGTAAATTTCAGCAAAGTAAGATTGATTTGGAAGAAGTCCAACCAGCTGAGCTTGTGTTTCAAGTCCGGAAACAGCAAAGAGATGCAGCTCCCTTAAGATCCAGAACTTCAGTAAAGACTTTAAAGTATTCAACTAACTCTGTCCCGTTTATATGCCATGATGGTTTTTCATCTGCACCATCCTCCTCAGGTTCTGGAGCCTTTCGAAGAAACTCAGAGAACTCTTCTTCACTCTCCACAGGTGATGGAGCCCAGAGGATCTGCAAAGATATGGCTTAGCTATTTCAACTGAAACTTTGACTGTACCTGGTAAGACTTAATGGGTAAGTCGCTGACAGGCTGTAGCCATTGAATCTTTTGATTCCATAGGCCATTCATCATCTCCACTTGTCCCAAACTCAAACTTCTCGGAGCTGATGGGGCTTCAACCTCTGGAAGAAAATATCAGAAATATAAAGAAGTTCGGTAATTGCATACCTCGTGAAAGCTTAAAGGGTTCAGTAGGGGCGCTAAATCCTAAGCTCCCTTGGCTGTTGACAGCGGCAACTCGGAATTGGTAGTATCGACCAGCTGATATCAAATGTTTCAAAATGGCATATGCCTTCGTCCTCTTAAATCATAAATTTGAAATTCAATGAAGCCTTCAGCAATGCAATACCGTTGTAACAGTTTGCCATTCGGTCCAGGATTCTGATGGGTAAAGACTCCACCGCCACTCGATTACGAAAAGTGTTGTAATGCTATGACTGATGTTCCTATTCATATCCCACCGAACCATAACAGATCTTCAATGTTTCAATAATTTGCGCGAAAACGTCATATGTTCCAAACCTTTTTCCTTTTCTCTCTTCAACTGTCAAATTTTTGGGAACTGGCAGTAGTGAAGTGCTTAGCTCGAATGTGGGCTTAGTACACTGACGATTGCAACCATAAGTACAGCATTTGGACGTTTCTCCACAGTCTCCATCCAAATGACAGCTGGCTGAACACTCCTGCAAATCCAAGCTTCAGCTTCGATTATAATAAAACCAACTGACATATTGTGAAGAATTACTTTCCGTTGGGCAACGTCCTGGCTTTTCAATGTAGGTGAATTGAAGGAAGTCACAGGAACGATCACATTCTCGCTTTGCTTGAGGCGACTGAAAGAGCTCTCGTTTTACAGTCATATTGTTTCAGATGATCTACCTGACAAGAATCCTCTTTACATTTAGTGAAGTCATGGGAATGGAAGAACTTGCAAGGTTGGAAGCACTGAAAGGTTTAAGTATGAGTACTTCATAAGAGGTGAGAAGAGAACAACCGCATCACGCGTTTCAAACTCTTACAATGAAAACAATACAACCGGCTCTTTCACGTTTTTCACGTTAAATGAAACTGTGTATGGCTTGTTGGAATGTATTTCCTTGCCACAACGCTGACACCTGGTTGATTCGCATATTTCTGTCTTTCCCTCATTACATGTCATCTTATAACATTAGGGAAGAATTCATTAGAGAGATATTGGCTATAAAGGTCAGCCTTATATGAGTCTGTTCAGCTTTGGACAGCTTTCAATATGCAAATCTACGTGATTACGTGCGAAAGATGTCATGCTTGAGAAGGACAGCAGATGACAGCACATCAAATACGAAAAGCTCATATTAAAGCTTATAAGCTGTAAATGATGTTGTCTAATTGAATATCTTCCCCCCCTCTCCCTTCCAATAGGAATGACCATTTAAAGAGAAAACAACTTACTGAAGCACATTTCTCATCGTCTTGACAAACTTGGAATGTATGATGTTTTAAGTTCCGTCGTTCCTGTCTATTGTGTTCCTGCAATATGATATATGAATTTTGGTTTTGATGAATATGTTCTTTCCCTCTATCATGACCTTTTGAGGGAAATAGGAACTGTACATGGCTTTTGTTTTGTTTTTACATGAGACTTACGGCCCCAACTGTTTTTTTCTGACCTTATGGGGAAAAGTATGTGTAAAGAGATCAAACGGTTCCGCCAATAAGTTGGTAAACGAAGTTTAACCATAGATTATCACCCTGTTTTCACTACTAACGCTCATAGAGAGCAGTGAGAGAGATGAAAGAGACACAATGAGGGTGTGAGAGAGTTATGAATAGAGCAAGAATGATATTACATGACCTGTACAGTCATAAATTGGCTAATCATCATTTGTAAATCTGATGTAAATGCCATCATAAAGCTGTTCCATCAGCCTATCGGCCGACTCTTTGAAGTGGCTGTTTTAGGAAATTTCGAAGCTATTAAGCTTCTTCCCCGCATTGAATTTCTATAGAACTGTCAACAGCTGTAATTCCGTCATATTGGACATCTCTTCGTTCATCATTCTTTCAGAAGACAAAGACAACAAGACAACATCTTGCAGATGATGATAGCTAAGCAACTTTGAATGAAAACTCACTTGGAAACATTTATTTGAATTGTAAGTACTCAACAGATTATTTATAAGCTGCTTGAGAATCATTGCTATTCATGTTGGCCGAATGCCATCGTTGAGCAACTTGCTTCTAATCATGAAAGAGACAAACAACGAGTGAAAGGAAATAGTTACTACTTGTACGGATTGTTGATCATTCAGATGGGACCACTTGAAGTTCTAATCCTTTGCATATCATATGCAAAAGACACTTGTAGCCGAAATATTTTTTGGATGACACGATTGCGTCAGCGATTTTGTTCAAGTACCACATCGGCTTGCTTTCACATTCCCCTTAGATGGAATGATCTTCCGTTCTCTCTATCTCCTTTCCCATTCGGTCAAATTCTTATCCCCACAACCTCATATGCAAATCGTAAAGTTGCATGAGAGATCATTCGCAATCAAAATCACACAAAATTAAGACAAATTTGTATTTTACGAAATTATTTATCCTATCCCTTACCCTCAGCTCTCATTCCTCCCTCTCATTCTCAGTCTCTCTATCATCTAAGAAAATGTGAAAGAGAGAGAGAGAGAGAGAGTTATAGAGAGATGGAGAGTTAGTGGGCAGTTTGTAGCCATCTTCAATGCCCAATTACTTCGTGCTGGACCATTGTTTTGGCGGAGACACAAATGTCTCCTTTTTTGGTCAAAATCGACCCAAGAAAACAATGGCAGCTGCCTTTTGTCGGAGAGAGGAAGCATTAAAACTGCCTTTTTTAGTTGAAATTGTAGTTTTCAATGGTTTCACCTCATTAAAGAGACAATCGATCTAATAGGAGAAGCCTATAAATGTGAACGGTTGAATATTTTGTTTTCCTTAAATGGTATAGACTCGTCTCATTAGCATATGGAAGAATAGCATGTAAGATGTGGAGAGACATATCTCACATAGATTCAGACAGAAAACGACATATAAGCTGGAGGAACTATAAGCTTAGTATTATCCGACTGTCAGAATAGTTACAGCAGCTGCTGGCTGTAAATCACAAAAATATTCTTAGTTGAAAGCTTCATCAGTCATTGCACTCTTTGAAGCTCATTGGGAGAACAACTGATGAAAAGATCTGATTGGAACACCTGTGTTTTCCTTTTTGCACATACACACATCCTCTGTTCCTTATCTCATCTCCTCTCTCTCTCTGTCATATTACTATAGAAAGACATACTCTCTAACATTCTCTCTCTCTCTTTATGTCTCAAAGGAAAGGTGAAAAACAATTATCCTATTCTATTATTACAAACTAAACAAACTAACTGACAAGTTCAAATGAATAACTTTAAGATCTCCCTCTCACCCTCTCTCCTTCCCTTCTCTGCCAGCTCCTCTTCTTCTCCTCCCTCTCTTTCCTCTTTCACTTAACACTTTTTTCCCTTTCACTACTTTCAGTCAAAGAGATTCGTTGAGGAATCTTTTAACATCTGGATGCCGTTTGTCTCATCTATGAGCCCATACAGTACTCATTGCTTCAGATTTGCTTTAGCATACTAACGAGCTCTAGCTGAAGAAACAAATGTAATGACCTTAGCAAAGCTCATAAACTTTATGGCAAACTTTAAAAAAAGCTATTGTGCCACGTGTATAGTCACATTCACGTTTCTCTGAAGATTTACGTGGGAAACGTGAACGTGTCATTTTCATTCTTTGGCGTAGATGTACAGAGAGCGGTTGTTCATCAAGGAAAAACCTCTTCAAAGCAAATTTTTAGTTTTTTTGCTTTCAGGAAATAATTTTCCATTCAAAAGGTCGTTGCATATGACAAAACAAAGATAAATGAAGGTCTTCTCATGGATCGCCAGAGCAATTAAGTAGAGAAATAGTCATTTCGAAGGTAATTTTTGGTAATTTGTGTGTATATGGACATATAGGGTGAAGAGCTTAAGTGAAAAGCTGAATATGGTTAGGAGAGAGGGTGAAGAGTTAGCCATTTAAGGAGAGAATCGTCACGCAATTCTTTAGAAAAGATAATTACGCAACGGAAGTGTTTAATAATGTTTTCAATCTATTGTTTCATTCTGATTATAATTGAGAAATGGATAGATGATGCTGAATGAAGAGAGCACAGATTGACATTCGACCTCCTGCTGAGCTTCTTTTTTATATAACTATAACTTATATGTATAGTTAACCTCATGTTAACTATATGAAAATACTTGAAGACTATTTGATTTGTAAGCTGATGATGACGTCAACAAGGTGCTTGAATCATCTTATTAGAATGAAACTGTTTTACATATACATGTGCTCTCTCCCATCCATAAAAGGTGAAAACATCTGTTGAGCTTTAGCAACCACATTCTTATACAATGCAAATTGGTTTTCAAAACATTTAACAAAAAGTTTATGAAAAGTTGCAATTGACTTAAAAGGGATGAAGCTGGAGAAAGGCCATTTAAGGCTCTGTCTCTCTTTCTCTTTCAGCATAAATCATTCATTCACCTTTTATAGTAGAAGAATGTTTGTAACTTTCAAATTCCTTAGGTAATGCTATGGACAACCATGAATAACATAGAGAGAAAGATAGAGAGAGAGAGAAAGAGAGAGAGAGAGTAACGTAAGTGAATGAAAAACTAACCTTAAAACGTATTTGAAGCTGTTCAAGACATCTTGACTGACAACGAGCTGAGAGAAGCTCATTGGCGAACGATGAAGTGGAAACGATGATATTCAGAAATAGTACGAGAAGCATTTGTTTACCAGAAGCTCATCCAAAATAGCTGCAATAGATACATACGATGTGTAAAGTAATTTCATATTTGAAAGTATGATATGTAAACGAAAACAACGGTTGAACGGTCTTCAGCTTATTCGCTTCCTTATATGGAAGGGTGGGAGGGTGAGGGCTTCAAAAAGTGAGTGAAAGCTGGCGGAACTGACCAGCATACTAAGCTTTCGGTTCAGTGAGATGTTCTGTCTTGAGAACAACACAAGCTGAGACAAAAAGAAAGTCAGTGGAGGGTAAATGATCTTCGCCACAAATGGCTTCCAATACAAAATTGAAGATGAAATATATGAGAGAGGAAAAACGGAAATGGAGAGGGAGGAGAAGAAAAAAACTTGGACAAACTTTTTGAAAATAATGATGTTGACGACTGGCCAAACAGAAGAAATGAATGAAAGGCAAGTTGTTGGAGAAATAAAATGAGATGTGAACGGTCAAATTGAATTTGATTTCATTCAAAAATTGCCTCAAAAAATAATGGAAAGGATTCAGACGTACGTAGGAGATTCATGAGAATGTATGATAGGGGCCAATTGTGATGATGCAAATGACCATATTTGAATGAAGTGATGCAGAATAAAAGCAAAAGAATAGAGAATGACACAAAAGAGTAAGAGAGAGAGAGAGAGAGATGTATAGAGAGAGAGAGAGAGAGAAAGCACGTGTAGTTTTCATCTGATATGTTATATGTGCAGGTAGGTGGTAAAAAGATGGATTTCCATAGGCGTGACCTATGTCGGCGCACATTGTAATTATTCATTAACTATAGTCTATCATTTTGTTATCTCTCTTTCTCTCTCTCTCTCTATCTCTCTCTCTCTCTCTCTTTTTATACAAATGGACAGTTTCTTAAGATAGAGTCTGAAGACGAAATATGCAATGATGCAGATTTGAGTTGTCCAACTGGGGTGGAGCTTACCTCATTTCTCACAATTCCTCCTCTTCTTCCGCCTGCTCCTCCCACTACATGACATATTTCTTCCTTTTCTCTCATCAACTACATACTCTCTAAAGGGTTAATATGCATTCATATGCTCTCTAGCTCTCAGCCTATTCAGTTGGAGATCCGATCACCAAAGCTTCATGAGTACATCCTAATCCGCTCAATATTGAAAGACTTATTTGCATTTCTAAAGCAACACCGGAAAACTTTTCTAAATGAAGTGACCTTCGTATTTGTAAAATGGGAAACTTAGTATAAAGAAATGCCTTTTAAAGCATCTTTACTCACGACATTCCTAAAGGTTAAGACTATTACAACTGTGAGATGTAGCTATCTAAAGAACAAGAACAGTTTATATCCGAAGAAATATGTGTCCTCGGTAGTATAGTGGTGAGTATCCGCGTCTGTCACATGCGAGACCCGGGTTCAATTCCCGGCCGGGGAGAATCTTTTGCATTTTAAGTTTTGGTTTTTGAGAATAAAGATGAAGCGATAAGCTTTGTTTCTTTAATCATTTTATGTTTTTTTTGTTTGCAAATGATATCTTACACTACGATGACATTTATTTATTCAGAAACACTAAGAAAGGTTAAGCAATAGAAACATAAAGACCTCCATAGCAGATTAGGAAAACAAATCATTAAATCTTTTATTTCTCTCCAGAACAAACGTGAGCTGTGTACTTGAAGACGATTATAGACCGAGGGACCTCTGAGAGATTATGGAAATGAGTGAAAATGAGTTTCGTGAATTTTTCATTTTTGTATTTTCGTACGTAAGTGAGCGGTGGGTTTTGATGATTGAACGTATGAAGCGCCAAATGATTTGAAAAAGATTTTATTAAATAGAAAGAGATGGAAATAAATTACTTATTTTTCTTTGTTTCTTTGAGATTCTTTGGAATGTTAACAGTCTTTGATTTGCAACAAACCAATTTGAGAATAGACTTGAAGACAATGAAAATAAATAAAATAACAACAAATATGGCAAGGTAGAGATCCAAGTTCAATGTATAGAACAGATTGGAGGTTGAATGTTCTAAGAAGGCAGCTTTGTGATGACGTGCAACATGTTCAATGTAATGAATGGCTCGAATCAAAGGCTTACTTCCTCGATTTTTTATTTCTTTAGCCATGTCCTTTGCCTTCGTTCTATATCTGCAATACAATCCTCTGAATGAACACTTCTAGTATCTCAAAACTCACTTTGGACTTTCTAAAACAGATTTGATTGCTTTCAGTAAACTTTTCTCTGAAAGATCAGCCTTGTCCACAATTGTAGCGACTCCCTGTGAATAGCACAATGAGATTCGAGTTTTGGAAAAATAGAAACCTTGTGAGCTGCCTTATCCAAGTTATGTTTATTCATGCCATACAAAGGTATTCCAACCATTGGAACACCGTAAGTGATAGCTTCCATGATAGAAGAGACTCCTCCGTTGGTTATGAGAAGCTTACATGATTCATGAGCTTAATTCAAATATGACATCACACACAAGACTTATGCCAATGAGTTACCGAGTAAATCGTTTTGTGGGATGAATGCAGTAAGGTTGATATGGCTGGGTACATCAGCTTCATCAATGCCATCTAAACGAACATTTCCACCAATACGCCAATAGATTCTGTAGGTTTTAAGCTGAGATAGAGCTCCCAGCATAGCCTTTGCCTTTAAAATTAGAAAAATCATAATTTCTTTATAAAATTTGGTGTTAGAGGATTACTTGTACTTTGCTCATTGCTGTCCCATTGACCTGCGTTCCCATACTCACAATAATCAATCCATCTTTGGCCGCGGCTATTGTTGTGTTCCATGGCTGAAATTTTGTTTTTTTCTAAATTTTTTATTTCTTTTTGTTGAGTTACCGCAAATAATGGTTTAGGAAAATCAAGATGGATTCCTCCGACAGGAATAACATGAGGAGGGAAACTACGAGAATACTCTAAGATGGGATCAGTGTTAACGAAGAACAAGGAGGATTCTCTCTTCAACTTGTCCATGGAAGGAAAATTGGGATATCTACAAGTATGTTCATTTACTATATTCTCTCCATGTTGTTCTCTTACTTCTTCTTGATACTGTAATCTGTTGCCCACATTTTCCCAATGATCTCATCAAGCGCTTGTCGTCTTGGTGAAACGAGATTGGAAAGGATTGGAATATCATTCTGAGCAATGTATTCTTTCAAATAACAAACAGCATTTCGCAAGCGTTTGAAAGGAGCCTATAAGGAACAATCTTTCATTTATAGTTTTCTATCTGAATGCTTACGTTGGGTGAGACAATGCAATGAGAAGCGGGGATATCTAAGTCCAATGGTGTGCCAGAAGCAATGAGTGTCTCATCGGTAGTTCCTATAAGTAAAATGATGAACTCATCATAGAGAGAATGTTGTAAAAGAATGAGAGAGAGGAAAGGAGATTGCGTACCTTCAACATCGAAGTAGATGGTTGGCAATCCAAGAACGTAGGAGATTGCTAATTGGCATGGGTTGCCAGCGTATACAATAGAAACATCAATGGTTTCCTTTCTGAGAGAGTCAACGAGATTTGAATTCAAGATCTGAATAGAAAGAGATAGGGTCAAGTTGAATGAGATGGCATCATCCTACCTTGTAACAACTGGCGTTATGAGCTTCCCAGTACGCGTCTAAATGAGAGTCAATAGAGTACTCCTTTTGCCATGGAATCTTGTTTCCTATCTTTTCCAAAGGCTCATAAAGTTTACTGGAAATAAAAAATTTGTTAAAGGAGTGTCCTGGCAGTGAGATGTTACCGATTCAATAAGTTCTTGAGCGTTTTCTCTTTAACCAGATGAAGTTTGGGTTTGACTAAGCGAGGCTCTTCCGGAATCAAAATTGGTTTGACTGTTATTACCTTAAAGATGAAGCAGCATCATAAGCTTGTCTAGTGTCTTATATACCTCATGATGTCTTAAAGCTAACTGTTGAGCTAGAATCTCAAATGTATTTCGTTCATATTGATTGGTACCAAGAAGGAAGAGTAAGATATTCAAAGAGAATACAGTGGGAAGCAGGTAAAATCCAATGAGAAGCTGTTTCATCTGCAATATATGGAAATGAGTGAATGGTGAATGATGAAAATGGAAAAAGGTAGATCAGAGGGTGGACAGATGGTTATCGAAGCAAAATAAGAAAAGAATGGCTTTGGCTTTGGCTTTTTCTTTACCAAACTATCTCCTTCGAACGGTTAATTGTTCCGTTAAGAAGTATTTGCGGAACTTCTCTCACTTTTTTCTTTTTTATTTGCTTTCCTGACATTGCCAGGTCAACTTGGGCAAATATCTGTTGTGGACAGATGAGTTTGAGATGAAGTTAACGAATTTCGAAATAATTCTTTATTTTTATATTTTATAATGGTAAATGACCTCAAACTCATTATCCTTATCAGACTTCCTTGTCTTCTCATCTCTCTCTTCTCCCTTCTGCTTTCAAATTATTCATTTCCCTACATGTTCACATCTGAGGCTTCCTCATCAGATGAAACTCATCCAGAAAGATGTTTCTCTCCTAATGAGAGATATACATTGAAGAATTTGAGATATAAGTTCTCAACTGTATGTTCATCCTCTCATCTGAATATCTCCAATTCAACCGATGGAAACGATATGTTGAGAGAACTCTAATGAGTAGCATCTATGATACAAGCATTGGTTCTTATATGATAATGACCTATGTAAGAATTTGAAGAGAAAAAGAGAATTTGAATGTAAATTCCTAATTACAAGGTTTTACGCGCATGGATTTAAGAGAGTACGCTGGCAAACCTTTGTTTGTTCTTCTCTATTTGTCTCATAAGAGAGTATTTGTTATTCCTTCATTGCTTTTCTGTAGATTCACTGAACTGTTTATTTGAATCGGATAAATTAAGTTTTTTCTTTTCTCTTCTACATTAAGCTTGTGTAAGAAGCTGTGTAAGTGACCAGGTTCGCTTCATGATCAGTTGAATAGGTCATTGAGATGTTCTATAAGTCAAGCTGAATATGATCAGAGAAAACAATATCCAATTCAACATTCTACGAAGCTTTGAGAGTTGTTCATTCATTTCAGAATTTCAGTCAAACAGCCGCTGATTCTTATCAAATCAGTAATTGTGTTTTATTAGTCACTTTACTCAGATATCCTGAACCAGAAGGCCAAATAATGGAATGCCACAATTCTGGACGGATTTGAGATGGAATACAACCTTTCGGTGCGTTTCGGACAAGGCCCGGATGAGTCCAGGCCCTAGCTTTGGCTTGGGAGCGGATGAGCTTTTCCCCCCTCTCTGGAAGACCTCCACTTTTTCTTGAAAACTACAAGATCCAAGGAGGTGGCATCACCCGAGAATTGTTTAAGCTAACTCTGGGCCATACAATAATGGATCTCAATTCATTATTAGCCTGATCTAAAACACCTGGCTCGATGATAGGCATGTCGTCTTCTGAAGAGTTGTTAAAGGGAAGGATTTCCTGAAGGAATTGAACAGTGTTGGAACAGACTCAGAGAAACCTACTGCCCAATGCTACATCGCGGACAGTGGC